TGAAAAAGTAGAAAGTCAATGAGAAAAACAAAAGTTGACTTCGGCCGCCATTTTTAGCATCACCAATACCAATATCCTAAAATTTTGAACATTTCGCCTCCTATGGTAAGAAAAAAATATCGTGGTATCTACCGAATGGTGTCGATTAAAATAAAACATAGCTAGATTATTTTTTAGCATATAGAACAAGGAAAGTCACTAAATATGGAATAGTAGCTTAACATGGAATACCTTAATTTTTCTAAGAATATAAGTATGTCACGTAGAAAATTTTAAATATAAGTAACAAATGAGTATTACCAGGTATTACGTATGTATACATAAGTGTCATACTATTTAGTATATCGATAGTATGTTTATTCCAACATTTTCGACATGGTATTGTAAAGTATGGTCTGTTCATAGATATAAGAAAGTGACTAATTGCTTTTGAATGGGATTGTCCAAGTGTGGTCATTAACGCACAATGCGACAAGATTATTACCTAAAGTTTCGGAATTTTAATTTAGGTGTGGTCCGAAAGAGAAAATAATTTTATACCTACCTGTGTTTAATATTCTTTGGTTTGGTATAATACTTAGTTTAAGTTTATTAGTAATTATTCTTATTTCGTGTGTAATACAGCGTGTGTTGAATCGTGTGCGAATTATGCAAAATATGTGCGAGTCTAGTGTATCTTAGGAGATGCTCCCGCCGAAATGTAGAAAACACTATTCTATTGAGACTAAGGAAGTTATAAACAATGTTTATTTTACTCTCATTGAACGTGGTGCCAGTAAGCAAGCATTTTTAGAAGAAACGGCCACATTAACGAAAATTCCAACATCAACTGTATGGAAAATTGTGAATAATCCCTTTTCAGTCAGGAAAAAAAGAAGCGGTCCTGACATTTTCTCAAGTGTAGATTAAAGTGATCAAGTATAATACGGTGTAAAATTTACCAGTTATACGAGGAACAAAGCGATATCTTAATTAGGAGGTTTGAATAAGATGAAGCCGGAGTTAAATGTGACAGAACTACCTTATGGAAGTGTATTCAACACATGGGTTTTAGATTTTACAAAATTGACAAAAGGCAAGTTTTAATGGAATCTTTTAGAATTCGGAAAGGGGGACTGGAATATCTAGAATCTAGGATTTACAGAGAACAACAAAAGCGAATTGTTTACTCGGATGAAACCTGGTTCGACACTGATGATACCCCTAAAAAGGGTTGGGTTGACTCAACTGATAAGTGTAAAACAAACGCGCCATCAAAAAGCGGTAAAAGAATAACTATTTTGCATACTGGCTCTAAAGATGGTTGGATTCCAAATGGACTTTCTCTGTCTGCGAAAAATATTAAAGATTCTTCTCTGGATTACCATGAAGACACCGCCGCTGATTTATTTGAAAGTTGGTTTAAAAACAAACTAGTTTCAAACATTCGTCTTAATAGCGTAATCGGAATAGACAATGCAAGTTATCAGAGTAGACAGTTGACTAAAACCCCTTCCTCATGTGACACAAAAGCAACAATCCAAAACTGCATGTATAATAACGACATTTTATTTTCACGAAGATTGTACCAAAAAGCATTTAATTGAGGTTCTACAAAGCTTGAACCTACAAAAGGAATACGTCTGTGATAATTATGCAAAAAATCTAGGGCAAACAGTTTTAAGTTTAACCTTACCAAAGTATATTTAATCCCATTGAACATGTTTGGCACCAACTGAAATCTGCCATTCGTCGTAACAATGTTTTTCCCCGTGTTAACTCCAATGTCTTCAAACTTATGGAAACCGAAGTTTTTAACATCCCTCCACAAAGTTGGACAAATTCTGTTAAACACATAGAAAAAGCAGAACAATCATATATCCATGTTGCAAATAATACAGAACAAATAATAATTAGAACATGCGATGATAGCGATAGTGATACTGATATATTATGTGAATAATTTGAAGTAATTTAAGTAGGTAATAAAAATAATTTGTAATTTTATTTTAGATTTAAACATAAATACATACATTAAAATATAAATATTGTTTAATATCCTAACAAAACCCCAAATAATTAAATTCTAAGCAAAGTACGGCCCTGTTCGGCCATATTTCAATCTTACAGCTTGCCCGGGTCTTTCCTTAATTCGTATCAGTTAGTTACTTTCTTATATCTATGAACAGCCTTTACCTGGGACTACTTTATTTCGTCTATGCCATAAATCTGTCTTAAATGAACTGCATCCAGAAGTGACAGCAGCTAAATAATTTGGAGAATCCCTTTGGTAAATCAGATATGGCTGGAAAGAAGTGGTTAAAGTTATTTTTTAATCATGATAAAGATAAGCTTGCGATTTTGGAGCATTTGGATTTGATGATGAAACCTCCTAGAATCGTATTTACAACGTGGATCAATCAGGCCCCACACTAGTACAAAGTAAGATATCACAAATCGACGGTCACAAAGGTAAACAAAGATAACTGTACTCATCAGCAGATCTCTTACAGCAATCGTTGTTTGCATGAATGACACTGGTCATTTTGTACCAACGTTCATTGTTTTTCCCAGAAAAAAATTGAGTACTCAACTACTCAGCTACCACGATCACTTTGAGTTGCACATCCATCAGGGTGGCTTCAAATGAAAAGCATCTAACAGAGGAAGAACAGTCATAACATTTTCACCCTACAAACATGATTTAGTAAATAAAAATATGAAGAGACGAGAAAAAGAAAGTGAGACAAAGAATAAGAAGAAAACTGCGAAGAGAAACAAACAACGAAGAAAATTAAGAGTGATTGTGAAGAAGAAGACTCTCAGAACAGTTCGTTATCTAGTTTGCTGTAGGCAGTGAACATGATGAATCTGCTGATGCAGAAGGTATGTTCTGTTAAAGCGTTTTTTGCATGGATAAAAGTGGGGAAAGCTGGATTAAATGCATAAGGTGTGGGCTCTAGGTCTATTTTTGTTATTGACGTGACAGTTTATGCCCATATATGGGTACCTATTCCATATTTGGTTACTCGTTTGTGGCTATATTTTATTTTAATTTGATTTACTAGTTGTTTTTAATATCCCTGAGACAAAATGGTCTTCCATATTTGGTGGCTTTATCTTGATAACACTTTAATTGACTCTAACTTTTTTGTAGCCAAGTTTTTTTCCAAGTGACATATAAAACAAAACTATCATATAAGCTTACATCATACTTTTTTAAATGGAACACCTTGTATATTATATACGTGTTTAATAGAATATCTTATTCTGATTACAATGACGTAACACACTTTATATTTTGGTCCATTCGTTTTTGACAAATCGGCAAAAATAAGAAATTTTTATATAATTTCAAAGGGTACTTGAAAATTAAAATAGAACAAAAACAATAAAAATGATAACGCATCCTAAAGTAAAAAATTGTTTAACTATTCTAAATACTGCTGTATGTGACCACCATTTTTTTGAACACATTAGAAACGTATCCGGATTGTCTCTTAACTCATTGATTGTCTCTGAAATCCTTTGCCGAAGTTCCACGACATTATTAGAAGGAGTTCTGTGCACGTGACTTTTTACGTGTCGCCAAAAGAAAAAATCCGTTACAATTAAGTCGGGGCTATTGGGATATTCCATGTTAAGAAAATTTTTAAATTGCACAATAATAATTTTCTATATATTGTTCTATTTGGTGCTCTAAGAGTTGCAAATAATGATCTCCAGTTAACTTTTGATCCATAAATATCAGACCCATCTATTTTTATTTCCTGAATTTGTCTAGGATTATTTAAATACCAATATCGCGTAGTTTGTCTATTACAACCCTTCCTTGTAGTGAACGAACTTTCATCACTCCATAAAATGTTTCTCAAAAAATTGTTATTCTCATTATGATTATTTATAAAATAAATAATAAAATTGTTCTGCACTTAGTTTTTGAGTTTTACTGAATTTTGAGTTTTACGAAATTTAAATGCATCACATTTCATATGTGTGCCTTATTTTCTTCATTTGAAACATTATAATTCCTACATACCTTCCTAGCGTTACGGTTTTCTTCAAATTCCTTTGCCAGCCTTCGAAATATATGAAAGGAGCTTTTTAACCATAATAACTAGGACAATAATTCAACCATCAATGTTGTTTACTGATATGTATGTCAAACATAAACATACTTTTATTTGTCAGTCAGGGCACTCTCTGAAATTATATAAAAATTTCCTATTTTTGCTGATTTGTCAAAAACGAGCTGACCAAAATATACAGTGTGCTACATCATTGCAATCAGAATGAGATATTCTATTCAACACATATATAATATGAATATTATGTAGGCTTATATGTCAGAAAATTCTTTTGTTTTATACGTCACTTTCTACTAAGCCTACATTTTGAAAGTTATCTTATACGGAATTTTTTTAAATTGAACTTCAACTTCAATTTTGCTTGTTACTTTCGAAAATCGATGAAATCGAACTTTTCGAAAGTATCTGCGCTCGTATAAAAATTTTATATCTCGGCAACGGTAAGTCCTATGGGATCGCCGTTAGTACAGAAATGATCACCGTCGAAAAAAAATTTTTATTTTGGTTAGTTGGTTTGGTTAGTTAGCCTAATTAGGTCAAACGGCGTCATAGGCCGCATCAAGACCTACAATTTTTGTATTTGCAGTTTTCGTTTCTCACATATGCTGCTAATACTTACAGCCAATAAATTATTATTATCATACGAATACGAACTATGGCACCCGTTTCGAGATACGATCGCAATTCCAGATAGTTGAGGAACAAAACCTCCGGTCGCCGTTAAAAACGACCGAATGGGCCAAATTTGGGACCCCCATTGGCTCGTAACGAGCGGCTATTGAACAAGTTTTCAAACTTTTAATAACCGCCGGGCAGGAATTAAAAACTGGGGGTTGGGGGTTTCGACATTGTTGCCGTTGATCTTTTTCAACTGCGACATAATTCAAAATCCCCCCCCCCCCCCGCGCTTAAACGACCACCCACGTTTCGCAGGACGTCGACGGTGGCGACTCTCGCCGTATTCCTGCTGACGTGCTGCTGGGTGTCCGCCCGCAGTATCGTCTACTTCGAATCCGACAACGCCCTCCGACCAATCGTCTCCCAGAGCCAAAAGCACCGCATCTGCGTCGAACTGTGCACTTCTGGGTTGGGCGGCACACCCTGCGGCAGCGATTGCGTCGATCTCGTTCCTGCGAGCGTGCCCGTCTCCGCCGATAACGGCAATCAAAGCGTAACCGCGGACGGCAAGTATAACGTGTCGACCCGGCAGGATTCCTGCGATGTGCTGTGCAAAAACGGCCTCGGTTTTCCGCTGTGCAATTGTCAGTACGAGGCGAAAACTTACGAGGCGGACTTCGTCGCAGTGTGCTCGACGTTTTGCGAGAGCTACGACTACCAGGTGAGAGTTATCTTTATTTATCTGTTTATTTATTGGTTGTTTATTTTTTTTGTGGTGCTTCTCTTTGAACTATTTCTAAAAACTATGTATAGGTTGGTCCGTTTAGGGGATGGAGCCAAAAGTTAATTAGGGTATTACAAAGCTTCAATTTATTTTAGTGTTGCATATACAGGGTGTTTTTTGTGGGCGGGCATCAACTTTCCGATTTTCCTGGTGTAACACTTCATTTTTGAATTCTATACAAAATTCTAGACATCTTTTCTGTATATTGTCCTATACCTAAATCTAATTGTTTTTGAAATTTTAACGGATTTCACAAAAAAAATCCCAAAAAAAAGTCCTAAGGTGTATTGCCGGATAGTTCCGGGAGTTTAAAATACTGCCTTTAGCGTCTATATAAATATTAGAAGTTTGTTAATGGGTATATAAAAATAAAAATATCTTACAAAAAAACGGAGATTTCCACGACTATGATCCAGGTAACAAAGACTGTTTCTCCATAAAAAAAAATAGACTAGAATTTTCAAAAAAATATTTTACGAACACCGGTATTAGAGTCTACAATAGACTGTCCCCAGAGCTAAAGAGCAGTAGTAATGTAAACATGTTTCAATCCAAACTAAAGTTTTTTCTCCTAGAAAACTGTTTTTATAATTTAAACGAATATTTTAATTATTAATGTTTGACATCACTTTAATGTAATTTTCTGCCTCATATGCATGACCTATTTGACGAAATCCATAATACACTAATTGTATTCGAAGTACCTATGTGAGATAATAAAGATGTTATTATTATTATTATTATTATTAAGCATTTGAAAACAGGAAAAATTGAAAAATTAGTCCAGTATCATTCCGAGAAGGAAACAGAAACGAAATTTCTAGTAAAATCAGCAGCCATTATGAGACTGTTATATTTGCAGCACTGAATATCTTCCTGTAACTGTATGCAGTAGGAAGGAATGTAAATGAGAAAAAACTGAATGGGAAATTCGAGGGACGCAGGAGGTGGCATAGTGTATATCCCAGCTTTGACTTTGTGATAAGACCCAATCCACACCGATCTCGGACGGTTCAACTAGCAGCAGCTTATCGTCTATCTTATCGAAAGCCTTGCCGAACACGACGTCCATACATATGTTGCGTATTTATTACCATTCAATCATAAATTAAAGAATTGATAGTACAGGGTGGGCACTTGATTAGGGGCCCGTACCTTTTCTCTGATTTTTGAAAAAAAAAGTTTTATGGTTTAAATTAAATTTTAAAATTATTTATTATATATATATATATATATATATATATATATATATATATATATATATATATATATATATATATATATATATATATATATATATATATATATATATATATATATATATATATATATATATATATATATATATATATATATATATTTGATAATGAATACTATATTAAAGATTCGTGGCAGTTTAAAGAAAAAATTAACAGAATCGCTCTACCACATGAAACATTTTAGCATCTCTAGATGTAGTGTCCCTCTACACAAACATTCGTATCGATTTAGCTATAGACATAATAAATAAAAAATGGGATATGATCAAACTTCACACAGACATTCCACTAGACGATTTCGTGGAAGCCATAAAATTAACTCTAAATTCGACCTATTTCATATATAATAATAAATATTACAAGCAGATTGACGGTTGTGCCATGGGTGCTTCTATTTCGAGTGTAATTGCGCAACTTGTTCTCGAAGACCTAGAAAAAACAGTTATTGACAAAATGACTATTAAATTACCCTGTTTATATCGATATGTCGACGACTGTTTTCTAGCAATACCTAAAGAAAAGGGAGACCTCATTCTGAATAGTTTTAACTCATATCACAAAAAAATTAAATTTACCATAGAATATGAAAAAGATGACAAAATTAACTTCTTAGACATGACACTAATACGCAAGGAAAACAAAATCAGAACGATGTGGTACACAAAAGATACATGGTCTGGACGAGACCTTAATTTTCACTCCCAACACCCAATATCACAAAAAAGACTGTTATTATCGGGTTGGCTGACAGAGCTATAAATCTATCTGATCCAGAGTACAGAAAAGGAGCTATATACATATAAGGCTAAGTACACACTAAAACTAAACAATTACGCAAGTGCCTTAATTAACTCTATTTTTAAAAGAAGGATACATAAATTCTATAACAAGATTTCTGTTAAGGAAAACGCACAACCATCAAAACGAGAATATTGTTGGTTGCCATACATACCAAATTTATCGGAAAAAATCTCGAATGTGTTTAAGGGAAGCTCTGTAACAATCTGCCACAAGGGTCAAAATTTGTTAAATAGGAATTTCAGTAAACTAAAAACACCAATACCCAAAGATAAAAAAAGTCACATTGTATATCAAATCCCGTGCAACGACTGTGACCAAATGTACATTGGACAGACTAGTCAACCGTTGACGAACCGCATCAATGGCCATAAGTACGACAAAAAAAAAACAAAACAGCCATCAGCAGCCATATAACGGAGAAAACACATACTTTTAACTTCGATGACACAAAAATACTTACTACCGAACCAAACACACAAAAAAGGGAAATAATTGAGATGATATTCAAAGGAATAAAAACGCCATAAACGCGAAAACCGACATAAAACACCTGAGTGAAATCTATTTCGAATTGTTAAAGTAGACCATTTTAATGCTCAGATGCTCCACCGCGTATCAGTAGGTCTTAAACTTAACACAAACGTACACTCTAAAAAAATAAATAAATAAAAACTAAGAGGGAAAAAAAAAAGACGTCAGACACAATGAATGTTTATTTTCCACTTCTATTTGTCATTCGTACGCCAAAGCAAGAACGTTATTGTTTTTGGCAATGATGTATGTTGTGGTACTTTTTCCTAAACAGCGCTAATAATAGACATTTAAAAATAAATTAATAAATTTGTGAGTATGACTAATATATGTAATTTGTTTTTGTAATATTTGTAATTTTTAAAATCGTATATGTCTACTGTTTAAGATATTCTGTGTTAGACGTTTTATTTTTTGATAGCGAACTAATTCTTTGTATGATCTCGCTTTTTTTTTTGTCCCTTGTTTTTGAGAAAGACCTGGGATGCCGGTCGAAACGTCAATGACAATTACAGTGTTTTAAAATTATTTGTGAGTTTTGTTCACTGTGGACCAAACCCTAAGAATCAACCTATAAAAAAAATTGTAGTTGAGACAAAAATTTAGACTATATATTTTTTTATGCTGAATTATGTGCTTAGTAAATATGGTCTTCCTCGGCTGGTATAGTTATTTTGACCCGCTTTGAGAAAAAATGGGCATGCCATTAAAAAAAAAAGAATACTGCAAGTTGAAATTTAAAAAAATATATATTTTAATTTAAGACACCCTGTATAATTTTAAATTAAAAATTTAAAATTAAAAATGTGTTTAAAATTTGGTCTAGAGTCATTACTGGTGGAAGGTCATATTTACTAAGAACAAAATTTTACATAAAAAAATCTTTAATCTCAATTTCTCTCTAAACTACACAAAATTCGAATAAGTAGTTTCCATAAAAGTTACTTTTATTTTTGACAGGGATTCTAAAAATATCAAAATATATTTCAAATTTTAAAGCTAACGTCGGTCCAGCACTTATCGGACACCCTGTATATATATAAAAAAAATTAAAAGTTAATTTAAACCATAAAACTTTTGTATAAACTTTATTTCCTAAAATCAGTAGCTCCAGAGAAAAGTGACAGGGGCCTAATAAAGTGTCCACCCTGTACATTGATATATCAATATCCCAAGTACTGTTAAGTAAATCAATGTGTGACACATGCATTTTTTCAAAATATGAAACAAAAAGTGTAAACTTAACCTTCGTCGTAGCGCTGTCAAAAAGTTAGCAGAACACTATGTGGGGTACAATTGTACAAAATATATATAATGCATATTCTATTTATTGAAAAAGTTGAACAAAATAAACAATTCTCAAAAATGTTAAAAAAAAAGTTAGACGAACTCCTCTACTCATATTAATTCTTACGTTTTTCTATACATAATCTGCAAATTATCTGTTTCACACTATGGTCAGTGCTTGTAACATTGTTGCCTGGACTTGCGATCTTTCTTTCTATTACACAAATGACATCGTCCAGAAACAGGCCGTTCATTTTCTTCGGAATGGATTTCACGGCGCTTTTCCAATTCTGGAAACATTTCTAGCACATATGATTTGACACTGTTGGGAATTCTTGGTTCTGTTTTAAATCTTCTTATGACGTTTCCCCTAATCAATGACTCTCCGAAGTCCAAAAGAAATTTTCTTCTGCTGTCTTTGCTTTTGATTTTTCGTCTGGAGATTTTGCACTTCATAAAATAAATGTATTTAGTGCCACGACGTCTAATAGCTGTCCAAAAATTGCATTCGGCCATCTATTACTAATTCGATGAGCTGAATATTTTTTAAAGTCTGTTCATAGATACAAGAAAGTGACTAACTGATACGAACTAAGAAAAGACACAGGCAAGCTGTAAGAATAAAATATGACCGAACAGATCCGTACTTTGCTTAGAATTTAATTATTTGGGGTTTTGCTAGGAAAGATACTAAACAATATTTATTTATTTATGTATGTATTTATGTTTAAATCGAAAATAAAATTACAAATTATTTTTATTACCTACTTAAATTACTTAAAATTATTCACATAATATATCAGTATCACTATCGCTATCATCGCCTGTTCTAATTATTATTGTTCTATATTATTTGCAATATGGATATACGAATTGTTCTGCTTTTTCTATATGTTTAACAGAATTTGCCAACTTTGTGGAGGGATGTTAAAAACTTCGGTTTCTATAATTTTGAGGACATTGGAGTTAACACGGGGAAAAACATTGTTACGACGATTTCAGATTTCAGTTGGTGCCAAACATGTTAAATGGGATTAAATATACAATGATAAGGCGGAAGCCTTAAAACTGTATGCCCTAGATTTTTTGCATAATTATCACAGACGTATTCCTTTTGTAGGTTCAAGCTTTGTAGAACCTCAATTAATTGCTTTTTGGTATAATCTTCGTGAAAATAAATGTCGTTATTATACATGTAGTTTTGCGTTGTTGCTTTTGTGTCACATGAGGAAGGGGTTTGAGTCAACTGTCTACTGTGATTACTTGCATTGTCCATTACAATGACGCTAGTTTGTTTTTAAACCAACTTTCAAATAAATCAGCGGTGGGGTCTTCATGGTAATCCAGAGAAGAATCTTTAATATTTTTCGCAGAGGGAGAAAGTCCAACCATCTTTGCAGCCAGCATGCAAAATACTTTTTTGATGGCGCGTTTGTTATACACTTATCAGTTGAGCTTTTCCGGGGTATCGAACCAGGTTTCATCTAAGAAAATAATTGGCCTTTGTTGTTCTCTGTAAATCCTAATTTTTTCTAGATATTCCAGTCGCCATTTCCGAATTCTAAAAGATTCCATTAAAATTTGCCTTTTATCAATTTTTTTAAACCTAAAACCCATGTGTTGAATACACTTCCATAGGGTAGTTCAGCCACATTTAACACCAGTTTCATCTTTTTCAAGCCTCCTAATTAAGATATCTAATGTAGGCACGCTTTGTTCCTCGTATAACTGGTAAATTTTACGCCGTATTATATCTTGATCACTTTCATCTACACCCGAGAAAATGTCAGCGTCGCTTCATTTTTTCCTCGCTGAAATGGGATTATTCACAGTTTTCCATACAGTTGATGTTGGAATTTTCGACAATGTGGCCGTTTCTTCTAAAGATGCTTGCTTGCTGCCACCACGTGCAATGAGAGTCAAATAAACATCGTCTATAACTTCCTTAGTCTCAATGAATAGTGTTTTCTACATTTGAGATACACTAGACTCGGACATATTTTGCATAATTCGCACACGATTCAACACACGCTGTATTACACACGAAATAAGAATGATTACTGATAAACTTAAACCAAGTAGTATACCAAACCAAAGAATATTAAACACAGATAGGTATAAAATTATTTTCTATCACGGACCACAATTTTACCTGAATTTAAATTCCGAAACTTCAGGTAATAATCTTGTCGCATTGTGTGTTAATGACCACCCTTAGGTAATCCCATTCAAAAGCAATTGGTCAGTTTCTTATATCTATGAACAAACCATACCATATTATCGGTAGTATCTACGGCACCTTTTGTTTCATTATAATGAAGTATTATGCCAAGCTTGTACTTCATATTTGCTCCCGCAACGGAATCATCATGATGCTCCGTAGACTACATAAGGACAGCCTTATTCTTGCTAGGCACATAGGACACAATTGCATGTTGTTTCCGAAAACCAAACTTTGACGAAAAAATGGGGTTATAAGGTTTTGGCAAGAGTTCTTCGGGAATATAAGATTTATTTTTCCTAATGTTCCGCGAAGTGTCATTTGTTTCTCCAATAGTTCATCTGCTAGGGACAAACTTGTAAAGAAATTATCTGTGGTTACGCCATGTCCATGATGGACGTCATAACTAAAATATACAGAAAATGAATCTGTAAATAGTAAACGACAATAAATAAAATTGCGGAACCCTTGTGTAAAGTTTTGAAAAAGATATAAGAAAAATTGAGTGAATTTTTTAAATTCACACACAAATGAAGTGTGTGTGTGCACAATTAATTTTTTTTAAAAAGTTCTAGAGAAATTGCTGATTTTCGTTTTTTTTAACCGACTTCTTATCCCCCACGAATTTGGGACACTCTGAACAAATAATTAGCGGCGGGTATTTTTTAGTTATACGGGTGCCAGAATTGCAAATATTACGAATCGAATTTCGCCCAAAACAACAGGACAAGTTCCCCCGCTAAGGGGCCAGGCAACCAGACGGCCACCACCCCAAATTGGTCAACTTGGTGCCTCAAAATGTGCGCCTCTGGAAACGGCGGCGCTGCCTGTCACTGCGACGACTATTACTGATTCTGTATATCGTGCATTCTGTGTAGAATAAATACATTGACACGGTAAAGGCTTTTGTTTATTTTCGAGCATAACAAAAATGATTTCTTCATTTTAATTGCTCCCTATATCTATTTCGCGACACTCTTCTTTGGTACACCACTAAGAAAACGTCTGACGGCTTAAAAAAATATACCGTGATTCAATAAAAAACCTCGCAGACTGGAACTCGTGCAAAAAAATAAAAATCACTGCGTGGATAGTAATTTAAATAATTCCGAGACTCTTCGGAACATACTTAATGATCCAAATATCCACATAAAAAAAAAACTTGAACTGAAATAAACAAGAGTTTTTTGCCTCGTCAACTCCAAACTCTTTCTTCAATAAACGACTCTTGAATTATTGCACAGGTCAACACGATTTTTGGGCCTATCCTACATGTTAAATTTCAGCTTCTCCTTCACTAAAAACAAGGGATTTTTTTTTATGTTTGCTTTTCTAAATACAAGAGCAATTTTTAATTTTTTACGGTTTCTTTATAGTTTTACTCTAAGTTATGGTAAGCGAGGTTTTTTTTTAATATCGGTGTATTTTTTATTCACGAAGGGTATTCCAATTGTCCCAAACAGTGCAGTCACGTCCTTAGAGTACCAAATACCGGCTTCTTTTGTGAAAAATCATGAAAAGTTATTTTTACGTCATTTTCGAGCAAGTTGCTTTAGTCGTGAGCCTAGAATTTCCGCATTACTCTTGGGTAGGTTCAGGTCAAGATAAAATGTGGCCCAAAACGTCATGAACTTCAGAGCAATCTGAATACGATGGCGCAGGAAATTATTCTACAAATGGTATCGCAGGTTCAAGGAAGATCAGGATAAAAAAAAATTTCAGCATTTTCACCAGATCGACGCTTACTTGGATTAACCAGACAGTCATGGACCTGATCACTAGGTTCCCTCCAAAGCCTTCACACCGCAAACTTCATACGTCGGTTATCTTCAAAATAATTTGTATTTACAAAGTCAAAATATAATGAATAACCCAGTCCAGTACCATGTATCAGGGGGCCATATTTAGTGTAAAGTCTGTTCATATATATAAGAGGGTGACTAACTGTAAAGAATTAAGGAAAGACCCGGGCAAGCTGTAAGAATGAAATAGGGCCCAACAGTCCGTACTTTGCTTGGAATTTAATTATTTGGGGTTTTGTTAGGAAAGATACTAAACAATATTTATTTATTTATGTTTAAATCTAAAATAAAATTACAAATTACTTTTATTACCTACTTAAATTACTTAAAATTATTCACATAATATATCAGCGTCACTATCGCTATCATCGCCTGTTCTAATCATTATTTGTTCTATATTATTTGCAATATGGATATACGTTTGTTCTGCTTTTTCTATATGTTTAACAGAATGTTTAACAGAACTTTGTGGAGGGATGTTAAAAATTTCGGTTTCTACAAGTTTGAGGACATTGGAGTTAACACAGGGAAAAACATTGTTACGACGAATGGCAGACTTCAGTTGGTGCCAATGGGATTAAATATACAGTGGTAAGGTGGAAGCCTTAAAACTGTATGCAATAGATATTTTGCATAATAATAACAGACGTATTCCTTTTGTAGGTTCAAGCTTTGTAGAACCTCAATTAATTGCTTTTTGGTATAATCTTCGTGAAAATAAATGTCGTTATTATACATGTATTTTTGGATTTTTGCTTTTGTGTCACATGAGGAAGGGGGTTTAGTCTACTGTGATAACTTGCATTGTCCATTACAATTACGCTATTAGAAGAAATGCTTGGAAATAGTTTGTTTTTAAACCAACTTTCAAATAAATCAGCGGTGGTAATCCAGAGAAGAATCTTTAATATTTTTCGCAGACAGTCCATTTGGAATCCAACCATCTTTAGAGCCAACATGCAAAATAGTTATTCTTTTACCTCTTTGTGATGGCGCGTTTGTTTTACACTTATCAGTTGGGTCAATCCAACCCTTTTTAGGGGTATCATAAGTGTCGAACCAGGTTTCGTTCAAGTAAATAAAATTTGTTGTTCTCTGTAAATCCTAATTTTTTCTAGATATTCCAGTAGCCATTTCCGAATTCTAAAAGACTCCACTAAAACTTGCCTTTTGTCAATTTTTTTAAATCTAAAACCCATGTGTTGAATACACTTCCATAAAGTAGTTCTGCCACATTTAACACCGGTTTCATCTTTCCTAATTAAGATCTAATGTATATCCACCAATTTTACGCCGTATTATATCTTGATCACTTTCATTTACACTCGGGAAAATGTCAGCATCGCTTCTTTTGTTCCTCGCTGAAATACGATTTTCCATACAGTTGAATTTTCGTCAATGTGGCCGTTTCTTCTAAAGATGCTTGCTTGCTGGCACCACGTTCAATGAGAGTCAAATAAACAATGTTTATAACTCCCTTACTCTCAATAGAATAGTGTTTTCTACATTTGGGCGGGAGCATCTCCTAGACTCGCAAATATTTTGCATAATTCGTACACGATTCAACACACGCTGTATTACACACGAAATAAGAATGATTACTAATAAACTTAAACTAAGTAGTATACTAAACCGAAGAATATTAAACACAGATAGGTATAAAATTATTTTCTATTACGTACCACAATTTTACCTGAATTTAAGTTCCGAAACTTTAGGTAATAATCTTGTTGCATTGTATGTTAATGACCACCCTTGGATAATCCCATTCAAAAGCAATTGGTCACTTTCTTATATCTATGAACACACCATACCACAAGCAGAGTGACATGTTTCGTAACTAACATGAAAACAGTGTCACCCTTTAAATATACGCGAAAAAACGATTATCGACCCCTCTCCTTCGACATTTTCCCCTTCCACGCGACCAACGACGTAATATCTCTGACTTTTTCCAGATATACGGGTGTCAGAGCTGCGATCTGCTGAAAAATTATTTCAATAACACCCCCAACGAGCAAAACTCCGCCTCGCCATTTTCCGTAATGAGCACCGACACCATGAGCATCACCGCAAAGAAGACCTACTGGCGGCTCTGGTGCGTCGACGTTTGTTCCACGGGCGACGGTGGCGCCGCCTGCAATTGCGACCTGCTACCCTGATTCGCCGCCCTGAGAAATTTGTAACGCCCGCCGCCACTGGTGCTAACGTTGTAGTAGTAGTTCGTTCAATAAATCCAGTTTTACTGTCGTCGTGAAATCGCAGAAAACGCGCTAGCGTAAAATGTTTACGGTTCGAAACGTTGCTAATTAAACATGCAACTTTGACGTCGACATCAAATAGTACTGTCATTTCAAAACCACATTCAATAATCGGCACGGCCAAAATGGTAGCAGCTTTTCTCTGTAGCAAATATGACCGCATAGAAAATAAAACAAACGGCAGGTAGGTATGTGAAATTTAGGGGCATCCGTCCCTTGTATACAGGGTGAGCCAACTATAGGGTTAACTTCATTATATCGTTGGTTTCGAAAGTTATGAGAAAACGGGAACATTGTAAAGATGGCTTAAAATTATTTTAAAATATACGGGGTGGCTCAAAAAGCGCGACTAATAAAACTTGCATTTTTTTAATGGAACACCCCATATTTTAATTTTGTTTTGAAGTCCTTTTAATAAATTCTTTATGAATAAACCTAGTAGTGTTTTAATATTTTGATTTTTCTAGAAGAATACTATTTGATATTAGAATTTTAAATTGAAAAATATCGATTTCCTTGAAGGGCACACCATATACAAGGGTGGCGTGAAAAGTTTCCGGCCTGACCAATAAAAACTCTGCTTTTATTTTTTTTGCTTTTAATCTCCAGTTTTGATTAGTTTTGGTTAGTTAGTACTGTATTAAATAAGTGGGTGTTTCAATCAGATTTTCGATACATACGAGGGTGGGGTGAAAAGTTTCCGGCCTGACCAAGAAAAACGATGTTTTTTCTTTTTTTTTTTTTTTTGCTTTTAACCTCCCGTTTTGATTAGTTTTGGTTAGTTTGTACTTTATTAAACAAGATCAGATTTTCGGTACATACGAGGGTGGGGTGAAAAGTTTCCGGCCTGAGCAAGAAAAACAAGGTTTTTTCTTTTTTTTTTGGTTTTGATCTCCGGTTTTGGTTAGTTTGTACTTTATTAAATAAGTAGGTGTTTCAGTAATATTTTCGGTACATACGAGGGTGGCGTGAAAAGTTTCCGGCCTGAGCAATAAAAATTATGTTTTTATTTTTTTTGCTTTTAATCTCCAGTTTTGATTAGTTATGGTTAGTTTCAACTCTATTAAATAAGTGGGTGTTTCACTCAGATTTTCGCTACCTATGAGGGTGGGGTGAAAAGTTTCAGCCTGACAAAAAAGGATGTTTTCACATTCATTTTTTTTAATTTAATCTCCATTTTTGTTTAGTTTGTACTTGATTAAATAAGTGGCTGTTTCAATCAGATTTTCAGTACATACGAGGGTGGGGTGAAAAGTTTCCGGCCTGACCAAGAAAAACGATGTTTTGACATTTTTTTTTGCTTTTAATCTCCAGTTTTAGATATTTTGTACTTTATTAAATAAGTGGGTGCTTCGATAAGGTTTTCGGTACATACGTAGGTAGGGTGAAAAGTTTCCGACCTGATCAAGAACAGCGATGTTTTTTAAAAAAAAATTTGCTTTATTTTGCAACGTAATCTCCATCAACACCGAAACATTTCTCATAACGGTGTTGTAATTTGACTATATCAGTTTTAAACGTAAATTCGTCAAGCTCCTCAATATACTGATTTACAGCTTCGATAACTTCGTCGTTGCTCTAAAATCTATTACTGCCAAACCATTTTTTGAGGAAAAAGGAGAAGATAATAGTCGCTGGAGGCTAAGTCTGGAAAGTAGGGAGGTTGCGTCATCAATTCGAACTTCATTTCGTGAATTTTGGTCGGAAACTTTTCACCCCACAATCGTTTTTTTTTTCTGAAAGATCTTACAAAAACCTACAACTTTTTCCTTCTTTCTCTCCCTTACAAAACAAAATAATTAGAAACAACCTCTAAAAATATGGTAATTTTTTGCACTAGTCCTTTTTTAGCATAATTAAAATATTGCAGGTTTGGGTATGCATTAATTATAGTGATAATAAAATAGTGGAAGAATTTCAAAACGAATTGAAAGCAACATTTAACATTGGGTGTTTGATATAAAAAATGTATAATTCAAAATAATCTTTCAAACTTTTCTATTTTCCATTTTCTCATAACTTTTGAAACGAATGAGATATAACTTCACTCACCCAGTACAAAAACGCCCGCCCAGCTGCTTACTGAAAACAAAACTAAGTTGCCAAAAAAGGAAATCCGAAGAATAATAGGCAAAATGTAAACTCGGCCACAATAATTTTTTTTGTGGTGGGGATAACAGTGGTTTCGGCTAATATGTTTGTTGATTCCACAGCATGCGCGTCTATTTGTTCGTGTAGCTTAAAAATGTAAAAAGCAACGTTGACATTTTGTAGACAATACTCAGTGTTTCATGTAATTCTTTTAAGTGATCCTGAAAAAAATTACAAAAAAAACGAATTTTACGAAGACGCAATCATTGTAAAATGCCAAATTCATAATCCGTAAGGCTGCTAATAAACGTACCCCCTCTTTTATCTTCACACTGGCAAATAACTTATTCGAAGCAGGAAAATTTGTTGGGTGAATATAAGATCAACGATATAGCGTTGAAACATGCAACATCCAGCAGTTGATCATGCATGGTAAGACGATGCCCAGAAGAAGACAGTGGTCAACTAATACGCTGTTTATGATAGCGGTTAATAAATTATTGATAGCCAATATGATTGCTAACGTTCGGTAAAAAACGGATATGGCACATCAAGAAGAAGGACCCTCAGTAATAGAGAGAAAATATTTTAAATTGCAAATCAGTAGGGTCTCTTTTAGGAACACTAACACCTCATTTACGGCCCTGGCTTGCGGTACGCATTCTTTACAACAGGCGGGTGTTAATAAAAGGTTGTAAAAACGGTATATTGTTTGACGAACTATACCTGTATTTAGAGTGAAAATTATTGGCAGAATCGTCCTTGCAAAGTACTCAAAAACATAACATTAAAATATGATTATATTTAAGCGGTGGTATTGGATTAACTTCTTCATCGGGTCCAGAAATGTCTAAAACTTCCATTATAACCTAACCTAAACTTATGTGCATAACGTCTATTTGTTGTTAACCGCTATATACATTTATGTACACATATATCCTGATTGTTACCAAAATATAGTGTAAGAAACTCATGGGTTGTAATCTGTGTTAGGGTTGTTCACATGATACGACACGTGACCAAAACGCAAGGTTTTTTAAGTTTTACGTCTAAGACATGTGAACTTCTTTTATGGTTACTTTAAAAATACTTTCATACTCCACATTTTGAACCAAAGGTGTTAAAAGTATCAAATACGTAGGAGGTATTTGAATTATGTTGAATGCAAATAATAGATCATATTTTTGATATCCTGTTTATGCAGAAAATTCCAATTGGGTGAGCCGATTGTAATGTGAAAAAGTGAGAATAGAATTTTAAATGGCTGTCACTTTTTTGTTTTTAGAGATCAAGGTAAACAAAAAAAAACGAAATATAGGTTTTGGTAGCCAAGTTTTTTTCCAAGGGACGTATAATATAATAATAATATGTTTCATAGAATATCTTATTCCCATTACAACGATACATACACACTTTATGTCTTGCGTTTAGTAACGTTTCCGGATTGTCTCTTAACTGAAATTCTTTGCCAAAGGAATGGATATAACCCATGGATATTCCAAATTAAGAAAACTTTTAACTTGCACAACATTGTGAGGAGGCGCACCATCTTGCTGCCATATAATCAGCGCTGATATGTATATATTGTTCTATTTGGTGCTTTACGAGTTGCAAATAATGATGTCCAGTTCAGTTTTGATCTATAAATATCGGACCCAAAATATGCCCACTATGATACCACACCATTCATTAATTGATTGGTACCCCTGGGTTTTTAGTTTGTGTATTTGTCTAGGATTATTTAAAGACCAATATCGCGTATTTTGTCTATTACAACTTCTTGTAGTGAACGAACTTTCAGCAGCTGATAAAATGTTTTTCAAAAAATTATTATTCTCATTATGTCTATCTATTTACCATCACGTTGTTTACTAATATGTCAAAAAACATAAACATATTTTTATCTGTCAGTCAGAGCACTCTCTGAAATTGTATAAAAATTTCCTATTTTTGCCGATTTGTCAAAAACGAGTTTACTAAAATATAAAGTTGTGTATCATTGTAATCGGAATAATATATTCTATTAAATACATACATAATATACAGGGCGTTGCATTAAAAAAATATGTAGGCTTATATGTCAGAAAATTTTGTTTTATACGTTACTTGGAAAAAAGTTGGCTACCAACCCTACATTTTGTTTACCTTGATATCTCTAAAAACAAAAAAGTTACAGCCAATTGAAATGTTATCAAGATAATTTGAACGCACGGTACATCAATAAATGTCACCATCGTAATTTTCGACACTTTTTAAACACAAAACATCTGGCAATCGTGCAGCTTTAACTTCGATTTAGAAAAATTCTCCTAAACTCAGTACAGCTAAAGCGATTTTAGTGTCATTTATACTGCCGTCGCTAGATGGAGCCAACTGAAACTCTACTTGTTACTTGCTACTTGTTTTTTTTTTTTCGAAAAAGTCAAGTGTAACGCTACATTTAGATGAGAATTAAATTCTCTCCTTTCATGAAAAAGTCGGTTTTGTATTTTGTTCAGTGGTGTAGCTTGAGATAAGTTTTATCAACAAAAAAATACACCCCGGTGACTCTTTTATGATTTTACTTGCTCTTTGGATTGAGCAATCCAAAATGAAACGTTTTTTATCTCTTCAATTTTTCTCGTTTTCGAAAATAAAAATTAAAAAATTTTGTTTGGACTTCAATGCGAAAATGGAGAAATATACGAAAACACAAAAAAGTTTTATTTTTCTTTGCTCTATGGAAAACACTACAAAAAAAGTGATAAAATTTGTTAAAGTATCTCTCAGCACGCCACTGAAAATGTCTACAATTTAATTTTCTTTTAAACTATACAACAATAAATATATGGTGAGATTTAATTATTTCGAAAAAATGCGGTAATAAATTATAAACTTTTTTAGGCATATTTTATTTTTTATCATACGACAATGCGGGTGTTTTCCAAATAAAAGGATTTTTACATCTAGTTGCCTAAGGTCAGATAATTTCTTTAGCTTTGTCTCATTGTGCTATTATTTTTATTAATTTATATATATATAATTTATTAATTTATTTCTTTTCTTTTTAAACATGCCACAAGTTGTGCCAAGCCGTGGTGAAATATCAGAGAAAGTGACCAATGCAGTTTTAAAGAAATATAACTTTGATACTTTTGACAGTTTTGGTACAACCAGTATATTATAAAAGTAGTTAAAAATTACTTTGCGCATCCTTAAAGTAAAACGTGTTGTATATGTATGTGTATATATCTATTGCTAAAAAAATTAAATAAGTTGTAATGGTAAAATGACAAAGTCACGACGTCTTCCAGATAATCTTAGCCCTGCTATACCTTAAAGTGTTTATCCCGTTTTAGCAATAGCTGCACATTAATAAGAGCGTTCTTGAAATTACTATCATCAAGTGTCATTTTTGACTTCCCACTGACAATGTGGGATATTCCAGATATATATATTATATTTTTTTATTATCTATACTAGAATCTAGAATGACCATATCATTATTAACAATTATTTTTCATCCAATTGTAAAAAGTGTACAGCGTCGATTTTTTTCAAACGTTTCTATCTTCTTCCTACTTATGGTCAATATCTTAATTTAAACGCTTTTAATGTTTTGATGTATTCTTGATTCCGTTCTCCTTAAATTAAGTCTGATACGTCGTCTATATAACTGTTCGCAATTCTAAGTAACATATCTCTAAATGTTATGTCGCACAACTATAGGTGTTGAATGCGTAAAATTTTGTAGTAATTAGTAGGTATATTTTGTATAAATGTTGATAAGATATAAAATTCGCATATAAGGAAAGTTTAATTAGGTAATCGGATTTGTTATATTTTAAAAGTTTATGTTCTTGTTACTGAACTGAAAACTGTTGTGTAACGACAATAAATATAACTTAGACTCTTAAAATTAGGTATCTTTAAATTTGTAAATATAAGTACATAAATATATATAATACATGCATATACTTAATATTTTTCCACAATTAATAAACATTAGGAAATACATACCTAATACAGTTATACTTTGGAATTTAAATGGTTCGAATCCTTGCTGTTTACTCGTCGTACCTAGATAATTTTCTTATGTGTGATATTTTGGGAAAAATAAAATAAATGGTTTAAAACGAAAGGATTGCTATAGATATATGATTGACCCTAAAACGTATTGCTTATTTTATTGGAGATAAGTGACTCTATTTCTGTAGCTACTAAAATAATAACAACCGGCTCGTCGGTTTTCAAATTTGGTAACTCTTTTTATGAAAGTGTGTTGTTTATTATTCCATGTCGAATAGATAGTAGAAGCATAGACTAAAAAGGTCCATGGAAGAAACTAGGCAGTTAAGTATAGTGCAAACATTTCGAATCTAGAAGTTGATTTGTTTTCATACTTTCCGAACTTGCCCGAGTCATTAAACAAACACAAAACAAAATAGTACCCGGACTTTTCCCAATGCAGTATATTGATAATTTTTTTAAGTTATAGGTATTCACGTACCGTGCATCGAAACCGACCATATTATGAACAGTAAATACATCATAGATAAAAGAAAATAGTAAACAGTAAACGTTATAGTAAACACAAACCTAACCTCATTTTGCGAGTTTGTTGTCCACAATTCAATGAGAATTATTACCTTTATTATTTTTGGCCTTTTTTCTTTTAACGGAATTTACGGAGAGAATGTGTGTTATAAAGATAAGTGTCATGTATCGTCAACCAGGTATTTCGTACCACTAGTATCAACATGAAAGATCGTCCGTTTGTTTTCTGTAGATATTTACTTTACGACGTCAATCCGCCCGAAGGGTTTAACCTGAGACGAGATGTTTATATGAGGATCGCAATACTTGCGCATCAATTGCAAAAAAGCACAAGATTGGGATTAAATAGCATTAAAGTGGTACTGCCCCCGTGGTCCCATTTAATTCATTGGAGTTACAGCGAAATTCCGGAATATGTGCCGTGGTCGACATTTTTTGACTTGCACAGCCTACAGCTATTCGCGCCGGTTATTGAGATGCACGATTTTTTTAGCAGTAAAGCGAAATTTAATTAAAAGAGTCGCCGGTATGAAACTTTAAAGTATCCTTTCAGTTCTACAACAAAACAAGTACACCAAAGCAATCATAGACAATGTGTATATACTTCAGCACTTTGATGATATGTTTGAAACAGGAAAGTTTGTTGATAAATTGGAAATTCAAAAATGCCAAAATCCACCCAAAGTGCGATACTTTTACTACAACAACATGACCTCGACTAACGTGAAATGTCTCTCATTCCATGGACCGGCTTCTCAACTAATTCAACTTTTGCAAAATACCTCTTCAAAGTAAGTCACTAATTGTGTTGTTTTTTTTTTTAATATTTTATCCAAATGGGAATTGTTAATTTTTATGTCAGAACTATTCTAGTGGACCACGCAGAAGTAATGCTTCATGATCGATTTGGAGATAAAACATATTGGATGGCCAGACGTAGTATGAGGTTTAACAAAGAATTAAGAAAAATTGCTCTTAAATTCAGAGAAAATTACTTAAATTCAACGGACAGAGGGGATAACACATTTCTAGAGGCGGATTGGAGAAATGACAAGGTGAGCTACAATTTGCCATGTTAACACTTGTAGTACACTTTTATTTTCTATTTAAAAATGAAAAACACAAAAAAATTATAAGGCATTAGGTTTTAGAGCTATGATTCCGTAACATCTAGGAGACACAACTGGATCGAAAAGTTGGACAATGTAAGAACTAGTATAACCGTTTTCTTGCAAAAATAACAATCTATCAAGTAAGATAAGACTCTCAATAGCCGGGCCTAACATGGACTTCATTAAGTAGAACAGGTTCAATTCATTAACCCTACTTTCATATTCTCTAAACAGAAGGTCGATTTCTTCATCGGACATTGTTAAATCGAAGTTTATTCTTTTGGAAGCTGCTTTAGCATACTCTAGAAATGTGACACACTCTTTACGAAAACGTCCAACCTGCCTATTTTCGTAGGGCACAAATGTAGAGCTTTTTTCCAGCACTATTTCAAACAAAGCTCTCTGAAATATTGTTTTGCTCGGTAGTTCCCTTTTATGCAAAATCCTCTCGATGGACTGACACCCGATCATTCGAGCGGCCCTGCCAAGTTTGTACTGTTTAGTTTTTAAAAATCCGCTCATAGGAAATTTTACATTGTTTGCATCGCCATCAGTGAGCTCTGTTAAAAAGTGGTAACAGCACCCCACGTTGCAGAGTAACTGGACATCTTGAGTTTTGTGAAATATTTCAAGACACGCGGGGCCTAAATTGCCGCATGTGTGCAGTCCCACTATGCCCATACCATTGGGTGATTCCAAAAACACATTGACGACCAATCTGTTAAAGTCGGTATTCTCGTCTACGAATTGGGTGATCTGCTTATAATGATCAATGTAAGTTTCCCTTCTCTTTTCATTATTAACTACCCTGTTCCAAACTTTGGCTAACTTCCTAGCCCTCTGAACTGATCCCTCCGTATTTACTTTAGATGCGTCAATGCCAAGAACTGGTATTTGGTAATTTAAAGCGAGCATTGAACTTAAATAACCTTTTCCATCACCAATATCTATAACGTGGGATATGCGAGACACTTCTTTTAATGCGGCAATGATGCAACTCAAAATCTCAACTTCGTGGGATTTTTTTGAGTTCATAAAGATGTCCAACTTTAAACTAGACAGTTCAGAACTTCCCATTTCCATTAGACTTTTCTGGAATTGCTTCAAACTGAGACAAATGGGGATATTTTTCAAACTCATCCTTTCATTTGTGTCGATAAAATCTTTAATATTTGGTTTGTTTTTTAGTTCTTGTGCAAAAATTGACTCGATTATTTCTAAACAGCCAAACTCCTGTATTTCACTTGCCACATCAGCGGGCATAAAAATGTTAAATGTGTCCTTTGTAAAGTACTCAACCATATGGGCATTAGCTAAAGGCAGATATGTATCTAAATGATGTATTACACTTTCAATTTGTTTAATTACAGCTTTTATCTGGGTCATTTTAAAAAGTGAAACTGTCCTTTTTCAACTCGGAAGTTAGTTTCAACTGAACACAAAGTTTTTTGTACAAGGAATGAATTTTTTCCATGGTTTCTATAATATCGACGTCTTCAACATTGGTTTGCGGAAAATTCGCAACGAGTTGTTTTAAGTTTTCCAAGTTTTTTTGTATTTTCTCCGAGAACTCATTTGACTTTGCCAAATAATATCCGGCAAATGAATTATAATACCCCAATTGATAACCTAGTTCGCAGCCGCGGTGGTAACCCAGATGATAACCTTCCGTGCTGTTTTCCGCAGAACCTAATTTGTAACCCTCCTGGTAGCCCTGTTCCACAATTTTTTCCTCAGCAAATAGGATATCTTCGAAAACGTCGTTTATGTCCACTTCATGTTCGACGCCTGAAATAAAACTCATAAAAGATTTAGTCACTTTTGTTTCCATTATTACCTGAAATTTGTTCTTGCATAATGTTTTTACTTCATCGAATAATAATTATTTCTTATCCTAACGAATATACAATGAACACAAGTTAGGTTAAGTTGTAATTCTTCTTTCAATTTTTGTGGTGCCCAATTCTCTCGGACCCATTGGGAATGGTATAATGTTATTTAAAAAGTTCACTGTTACTAATGGTTGGTCTCTTTTAGCCCAAAAGAGATGCTACAGGTGGGCCTTATATCGGCGTCCATTTAAGAAGACGAGATTTTGCTAGAAGCCGACCCGAAGAAGTGCCATCTATCGAGAACGTTGCGGATCAAATATCCGCGTTATTACAAAAATTACAACTTGAGAAAGTGTTCATTGCCACAGACGCCACAAAATTAGGTGAAAACTTTTATTTACATAATAAAATGGTAATGGATAAATGGCAAAATTTTAGAGTATGATGGGCTGAGGTCGAAATTGGAGCAAAAATATGAAGTTTATAGGTATGAACCTACGGACGTAATTAAGGAAAAATTCAATGAGGGCGGGGTCGCCATAATAGATCAGATTATTTGTTCGTACTCGCGATACTTTCTTGGGACTAAAGACAGTACCTTTTCGTACCGCATTCAGGAGGAAAGGGAAATCCTGGGCTTCCCCACCGACCGAACTTTTAACGTTCTGTGCAAAAATATGCACGAATGTTCCGAACCTTCTGTGTGGAAAATCGTGTATTAAAACAAGTAATCGCTAATGTATTTATTTATAACAAGAGGAATATAATACAATAACTGTTGTAAACAAAAGTACACTACTTTTTTGTACAAAAATATAAAGTTATGTCTTCATTCAGTAGTCCTACGAGCCAGAGTTCCAATTAAATCCTATTCAAATAAAACCCGTTAAAGGTAAATGAGCAACTCTACAACAAGATGTTCTGTGGTAAAATATTTCGATTCAATAGAACGAGGTAATTTTTAAAAAAGCCAGTGAAGCTAACACCAAATTTTACTGAAGTATAACTTTTTAAAAACAAAAATGGAGAAAAATTACTGTAAAACGCAGGTTTTTTAGAAACATACTTTTTATCAATCAAATTTGAGAACGAGAAAATACTTTATTACTTATCACTTACACCTCTTTTTGGGCACTTCCACCTGAAATAACTTTTTCTCTTCAAATTGCTACTCATTACCTAGCCTGTGGTTTTACAATGGGCCAACTTTAAAGATTTGCATTGCACTATAGAAAAAGCTACACATAAAGGGCCAGATACATGTTAAATTTTAAATCTCTATCCCTTTATAGAAAATGGCATCGCTGTCAGGAGATTCTAGCCGCGTCTTAATGTGGTCCAAGGTATTGTTAAAATGTTTGGTTATTTGTTCCGTTTCGTCAGAGTTCTCCAGATTTGGCAGCTCTTCTTTGATTTTCTTAATTACCTAAAACGATTAACATAAGCGACGTCACCCACGACACCGACTTTCCCGAGCCCACCTGGTTCAATATCTCTACGGTCACCTGGTTATTCCCCTTCTCGAAGAAATAAATGTAATGGTTCAATAGTTCGACAAACAACTGAACCTGAACGCTAACGTCCATACACTGTTTGGCGATCCTCAGACCTTTCTTCAAACATTCCACCACCTTTTTACCGTCGTGTGTCTCCTCCTTGTTTGTCGCCAAACTTTTCCCGCTCCAAAACAGGTGACTACAAGTAGCCACGCCCCTACACTGATCGGGTTTCTTTAGGAGCTTGCTGGCCGCCAGTGCGCATTGGGTCCTCAACGGATCCGAATTCTCTTCCGAAAAACAGCTGATCTGTTCGAGGGTACCGACGATCAGAGTGATGGCCGCGAGCTGAGCCTTCGAATCGGATATCTCGTCCTCGTACAGCGAGAATGCCTGCGACATGAACTCGTAGGCGATTGTCTCGTGGTTGTCGAACCCGATTTGATCGATCGCCAGGCTTCCCTGCAGGAACAGGCGCAGCGGGAGCTCCGCCAGCTCCGCTTTCACTAGCGCGGTAATCGTTTGGTGACAGAACTGAAATAGTTTCGTGCACTTTTTGTCCCACTTTTCTTCCTTCGTATCGCGATATTTGTAAGCCAGCTGATACGCTTGGAACACTATCGGCGGGAGAGTATATCTGATCCGGACGGGGCCACCGTTTCCTAAAATCTGAAGGGGATAGGGATTCATTTGTCTACGAATCCTACAAAAACTCGGGCTTTTTATTAAACTAACCATAGTTAACGTCAATCGATATGGCGTGTGGTGAGGATGAGTTTTTGTTGTTTTTTTTGTTACACATACAGTATATTCTTATTACTCTTAGTAATCCCAATACAAAAACTCCAAAAACCTTAATTGCCTAATATCTTAAGCGTATAGTAATATTAAATAGAACTCGGGCTTGTTATTAAACTAACCATAGTTAACATGAATCGACATGGCAGCAGGTGAGGTTGAGGTTAAGTTTTTGTGATTAAATTTAATATACACATACAGTTTATTCTCCAAAAACCTTAATTGTCTTATATCTTAGGCGTATAGTAATATTAAATAGAACACAGGCAGAGAAAAAGAGAAACATTATAATCTCTGCTATCTGTTCCAAAAGAAACTTGCCGCAGATTCTGCGTTCTTTCATTTTCCTACTTTATTTCACACAGATGCCGAGTACCATAAAAAAAAAATCAAATAAAACCCAAATCTGTTAAAAAAGAACATTATATTATAGCGAATACATCCAGCCACAGAATCAAAGGCTAAAATAGATACAACTCCGACAGGTCTCGCTGGCAGAGGAGAAGCTGTCGATAAATGCTCAATTCTCATTGGTTAGTTATCCAAGTATCACTGGCCAGGCTTTGTTTTCTAAAGGAGCAATATTTTTCTTCGCAAAGCATTATCTACGGCCCCAGAAATTTAATTTTGAAGATTCACGGTGGCCAGTATACAGATTGTTGTGCAATTCATATGTCTTGATTTAGTGAGTGATCCTCGAGCACATGTAGTACAGTGACAAAATACTCCTCCACGGAAATTTTTGACAAAAATTGCATATGAAATAGTTGTGATGCCATTTTCGGCGGAAAAAAAATAGAGCGAGGTTTATCACGGTACTGCGTTGCCAAATTTACGGAGTCTTTGGCCAAACATTAAAAAAAGGAACTCAGAAGTCTCATTACTTTATCCATTAGTACTACTTATTTTTAATGTGATATTGATATTATATAAGATATAGATTCTACATGATGGAGTAATGATATTATAGGAATTACTCAATACCCGCTTTGAGTAGAAAAATTTCATATAAAGTAGTTGTGGTACCACTTCAGCCGAAAAAAATGATAGATCCAAGTTTTAAAAGGGAATTCTGAGGTCTTATTACTTAATCCACCAGTACAATTAATTTTTGATCTGACCTTGCTAAAATAAAATACAGATTCTATATCTGAGTGAGGTCTAGATTAACTGGGTAATTATATTATATGAATTATTGTACGACCAAAAATATAGTGCATTTATTGCTTTAACGTTTTAAGTATTTTACAGTGTCTTAACCATAGACTTTCGCAGGACCAAGGTAAAACCCATCCCAACAGATGCTTATTCTTTATTAAATTTTTATTTGAAACATAAATGGGCCGTTTTAAGTTTAATTAATCATTGATGCTGCCGGGTATTTTCGAATAAGTATGTCAATATCAGCTGATATGAATCGTTCTTAAGAGTTTAATCTAAATTACAATAGGTTCATATATATTACGGAGGTGTTTGAATGTCATCCTTCCAGTATGTATTTAAGTACCTGATTCTCTAGTTTTGACCCTGCGAGGCTGTTTTCACTGGATAGTTCAAAGGGTAAGGGTAAGTACCTATACTCTATTTATCCTACAGGTAAGTTTGAAAATAATCGTTTTGTCTTCTGTGCCTGGCGATTAATAACACTCATAACATAAATTATATTCGCATAGACCAAAGGTACGTCATAAGAATACAGATAAATATTAGAATCTTACAATTGAACATTTTTTGAAGGTTCCTGTTTTTTACCATTTTAAAATGTGGAGACAGTGGAATGAAGAAGTGATGGTAGTCGAACCTAATGACAATTTAGAAGAAGAACTACCTCAGCAAGTGAAAAAACGGATGCTAAGCAAATTGTCTTCAATGTTTATAATTTGATAAGAAATTCAGAAGGGTAAGTAGGAGCAGCAATAAAAACAAGTGACACAGAACGTAATAAATTCTTACTTTGTACTAATTTTTTATGTAAATGTTTCAAAAATTGCTCGGCGAAAAAGATTGAAAACAAACTTATGTCTCGCTTGTTAGTATAGGTAGATAAATTCCCAGGACGGTCCTGGAATGGTTAGTGGTAAGGGTCTGCTCGGCAGTAGGCGAAGATAATGACAGGGTCGATTGAAAAGCACTATATTTCTGGTCAAACTATACCAGTATCCTGTATATGTGCCTGGTTTTCGAAAACCAGTGATTTTAAACCTTTTTTTTATAAATGCAGTAATAGTCTTCTACTTCCTTTAGGTAAAAAAAGTATCTACCCTAGTCAAATTTACGAGAGTTTCTCCAAATACATAATAAAAATGAAGTCATATGTCCTATCGTACACTTACACTAGTGTTACTGATTTTTAACATTATCTTATAATTATGTTATGTGAATTACCCAATGTACTGTACATGTATAGGATTTTTTTTTGAAACTATAGTGATTTTAAGTTTGACACTATTAATTGGATAACAATAATTATGTTACATGAATCACCCAATATACTGTACATGTGTAGGATTTTTTTTTGAAACTAGTGATTTTAAGTTTGACACTATTACTTGGATAACAATAATTATGTTATGTGAATTACCCAATATACTGTACATGTGTAGGATTTTTTTGGAAACTATAGTGATTTTAAGTTTGATACTATTAATTGGATAACAATAATTATGTTATATGCATCACCCAATATACTGTACATGTGTAAGATTTTTTTTGAAACTATAGTGACTTTAAGTTTGACACTATTAATTGGATAACAATAATTATGTTACGTGAATTACCCAATATACTGTACATGTGTAGGATTTTTTTGGAAACTATAGTGACTTTAAGTTTGACACTATTAATTGGATAACAATAATTATTTTATGTGAATTACCCAATATACTGTACATGTGTAGGATTTTTTTTAAAACTATAGCGATTTTAAGTTTGACACTATTAATTGCATAGCAAGAAGCCAATTTCTCCAATATTAAAAAAAAAAAAAGTGGACCACTCAAAACACTGATCAGAATCACCTGCTGAAGTTCGATCAAGTACAAAAAAAACCTCTACAATAAAGAGGCATCTGGAAGATGTAACTGGAAGAAAGAAATCTTACCTTTCTTGCGGTGTTAAGGATACGGTACTGCTCGTCCAAAACGTCAGACTTTAACTGGTGTATGAACCGGGCCAACAAACTCTGCTCCTCCGCCAATTCCTCCATGTCCACCTCGCCGGCATTGTCGCTTTTGTCGAAAACCAACGTGCCCAGTAACGTCAGAGCCTGTTCCGTTTCTTCCGGACTGGGCACGACGGTTTCGTTTTCGAGAGCGTTGCTCAAAATGTAGATACTGAGCGATTTGCGACCGTGGTAATCGAGATGCTGCATCAGGCCGGCATAATGCTTGAGCTTGAGTATTTGAATCAGATTGTTATAAGTGTCGAGCGGGATTTTCAGCAGCTTTTGCAGCTCCTTCGCCACCGACGAATGATACTCCAGGTGTTCGATGCCTAGCCTTTGGAACATCTGCAATTTAAACAACATTCCATAACTTCAAAGACATTTCGAAGATTTCTTATGTACCTCGACACTGGACAACATAACCTTATCGATATAATCAATCCTGTCCGGATAACATTTCAGGGCCAGGTTTATGAGGGCCACTTGTAGGGCGACCATATCCTCGGGCGGCAAATATTGCCTGTTTGCAATTATCGAAGACACCTGGTCTGAGAATACTTCGAAAAGCTGCACCTCCTGCAGCACGTTTGCGCCTTAAAGCAAATCAAGCCAGTTGAATGGGACAGCCACAGTTCACAACCGTACCGTCACCGAAGGCATCCGCACGTTGACTGAACGTGGCAAGTCTTTCCATTAAACTAATCACTATATTCTTTACATTGACCCCTTGTTCAAGTTCCGCGCACGATTTTAAAAACGGGCTCAGCGTTTGGATGTGAAATTCGTCAGGAAACACTTGAATAATACACTCCATCAGGTATTCCTGGGCAATAGCATCGCGACAACTGACAACCTAAAATATCACTTGTGATTACACGAAAAATTCGACGGCTTTTCCCCAATACTTGTTCCAAAATACCAGGCAGAACTGATTTCTGATATTTTTCTAGAGTCACACACTCAAGCTGGCTTAACCTCACCAAATTGGTGCCCACGAGTATTCTCAACTCCTCCCTTTCCCTCTCTCTGTGTTGTCTCTCTCTAGAGTGCCCTTGGTGCTGCATCCTCACCCATAACTTGTTCATTTCAGCAAAATTCATCAGCACAAAATCTATAGAATCTTTTACTGTCCCCTCCGGGCAATCTGCTTCAACATCGGGTGTGTCTGGCAAAACATTTCTAGTACATTGTAATAGGTAGTTCCTTAGGAACAAGCCTCGCAAGGGATGTTGAACTCCTGATAGGCGCACAAAGTACATTAACAAAATATGAATTAAAAACAAAGGGCAAAAAGGTTATTAGTTACCTCTGCACATCTCTACCAGATCTTTCAGCAAATCTCTCCTTGAAGAACTGTTTGTTTTTATATAAACAAGTCCAACTGTTATTAGTAAATATAGCCTGGGCACAATATTGCCCGCATATTGAACCAATTCATATAAATCTTTCACTTTAGGCCCTTTTTGAAATTCATCCAGCAAATATAACTCCAGGTGACGCAGCTCGTCTGTTATAGCCATATCTAAGATATAAACACACTAAGCATGTAGTTCATCAAAAAACCTTACAACTTAACAAAGTTCATAGTAACTTTTGGGAGACAACAAAGACGTGCGAAGTTCTCCTAGCATTACATTGGCATTTTTCAGGGCATCCATTAATTTATTTTTGTCCAAAGTCCGTTTCATATTGAAGGCCTCCGCTTTTACTACCCCTAAAGCCTCATGCAAATATTTTTCCTGTTCTTCCACAGGAGATATTTGAGGGGGTGTGGTGGGCTAAATAAGAAATTAATAAGTTCCTTATAAACTCAGCTACTCATAAAACGTTTACCATTATATCCTTTATTTTCTTACTAGCGATTTGGAATAATTAAAAGAATTACTACTTATTGATAGACACCTGTCACATAACTCAAACAATCACGGATCAGCAAAAGTAAAGAGGTCTGTGAATGTAACACGTTGATGAAGGGAGGTTTACGCGGTCCACCTATTATTCTATCAGATGATAATCCCCGCGATGGAAAATGAGGTATACAATTTTCCCTTCAATATAAGTCAAAATCATAATTATTGTACTTAAGTTTTTCTTCAATCAATGTACGTTAAAATAAGGAAACAAAATTAGCCATTCCATAGTCACAGATTTAAATTCCGGAACACTGCCGGCAACCATCGGCATACGTGTCATCCTTGTTTTACCAACGCGAAAAACAGAAACAGACAGCATTTCAAAAAGTATTGGCCCAGTTTTATGACTTTGGAATAAGCCTTTGTCGTTTCGTCGGCCTTTTTACCATTATTTTTCATGTTTTCGATGAAAGAGTAGTGTTGCTCATTAAATTAATTCAGAGAGTTCATTAAAAGATGCCTGGCAGTTTACTTCGTGGTGTCTAATTTGAATATTTTTACGGCTGGTAAGTTCGGAATGCTATTAATATACGAGAATTTGGTTGTTGCATGACAATTCCAAGTGGTATATTTTTGTGTAATTATTGTTTTCGTACTTAAATACGTTGGCTTTTATTTTCGTATCGATGGCCAGGATTTTTCTCTTGATTTTACATATTTGTGCCTGGCATTATATCGCTTATAGCCGAAATAAGCTATTTAAATACCTTTGTAAACACTGGGTATCATGGCGTGCGTGCTCCCACTGTTTAACGGCATTTTAAGAACATAATTTGCCTCGTTTATGTGTCCGAGTGCAATATTTTTCCTTTATATTCTGTTAAACCTGTTTTGTTTATTTGATATTTAACAATTTACGGACGGTCATTGGTAATGCCATCTTTTCACTCGCTTTTTTCACTTCAACTGAAAAAATGCAATACTTATAACATTAATTTATAGGAAAACTATACTTAGTTTAGATGCAATAAGTTTTAAGGAAGTTATGGTGCATGATGTGTAATATTAGAATATCCCTTAAAAGTTAACTAGAATTTGAATTGGACATTTTAAAGTGATGTGTTTTGTAGGAATATACATGTGACAAAAATTATTGCTGGTTTGTAATTCTAATATGATTATTTTAAAATGATAAAATTTGTTAACAATTTTTTTCAATAATCACTGTATCTGAAGATTTACAAGGTAAGTGTTCAGAAATAGGATCAATTTTGTTTGTAAAAGACTTGTATCTTGCATGTAGAAAGTATCGTAATGTCAGAGTTCGTGGTTCATAAAAAATTTGGGAGTTATAAGAATATCTAATTAGGTATGTCCTCTATAATTGCGTTTTGGTTTAGTTTTAAAAAATACTGTTATTGCTAAGGAATAAGGTGCGCTGACTGATATATGGATACTTACAGAACATACATAACGATTTGATAAACTTCTTTGAATAAATCTATATCCGCTTTGTGTTTGTCAGTGTCTGTAAATTACTATTTAATGTCAGTAGCTTTCCTCTTTGGGAAACATGGTTCACACACGTCGGATGGAGTCAAATGGCTCTCGGCCAGTTGGGCACCATCATCGAACCAGGGTATGTTTGCAATTTTGTATTCTGGCACGTGGATAACTTGGTGTGTAGCAGGGTTTCCTAGTAAACACAATAGATGTGTCATAGAGCTAAATCATCAATTGGGAGATGAGTCTTTCGATATAAAACTTAAGAAGAAAGTTCATTTATAGTCGAACATGATTTAAGCTCTGCGAGACATACGGCCTCATTCATTAACAGTCATTTATGTCGGTGATGGTTGGTGTAGTTTAGAATAAGAGGTGTTTCGGCATTTTTTTACTTTTTCCTCCTTCCTCCGAATACCAGGGGCGAACAAAGATTGAACTAGCGCAAGACTCAGGTTCGTCCAGTGCAAAGGATAGTGACAGCGAAGGATCCAACACCGAGGACGACTCGTCTTTCAATACTACGCCCGAAAAGGAGTCGCAACAGTTAAAGAAAAAAGACCCCGAGAAAGCAATTGAAAAAGTCATATCGATAAGGAGCGACTTTCAGAGAAAGTTCACTGGTTAGTAGCCTAGAAACCAAAAGTAAGAATTAAAACTAAAGTTTACTATACACTATTCATATAAACTACAAACGGACATAAACAGGACGTTGTCTTTCCACTCTCCGATGCTAGCATTACTAAATAAAGTACCAGTCAGATAAATCAAGTATTTTTATAGAAAAGCTATGTATAGATATATAATTTATCCACAACATAATGTCATTTTTCCATTGAATTCCTTGAAAAATGGTATGTTTCTAATTTTCAAGAAACTTGTATGTCTGTGTACTTCCTGTTTATTTCATGTTATAATATGCAAAAGACTGATTTTTAATATTTTTTAATGCAACACCCTGTATATTAGACGCTTAATAAAATCCCCTTAAAATTCTGCACATTTCTTGTATAATTAGTCCTATGTCTATAGTTCAAAAATAAAATAATATTCTAGAATTCTAGAATAGTTAGCATGTAGCCAATTACGAGTTACATATTTAGCAAAACTTTTTTTTTTTTATTATGAAGTGACTTATTGTGAAAGGGAAAAACAATGAATTTTGCAAACATAACCAAAACTAAGTCTAGTTAATCCCTGAATGCAGATTCCAGATAACAAAAACCTTTAATTGATTGTATAATTTTTTTTAACAAATGTCCAGCCTGGTCAGAAAGAATAGAGCATTGGAAACAGATGAAGATAATGACTTTACCAAAAGTTGAAGAAAATCCCAATATTTCCAGAAGAGAAATGGCGGGAAACACGAAAGTAGAGTTTATTCATAAAAAAAAATGGTGCTCCCCCTTATTTGTCAAAGACTATATAAATCAAAGGTTGAATGAATGGGTCAGAAAAAATGAAAGGATATAGTACTGACCTGACGCCAATGGATGGACTTTTATGGGAACTCTAAAAGATTTGGTGAAAGTAAATACCATCGAAAACAGAGAGCATCTAAAAATCGTAGTTAGAACAGAAGTGCAAATTCTAAATGACGAATATTTCCAAATTATCACTGCCATATTGTAGAAAATGAGGGGGCAGTTAAACTACCTACATTACAAGTTTTGGAATATTTTTTAATCTTGCTTAAAGTTTACAAATATTTCGCACTCTTGAATTTGGGTATAGGATACAGATATCAGGATATAATATACGAAATGTTCTCTTCTTTCACGCCAGTCTGAATGTTTGATGAAATTTTTCATGAAGTTTTTTTTTTATATATATATATTTTTGAATTACACATAATTCCCTTTAGATTTAAATCTGTAAGTTTTACTGTCAGTTTAAACAAACATTTTGTTTTTTTTTTACGCCGACCCACTTCACAGCTATAAATTATAAATTCTCGAATGGTATTCTATTTTTGAATGTTGCTTTTATGTATAGGACATATTATTCAAGAAACGTGCATGATTTTTGGGAGATTTTATTAACCATGTAATATACAGGGTGTAATAAACAGCCTTTATTATAACAAAAAAAAAACAATATACGATATTAATATTTTTTAACGACAAGTAAACAGATAGCTCAAAAGCGGCGCAGTCTAGCTTTAAAAAGTTACTACTCTGAACCGCTAAAGAACTGTTTATATAATTAATAAATTGCGCACTATTTACTGAAATAAAAAACGGATGAACAACAAATAAAATATGAAAAATACTTGCAAAATCGGAAGAACAACAAAACTGTTACACACTATAGAAAATGCAATTGAAGTTAAATAATGCTAATGACATAATTAGCAACATATTAGGAAAACTGTATTTGTACCTTTTTTTGAATGAATATAAATTTAAGTTACCGAATTCCTGTGACAAAGAATTATAAACAAGAATTGCTTTGAATGTGAAAGATCTACGATAAAAGGCACTCTGATGATGTGGCATCGTTAGTCTATACCTGTATCTTTGATTTACAGAATGGATAGTACTCTTAGGAATAAGCCGCTCTGTCTGAATACGTTGAAATGAAAAGCTCTTCTTTGTTAAATTTTAAGCCAGTTAAGTTGACGATATGCAGCAGATATATGGTCATATTTTCGAAGACCCATAATAAAACGAACACAAGCATTCTCCAACCTTTAAATACGGCACTTACACTCGTTATCAATAAAAAAAAAAACCATACACTACATCACAGTAGTTAAAATGTGAGACAGTCTAAAATTTTGAATATGCCTGTTACTATATAAGAGGTTTAGCGAGAAATATGCCTTTTGAGATATTTTTTAAATATTCACGAGATCACGATCCCCAAATTTTTTTACTGAATCGACTACGGAAAGTTTAATATTATCTAACATTATATTGATTTTTTGTTTAAGTAGCTTAACTTTATTTTTATTTCCAAATATCATTAAATGTAATTTTGATGGGTTTAGCTTTAAATTTTGGGCACCGGAAAGTTCACTAATCCTGTTAAGTTCTTGATTTATAAATACCTCTGCGTCCATGTTACTATTAAAATCAAAACACCAATATAATTGAGTATCGTCGGCATATGGCTGAACTTTGCAAAAATTTAAAGATTTTAAAATGTCAGAAGTGTAAATAAAAAAAAAAAAATGCCCCAAAATGGAACCTTGCTTTTCGATCGATTTGAAAAATACGATTTAATCAACTCGCATGAATTAGAGGAAAAACCATCGAAATTCAGCTTGGAAATCAATAGGTCATGGTTCACCGTATCGAATGCCTTCGAAAAATCCAAAAGTATTAAGGCACTAATTAGTTTTTTGTCAGTGGCTCGGACAATATCATCAATGACACTTATAAGGCCATTCGCAGTACTTGACTTTTGTTTAAAACCGCACTGACTCTCCGGTACTATTCTATTATCCCTTATATAGGTATACATTCGATTATAAAGAACTTTCGTATATTTTTGATAGCGCCGGTAATATACTTATTATTTTTACGTCATTCCAAGTGACATTTTCAGGCTTTTTGGAAAATAGTTTACTTCTATGGAAGAATTAATATTGCGAGTGACCGATTTCATCAACCCCACTGGCATTTGTTTTAATTTCATGCAACTGCAACAGCCTAAAAACATATCTTGCAAATAGCTTACTGTTTTTGAAACAACATTCATATATGAGTCTTATTTCCCATAAAGTTTAAATATATATTTTTTAATAAGTATATGGACGTAAAAGCAAATAAAGCAATTCAATTAACAGATCGCTCTTTGACGACCAACCGGGAGCGAATATTGACGAAACGTAGGGGTCTGGCGGTCTATTCGCGGAAAATAAAAGAAGAAATGGACTTGGAAAACGGGAACTATTCCGAAGAGGAGTTTTATCCGAGGTATGTAGTCGATCCGCGAAAAACGTCCACCTTTCTGGTAGTTCCTCTATGTGTACCTGAACCAGAAAAAAAAACAGCCAAAATTTGCTTGTTTTATCATTGCTGTTTGATCGAATTATGTTCAAGCGACGACGAGATGGTTTTTTTTAAAACTTTATTTTCAAAACACAATTTGAAAATTACAGTACCTGCAGCAACAGCTTAACTTAAAGTTTTTATACGCTCGCTTCAAAATGCTGGCTGCGTTCATTTTATCTTGATAACTTTTCAATTGGCTGTAACTTTTTTGTTTTTAGAGATATCAACGTAAACAAAAACACAAAATGTAGGTAGGGTCAGAAGCCAAGTTTTTTTCCAAGTGACTCATAAAACAAAAAATATAATAATAATATTTATTGCTAAAAAATCATATTAAGTAAAAAATATTTTTATAGTAAAGGACCTATATTGATACACTATTGAATGCACCACAAAAGCTTGTTTGATACTCAGTGGTCTATATGCATCTTGTTCCTTTATTTCAATAAGTTTAAGAATACACTTCTGAAGCCCATCTAACGGGTCAAACGAAAAACTGTAGAGACCTCCCCAGCCTATGACTGCATACACAGCGACACTATGGACCATACTAAATTTGTAATAACTGCTTTCTTGTTAGTACTTCCTTGAGTCTATAAAAAAACATATACTAAGTATTTGTTTTTTTTTATTGTCTTAGCCACGTGAACATCCATTTTTTATTATAGTCGTAAGTTATTCCTAGATATTTACTACTGCTGGCTCTTTTCAGACTCACCATTAATCTTAATTTCAATATTCTGTGGAACAGAGTCTCTATAGTTTCCAAAAGAGACAAAAACAGACTTGTCTGTGTTGAGTACCAGCTTATTTTGATAGAGCCAGAAGTATTTAATATCCAGAGTCGATGACATGACTGTTGAAAGTCCGGGCCATGATTTTGCTTTCATTAGTATCATCAGCATATGCTATTAAGGTATCTTGCAAAACCAACAAATCATTTATATTTAAGATGAACAATATTGGTCCAAGTATTCAGCCCTGAGGCACTCCAACATTTGTTTTAAATTGCTGACTTTTAGTAGCATTTACCCTTACAACTTGGCGTCTAACTTGCTATCAAGGACAAACTTACATCCCTTATTCCCATATTCTGCAATTTGGACACTAGTATAACTTGATCAACTGTATCAAAAGCTTTTGTGTATTCTAAAAAAGTCACAACTGTTGGTAGGCTAAGACTTAAGTTTTCATATATAAATTTGCTAAGTAAAGCTATAACATCATCTGTGCCTTTCTTCTTGAGGAAACCAAATTGCCTTAAACTTAATATGTTGTGCTTATTAAGGAAGTTGAAGCAAGATTTGAAATTAATGCAATCGAGCGATAGTTGTTCACCAAATTTCTCTGATCTGACAAGTATCTTGCGCCATAACATTATTTATTATGTGAGTCAATACTGGGGTTATGAACGGAGCAGCTAACTTAATTATGTAGACATGAATGTCATCAAACCTTCCAGCCTTGTTTTTACGTCCATAGTCTGATAAATTTCTGTCTCATTTGTTGGTGCTAGAAAAATTATTTGATGGTGTCTTATTGGAGGAGTCACACTTTCATTCAGTGTAGATATCACTGTGCTTAAAAACTCTTTAAAATAGTTTGCCTTTTCAAGATCATTGCCATTCAGTTTTTTTATTTACTAATATTTCATTTATTTGCCTGTTTTTCATGCTATGATCTAATTTACTATTTATATATTGCCACATTTTTTTGGAGTCAGCATTTGTTAAGTCCGAAAAAACACTTATGTCCCTGCTTAGGGCTACTAAAAATAGGCATGAAGATAGATAGCTATGTGTTTAATAGAATATTTTATTCCGATCACAATGATGTAACACTTTGTATTTTAGTCCACTGGTTTTTGACAAATCGGCAAAAATGACTGACTGCAGCAACAATAATTATTTACAAATTAAAGTAGAACAAAAACATTAAAAATGACAAGAGACTAAAGTAAAAAAATTCTAGATACTGTTGTATCTGAACACCATGTTCCTGAACATAATATTTACGATACACTCTAATTGTATGATTGTTTCGTAACTGATTGATTGCCTCAAAAATCCGTTGCCGAAGTTTCACGACGTTATTACAAGGAGTTTTGTGTACGTGAACTTTAATGTGTTCCCAAAAGAAAAAATCCAAAAAGTAAAGTCGGGGCTGTTGGCTGGCCATTCCATAGTTCCGTCATTCCCTATCCAACCCCTGTTAAGAAAATTTTCGTTTTGCTGCCATATAATCAGCGCTTCTAAATTTTGTTCTATTTGGTCCTCTTAAGAGTTGCAAATAATCTCCATTTAACTGTTGATCTATAAATATCGGACCCGAAATATACCCATCTATGACAGCACACCATACATTAATTGATTGGTACCCTTGGGTTTTTATTTCGTGTATTTGTCTAGGATCCATAAAATGTTTTTCAAAAAATTATTATTTCCATTATGTCTATTTAAAAAATCCAAACAAAACTGCATCCTCCTTTAACATTATATTTATATTCTGTGAAACGTGAGTGGATTGATCCCCGATAAATACCTATCTTTTCATATACTCTGGTAATAGAGGAAACTGCTTCATAGAATCCTAATATGTTGGTCTTATTTTCTTCATTTAAAACATTATGATTCCCGCATACCTTTTTAGCATTTAATACGTTACCGTTTTCTGCAAATTTCTTCGCCGGCCTTGAAAATATTTGTTTTTAAGGAGCTCAGCGCTCTGGATAAAGTCTAATTATCTGACGCGGTGACGAGTGTACTAAAATATAAAGTGTGTTACATTATCGTAATCGGAATAAGATATTCTACATTTTGTTTTTTGTTTTGTTTACTTTAATATCTCTAAAAACAAAAAAGGTACGTAAAGTACAGAAAAAAATTTAGTATCAATCGCAGCGAAGAAGTATTATGACGCTTCTGCTCAGCGTATTTTTTGTGGTTTGTCAGCTGTTTTATATGTGACAAAATTGTAATATATATTTCGTTCATAAATTATCGAATGTGGGAGGTAAAATGGCAATTTCTTCAGAAAATTATTATCTAGTAACTGATGAAAAAGGTGAAACCATTATTGAAAGTGAAACGTTTATTGCAGAATATCACAGGTAGACAAATTTTGATAGTTCTTGTTAAAGTGAATAGAACCTCCCACATTTTTAGATGAAAACTACATGCATGTACTCCGCAAATATTTGCTGAACTTGCTATTAAAAGAATAAAATAAGAGATCGATTCAACTGAAGATGAAATAACAAATATATCGTGTCCTGGGCTCAGCCCTGGTAAGTGGAGTAAAATTAGATAGTGTATGTTATTTTGCAAAAAAAATTCAGATGCTTTATTTTCTTGGATACACAAGAGTACTTTTGGATGAACATAAGAATTTCGAAATCGAAAATAGAAAATTGTTTAGTATAAAATTTCAAAAGAAATGAGAAAATTGGGGGATATAATATGGAAGGTGAACCCCTTAATATTATACAAAAATATTATTGATAATGATGAAATTGCTCTACTTATCGAAAGAAAAAAATGCGAAAAAGACATTGGGGAGGGAAAGCTGGAGGAATTGCAAAAAATCCGTGCATATTTACAAGAGAATAACCAGATTCAAAGAGAAAAACTAGAAATTCTAAGGAAACAGCTAAATCAATAATGAACAAAGTAGGTAAAATAAAGAATACCTAATTTATTATATATTGAGAAAAATATTTGAATTTTTTTTGTCATGTAGATATTTTTCTTAATTGTAGGTGGTGTAAAGTTGGAAAAATAGGCTATTTGCAATAATTGTACTTGGGTTGTTTACTTCTGTAAATAAATAAAATACATTCTTAAAATAATTCTGGTTCTAATGTGAAATATTTAAACTTTGCCAATAATTACTAACTCATAATACATTGCATATGTCCTTGAATTTGATGTAAATTATTTTCTCTCCATTAAAATCCTCATTTTATATAGAAAAAGATCATGCTTTTTGGCACACAACTGTTATTTACCAAATATTTCTTCCAAAATTCAACCGGTAAAGCTTCTCATATCAGGCCACACTATTACCTCATGTCAACTGCCAGAAATAAAGTCTACTTCAAAGAAAATGACATTGCAGTACTTTTACCTAAATTGAAGGGGTCTCCTGCAGCTCTAAAACTTTCCCGTTGCCCCAGCATCCATGATGTGAACCAAACCTTTTTTCAAATGCTATCCTAACAATTTTGTCACCTTTAATGAGGTGTAATTTAGTCTGAAAGGCAGGCCAAAAAATAAAACCTATTTATTACCTCAAATGTATGGCTAGTCATTCTAAAATGACTACGGAAGTCAAGGTATACTGAGGGGTGGTTATCTCATGAAAATGCTCATTCCTAATTGGTGTTGACCTTTCCAGTGGAACCAAGTTGTCATCTGCAGCTATCTGGAGAAACACAAAGTCTCCTTTGTAAAGGGTAGATCAACAGATGTCCTCATATATTTATATAAATAGATAGATAGGTTAGAGATACAGTTTTCTATACTACTAGGTCTACGAGGGTCAAATCCATGTCTTCTTCCAATAGTTCATCATTTAAGATTTCATCCATTTTTAAGTAAATTTGTCCAGAAACCGAAAAACTTTTGTAAGGTTACATTTAGTACCCCATTACCCAAAATTTAAACAAAGATAATTGAATATTTTTTATAAAACTTCAGTTTTCAGTTCAGTTTATTCAAAATATTTCTTCGTTAGGATTGATGGTAATTTTTATTTCTGTACTTTACTAACTGGAGTGGAGTGGATGTGATAGTTATATGTACCGTTATCTTGATAACATTTTAATTGAACTCAAAAATAGTTCTTAATAACTTTTTTGAAGGTTAAATTTTATCAAAGATGATTGAATACTTTTTATAAAAAATTTTCAGGAGGAATTAAAAAAAAAATTAAAGATGTTGGAAGCCATAGAATAATATGCCGTTCAGCCAATCCCCATCTGTTGAGAAATAACAAAGCCATCCTGTTTTGTGATTATTGGCAATAGTTGTGTACGGCTAACAAGTCCAACGTTCAATTTTTTTTTTTTTTTCGATAGCACTAACGCAGAAATGGTACGTAGTAGCACTGAAGAATGAAAACTTTCTGTTGTAGAGGGCACAGAGCGCGACATCTGGTAAAGAAGAACCGAATGTTGCGACGCACAGCCCTCTCTCTGCGGCCTATCAGCCAGAAATGCTACGTCGATCACTCCCCGATTCGTCTAGATGACACGGACAGCGACAGCATGCTGCGTAAGGGCACTAAGAAGTCGAAGAATCTCTCTTGGTTGACGGACAACCAAATGCACAAGGTCGGCTATCCAAATTTGCACGCCGGTTATTCGGAAGAGGATAGTAGAGACGCTGGCGAAAACATCGAGGTTAGTTTTTCTCTTTTTCCTTGGGATATTTCGTCGATCTAGCCTGGCCAAAATGGATTATGCGAATGGCTTGATTAAAAACGTGTGAAAAATCTACAAGGACGTCAAATATTTAGTAAGTTGGTGTGATGTTTAAAGGAAAGCAAAAATATGTGATCTGATTCAATTTATTATGAGCCATTATTTAGTACAAAAAAAACTATTCTTACAACCATTTCTGAAGAAATTTAATTTATTGATTTTCTCAATCCGATGTACGAGTTTTCGCTTTAAAAATGCAGAAAATTATCATTATTATTTTTTACTCAATACTAAAAAACACGCTAATTGTTGGATGTTTATTCTACATGCGCTGACTTGTTTAGACTTGCAATGACAAAGTTTTGTTTCGCAGATAAAACTAGTGATGGCAATACAACTCCAAAATATTTTTTTTCCTTTAGTAGTGATAATAATAAAATTTCTAAATGGATGTGATAAAAAAATCATAGAACTAGGTGGTGCATTAACGCACCACCGGGACAAAATGAATGAATGATTGAATGAACACTGGGGTATACTTCACGTGAGGAAAAGAACAGAAGCGTCTATCCCTCAACTTGCAGGACAATTTCAACAACTTATCTAGTTTCTATGTTCTACCTCTTTTCAAAAACATTGTTATTAATTTATTAACAGACAATTTTGTTAGACAGTATTAACAGTAGGTACTTTTTTATAAATAAGAATCGTTTATTTTGTTATATTGTTGTTAGGCTGTTATGTTATATCATTAGTCAATCTTCTAGTTTGTTGGTAGTTCTAGTTGGTAACTAAAAAGTGGATATTTTGCTTTAGATAGATATTTTATTGTTCACTAAAAAAAGTTCTTGAGTGGCGAGCTAAGTAACCAAAATATTATTTATTCATAGACGGTCAGTGGCACGCCACTGATTTCCTTAAAATAAATAAGAGAGAATCGTACATCGGATTGAAAAAAGTCAAGAAATTAAATTTCCTTAGAAATGATTGAAGATTGTAAGAATAATTTTTATTTTAACAAAAAATAGTGGCGGACGGTCAATGTCTGCCAAAATAGATAGGTGAAATTCGGTACTGGCTTATTTTTAACAAAATGTGGTACACTAAATAATGCATAAGATATGTTTGCGAAATTTCATTCAAATATCTATTACTAGAGGTATTACAGAGTTAAAAAGTATAGGACATACGTTCGTATGAAGTTTTCTTTCTTTCTTTCGCCCCCATTAAATTCCGTACGTCCGCCACTAGTGTATTTAAAAAAAAAAAATGGTATACACTTGTTACGTAGTACATTGCGGTATACAGATATTAAAAAAATATATGTTATTTTTGAAAATTTTACCAAGTTTTCTTTTTAAAACGGACCCAAAGATCGCGCTCTTAATTATTGACATTCGATTAGAAAGCATCTTGTAGAGAATTAATAAAAATTTACAATTAGTGGAGTGTGTTGAATTAAACTGGTTCTTAAAGCTTGCATTAAAGACGGAGCCGTGGCTCTTTATATGTTTGGTTATTTATTTATTTATGTGCTATTAGGGATAAAAACAGTTTAATTCCACTATTGTGTCCTCTTACTCACGCCAATGATATGTTTAAGAAAATAATGTCATCGGCATTCATTTATGAGCGGATTTGATATTTAATTTTTTTTTAGTCCATCGCACGGTTTTCACTTAAAAATAAAAACTAATTTGATTGCATACTGTCATATTGACGATATTGTTATGACCATGCAGAGATGAGGTTTTTGTTTTTTTAAGCGCAAACCGTATCATCGGATTTAAAAAAAATCGAGAAATTAAATTTCTTTAGAAATGATTGGAGATTGTAAAAATCATTTTTATTTTAAGCGAAATTAGTGGCGTGCCATCAATGTCTGCCAAAATGGACAGGTGAAATTCCGTGCGCCCGCCACCGGTGCATTAAAACAAAATTTTAGTTCTGCCTCTTGGTAGTACGTGTGTGCCAAATAGAAAGAATATTTTATTTTTGACCCAAAAGTTTGCTGTATAAATCGAAATAGCTTTCGGGACGAACCCTGAAGCATAAAAAATACTTAAAATTGTTTAGAGCCTGTTGAAAAATATCTTAAATAATATTTAACCCTGTCAAGTATGTATTTCAAACAATTATGGACACGATTAATGCTTACTTGCTTCAACAGTATCCATATTTACCCTTTGAACGAAATGAACAGCCAAGCGTATTTTGTTTTTGTTTTTTTTTTTTTGATAAAATGCGAAACACACTTTTGGCCAGCTAGATGAACGAAATACCCGTATTTGCGACGGTGCTATATTTGACATTCGGCTCGCTAGTTGTCACAACGGGTCACGCGGCACTCTACCAGGAGGCGTGTCGTTAAACCGTCGTATTACTACGACGAGGATTATGACGAAAGGCCGGAGATCAGGAAGAGAAACCGGGCGCAGAGGGTGTTTAGATCGAGACGGGAGACGGTGAACGTCGAAAACAACAAGGAGAACAAGGAAGAACACTTCAGTATGAGAACCAGGAGCTCGAGGAATGAGGAAATCGCCAAAGAAACGGTGAAAGAGGAACCGGATAAGGAAGACGGCGAGCAAACGAAAGAGGATAAGGAAAATGAAGGTAGAGTTTGACGAACGTTTGAAAATTTTCAATTTTTTCAAAAATCTTCGAACGGTTCAACAAAACTGTAGCTGTGGAATGATAATGATGTTGATAATAATAATAAATAATAATAAATAAGAGCCTTCAACTATCATATCTAAATACAATCAAAAATAGGAAATTTTAATATAATTTCAAAGATGACAAATAAAGATATGTTTATGTTTGACATACATATTAGTAAATAGCGTTGATGGTTTAATTATTGTCCGAGTCATTTAGGTTTAGGACATATATTTACCAAATTAGATTTTATATGTATTTTGATCGGCTTTGAAAAAAATATCAAAAACATGGACGCCTCATTTAAAATAAATGAATATTGCAAGTTGAAATTTTGAAAAAATGTCCTTTAATTTAAGGTACCCTCTATAATTCCTAATCATCGCAGATCGTTAGAAGGAAGTCTCCAAAAAATTTGTTTAAAATTTGATTAAGTATTCATTACTATCACGGCCGTATTTACTAAGAATATAATTTGGCATAAAAAAATATATAATCTCAATTTCTGTCTAAACTACACAAAATTCGAATAAGTAGATTCTATAAAAGTTACCTTTATTTTTGGGAAGGATTCTAAAAATATTAAAATGTATAGGGTGTTCCGTTTAAATTTTTAAAACTAATGTCGGGCAGCACTTATCGGACACCCTGTATATGTAAAAAATAAATAATTTTAAAATCAAATTTAATTAATTAATTTAAAAATTAAATTTAATTATTTATTTATTTTTTCCTTATATACTATTTTAATTTCCAATTACAGAAGACTTTCATTTATTGCTTGTTTTTTTCGAAAAATCGATGAAATCGGGGCGTTTGGACGTTTCTATGAAACACGATAAGTGCCCGAAATTTGAAGCTATCGACTTCAACGGAACTTATTGAAATGGGGGGGGGGGGAAGTATTTAAAAAAAATAAAAACCGCGTTTGCGGTGGTCCACGAAAAAAATAATTTCTCGAAAATGGTTTACGCGACAGAAAAAATTATTAAACCAGAAAACGCAGAAGATTCGGCTTCATAAAATTTTATTCCTCAAAAATTTAAAAAAATGTACCGGGTGTTCAAGATATTAAGTGCTATATTCAAAAATTAACAGGTGTCTTATATTTGCAGCTATCGACTTCAGATTTGGCAGAAGGGTAGAAATCCCGCATTTTACATGTTACAAAATTCCTGAGAAATATGGCCAATTGGTTTAAACAGTGCTATAGGCCATATTGATAGCTACAACTTTTGTATTTGCTGTTCGAGATATTTGAAAAAAACTATTACATTTTTTCCAAAACCGTTTGCTTGTATTTGAAAAATTCATATACCAGGAGAAATGGGAGATCCAGGGCTATTGCCACTATTTGAATTATAAGCAGGGTATGTCGTTTATGGGCAAAAAAACTAAAAAATGCTAAAAATTTCCGTTGTGTGTGTGGCGATAAATGCAAAACCGTTAAAAACGGGAGAATTTCATTTGAACGGTATCGTAAACTGCGTCGAGAGAGATTCAGGTTTCATCTATCATACAAATAAAAATATGATTGGAAATCGCTATTATTTGCAAAAATTTTAATATTTACCAAACTTTGCCGTACCTTTGAAGTTCGACGAAACGACATGTACACAATATAATATATAATATATAATATCGATTTTTCGAAATCTTGTTAAGGATCGTACATAATATGCAAGCGTCTATTTGAATATTACTTTCATTGTCTGGAAGATGAACTTGAACTTTTTGCAATTGTTTTCAGCCCCCTTTTTTTTTCAACCATAAGGCCAAATCTTGCGATACTTTCGTATTATTTGGTTGCGAAATAAATATATTATTATTATAAGTAACCCAAAAAGATGACGGTCAATAATCAAATTAGAAATCAATATTGGCGGTGTGACGAAAAAGGAGAATAGCTCGGAGAGTGAGGGACAGCCGCAGCCAGAGAGATTGAGGGACAAGAGGGAGTTTACCACTAGGAAAAAGGTGCTGGAGTCTAGCTCGGAGTCGGAGGAGGAGGAGGAGGAGGAAGGTAGAAAATATTTGTTAAGGAACCGGCCACCCAAACCCACCTCGAAAACGAGTAAGCAGTGAGCAACGCGTGCGAGGTAGATCGTAAAATAAAGTAGTTGCTTTTTTGTTGCGACAGGGCAGACATCGGTGCTGCGAAACGACCGGATTAATGATATAAGAAGGCGGAGGTTTACGAGACGGCGAAAAGTGTCGTCCAGTTCCGATTCGTCTACGAGTTCGTCAGATCTTTGCCGGTAAGTTTGTCGTTAACAAAAAAGTCGCTCCAATTTTATTTAAAATGACCGTAATTTAAACTTCGTGTCATATGACCGTCACATCTGGGCGAGAGAGCTTGGTAACACTTTGTTAGATACACATTTACGCATATTTTATGAACGAACAATTTAAAACAATTACATACATAGGAGAACCTAGCGAAAAAGTTTCAATGCATTTGTCAAAATGTGGTTTAAAAATAGCTTTCAGGACTAACAACACAATAGGAAAATATTTGAAAAAGAATAAAACGAAATGTCCAAAATCTCAAAAATCAGGTGTCTACAGGTTGAAATGCGGAGCTTTAAATTTATTTTAAGCAATGGAGATTGACAAAATGAGACATTCAAATGTATTGCCTTTATTGAACTTAAATTCTCACAACAACATTAATTAAGGTTTTATGGTCATTTTTCGGTATATATAGTAGCAGGTAATTTGTAAATATTACATTTGATAAAGACACGGTGTTGTCGAAACAATTGTCATGTCAAAATATATAATTTCGTGAAAATCTGAACTTTTAGTTCTTATTTATTTTGACAAATGGATTTTCATTAAGTAAAAGCCACCTCAGTTCAATCATATTTTATGACGATAAAAGATATAAATAAAATAACATAGCACAACAAACTCCTATCTTATAACTGGAGGGAACAGGAACATAAAAAAAAAAGCAAAAAAGTATTCCCTATGTATGTCGACATCTTGCAGGTTTCTTCCGGCCATCCCTTTTGTTACGTCCAGTTTCCAATAAGTTTCTGGTCTTCCTCTTTTCCGGTGTCCTTTAGGTTCCTTGTTAATTGTTTCCTTTCAATATCATACAACGGTTCCTTCGATGCCCATAATTTCTGTGACTCTGTCGTTTCGAACCCTGTCGCTTTGCGAAATGCTTAGTGACCTACGCATTGCATCCATCTCAACAGCTTCTACCCTTTTTTTATATTTTTCTGTAAGTCTCCAACTTTTAGCACCATATAGTAGGCTGGATTTTACTAATGTTTCATATATATTCTATTTTCTTTTTTTTTTTCTTATATTTTCTTGTTGTCAGTTCCTGTTGCATAAAAAGTAACTCCAAGATATTTGCAATATTTAATACACAATGTGTCGTTTAATTGTACATCACCAAGTTGTCCACTAACACATAGATGTTTATACTCTTTATCATTTGATATTTGATATTATCGCTTGATCTTTTGTAAACTTCAACCTCCACCATATGAAACATATGAAAAACAAAAAAATGCTAGCAAAAAGTTCGGTTTATTTGACCTGATGTTCTTATGTTAGGTTCAGGTTCCGAAACTCGCCCATAGATGGGTGCAGTTATCCGGAAAGTACTCCGTGGTTTTGAGATTTTCCGGTATATAAGTATTTAAACTTGATTAAAGTAGTGTTTTAAAAGCACGCAATCATGGATATATTCTTAAAAAGCAGGATTCATTTGACCCATCGTACGTATTCGGAGGTCCTGTTGTTTTTTTTAATGTTTTTAATTTGATTCTCACCTAAAAACACAAAAAAGGGCTAAACATCGCACACGCACGCGATAAGACAATTTCGTTCAACGGTCGGGTTTATTTGAGCTACTTTCCTTCTTTGATGTTGCTTAGATGAAACTCTATAAACCCCATTTTTTTATATTCCAGGAAACAAACAAAAAGTCCCCATTCGAAAAACGAAAAAATGAAATCGGGTGCCGGAGGTAGCAGCAGAATAATACCGATCAAGCCGGAAACCTTAGACGCGTCGATACGTTTCAATAGCATCGGCGGGCTGGACGCCCATGTTCAATGTTTGAAAGAGATGATCCTCCTTCCCATGATGTATCCGGAAGTTTTCAGGCAATTTCAGGTGCAGCCGCCCAAAGGGGTCTTGTTCCACGGAGCTCCCGGTAACTATGTTCAATTTTTCTCTTTCGGAAAATTCTTTTGTGTCCAATAGGCCTTTTGCACATATTTTTTTACATGAAAACTTTTCAGTTACCTTCTAAAAGGCAATAAGTTACCCTCCACAATGTTTTTTCTTAAAACAAAAACTTATTTACTCCGTAATTAAGTCCTAGAAAGTTCCCTTTAATTTTGACGTCATACAAGGACGCTACTCCATTGGTTGTGACGTCACGAGGTACAAGATGCCCCTGAACCTTATCTAAATTGGTATGACAGTGGGGGAAAAAGTTAAACACAAAAAGCGTTTTTTTTTTTTTTTTTCATGAAATGGAATATGAATATCGTTAAAAATTCTAATGATTCGCTTGATTTTGAGTACTTTTACGTAGCATACGACATTTTGAGTAGTTTTTGAAAAACGGACTTTTCCATTTTTGCTGAAAAGCAGGTCTTTGGAAAAATGTTTTTTTTTACAGTTGAAAACTAAAATAGGAAATTTTTATTATGGATCCAAAGAAGTGGAATGTTTTGCATTTGTTTTTTTTTTTAAATCAAACACCCTGCATATTTTTCCATTTTCTAAAGGCGAATGCAATCGATAAACATTTATTTAAAATATAAAAATTATGGATTATTTAATATTTGAAACAATAATATTTGACAAATCTTTTAAGAAAATAAAATAAATAATTTTATATTAAAGTTTCCACGTGTCACCCATTTTGAATGGTCTATTGTTTAAAATTTCCCTTTAAAAATTCACTGATCTCTGCACTTTGATGATAAGGAGTGCCATCTTGTTGGATGTTCTATTTCAGGAGAGGCTCGATATAATTTCTTAATAAAACTAAAAATCAATCTGCTGTGAAATTTTCTTCATAAAATATCGGCCCACACCACACTTTAACCGATCTTCTCACATAACTTGTTTCAGAATTCAAGTAATGTAAGGTATTGTAATTACATTAAATTAAATGAAATAAATGAAATAAAATTTATTCATTTATTTATTTTCTAATACCAAAAATATACAGGGTGTTTATATTTCAATTTTGGATATTATCCGAGAAAAAGTATTTTCTAAAATGTATTACGCAGAAAAATGTTTTAAAAGTTAATATGTAATAGATATTTATATATATATCGCTGGATTCGTCTTTTAAGGGGGTGTTTAAAAATGTAATAAAATTTAGGGTCTTCCATTTTGAAAATGTTGATTAAACTTTATTTGGCCATTAAAATAATACAAAAAAAAAAGATAATTTAACTAGACACAAATTTTCAATTCATCTATTTTTATAACACTCATAGATTTCGAAATAAGGTATAGAGGCAACTCTTAAGCTGTGCAATAATGACACTTACCCTGCAGGTTTATTTGTACTCCTACAGAACATTGGCTCTTTGCATTTTTCTAGTATGTAATATTTCTTGAGTTTGAAGCCTTTGCTTCTATTAAAATATCTTGGACGATACTCTGCCTTTTCATAACCCAAAATATGTGAAACGATGGTTTTTTTCATTCTTTTTTGAACTCCGATCATTTTCCATTCAATACAGCTTTATAGGTGGGTTTAAGCCCGGGCACAGCATGACTACAGCACTGCTTAATGTCACTAATGACTTGTTTACTTCGGTACCCTAAATCATACTCTTCTTATTTTAAATTTAAAGTTCTTCGGTTTAAATGACATTGCTATTACTTTTATGAAAAGTCACTTGGGAGGTCGCCGGCACAGTGTTTCGATGGGATCAGTGGTGTCTCTCTACCATTTCAGGACCTTTATTGTTCTCGATTTACTTGGCCGATTTATCTAATCACCTAAATAAATGTTATGTATGCTGTATGCAGTATGCTGATCACTTATGGTAAAAAGATTTAGGAGGACTACTTTTTAAGTCTTGTTAAATATTCTTAATCAAATAAATAAAATATCTGCAAGGATCCTATTCGCAGGAAAAACGAATTTTCAAGTATGGCGCGTTTATTTTAAAGTAACACTATAAATAAACACATTAATTAAAAACATATTTCGTCGTTCTGTTGTTGTCCGCTAAGGAAGAGTGTCGTCAAAGAGCGAGCGAGACGGGCAACGTTATGGGCGGAGTTTCGAGTGACCCATTTTGCCTTGTACCGACTTTCGACGTTCTAATCGGTCATTTTTACCTTCAGGCACGGGGAAAACGCTGATCGCCCGCGCCTTGGCCAACGAATGTAGCTTCGGGTCTCGCAGGGTGGCGTTTTTCATGAGGAAAGGGGCCGATCTGCTGAGCAAATGGATCGGCGAGTCCGAGAAACAGCTGCGGCTACTTTTCCAGCAGGTGATTGTCGTTAAATATTTCCTCTCACGAATAACTTCTGTGTCAGTTTCGAAATGTTTTTATTTTAAACTAATTGTAGGTTTTTACATTACGTAAACTTAAAAATCTTAAAATCTGCGTCTAATCTAACCATGTTACTTTGCGCTGAGGAGCGGTTAAAGACTTACCCACGTACCGCAACGTTGCCAAATATATATTGTTTGCTGCTGTTGGCTCGCTGTATTAAATTTGACAGTTAACACAGGTATACAGTGATTGTGATGTTTGAAAGCTGTTTGCTGCTTGTTGATTATTTTTGTGGGCGCTTTTTTCAAAAGGCGCCATTTTTTTTTATAGCGCTCTATATCTTAAAAACGTTATTTTATTAATATACATACCTATGAGATGAATATGTTTTTTCCATGTTTTTTATGAGATTAAATGTGATGTGAAAAATAATTAAAAATCGCGTGTGCAAGGGTGTGCAAAAAAGACCATTTTTCAAAAACCGTTTAGAAAACCGAAAAATTTCTAAAACCAGAATACGCAGTGCATACGGCTCCATAAACTTTTATTCTTGACAATTTATCAAAAATATACAGGGTGCGCTTTAAATTAAAAAAAAAAACTGAAAAGTGGGTCCTCTATATTATTGAAAATGAACAATAATTTAAAATCTGTGTTTTATATGTCAGTTTTTTTTTACATGACGATATAGCCCTAGCTAAAAACTTTGTATTTAAGGTTTTTAAGTATGATACAGGGTGTTTGCGATATTTCGTGCAATATTAAAAAACGCAATAAGTGCCCCAAATTTGCAGCTACTGACTTCAGACTTCGGAGAGAAGTAGCAGTCCGGACCCGCATTCAGACTCTTTAAATTGGGGGCAATAAAATAACGCGAATTTTTTTTTTTAATTTTTGAATATTTTTTTTTAGCAGTTTTGGCTTCCAGAAAAACATTTCTTCTTCTGAAACCATTCATCCGATCGGAAAAATTTTACATCCGTAAAACGTGAGAGACCCGGCGCAATAACTTCTATTTCACGCATTTTTTCGATTATATACAAGGTGTTTTAGTTATGGACAAAAATCTAAAAGATCTTGAAAATTGTTCTTTTAGGGAGTAAATGACTTTTACTTTGGGTATTTTTTGGATAATGCACAGGGTATGTTAATTATGGTTAAAAAAAAATAAAAAGTCGTCTATCATACAGGGTGCGCGAGATCCTTGTTATTATTATTATTATCATTAACTAATTCATTATGATAACATAATTTTATATTATTTATATTTGTGTTATACTGACAATATCCAAGCAAGTCTTATGGAAATAAAGCTATCTTTATCTTTAACAGGCGGCGGAAATGAAGCCGTCGATAATATTTTTCGACGAGCTGGACGGTTTGGCACCGGTACGATCGTCCAGGCAAGATCAGGTTCACGCGAGTATAGTTTCGACTTTGCTCGCGTTAATGGACGGACTGGACGACAGGGGAAACGTGATAGTGATAGGTGCCACGAATAGGATCGATGCCATCGACCCCGCCCTCCGTCGACCTGGCAGGTTCGATCGGGAACTGTTTTTCCCTCTCCCCTCCCGAATGGTAAGCGGCAATTTACGAGTTTTTATAAATGTTTTATAAATCCTGATATTTATTTATTCGTTTATTTCGAAAAAGTCTACCTAACAGGCGTGAAGCCCGACTAACAGGTGGGTTGCAGTTTAAATTGGTATGGTCTGTTCATAGATATAAGAAAGTAACCAATTGCTTTTGAATGGGAATATCCAAGGGTGGTCATTCACATACAACGCAACAAGATTATTACCTAAAGTTTCGGAATTTAAATTTAAAATTGTGGTCCATAATAGAAAATATTTTTATACCTACCTGTGTTTAATAATATTCTTCGGTTTGGTATACTACTTAGTTTAAGTTTATTAGTAATCATTCTTAATTCGTGTGTAATATGTGTCTAGTGTATCTCAAGAGATGCTCCCGCCCAAATGTAGAAAACACTATTCTATTGAGACTAAGGAAATTGTAAACAATGTTTATTTGACTCTCACTGAACGTGGTGCCAGCAAGGAAGCATCTTTAGAAGAAACGGCCACATTGACGATTTAAAAAAAATTGACAAAAGGTAAGTTTTAATGGAATCTTTTAGAACTCGGAAATGGCCACTGGAATATCTAGAAAAAATTAGGATTTACAGAGAACAACAAAGGCCAATTATTTACTTGGATGAAACCTGGTTCAATGCTTACAATACCCGGAAAAGGGTTGGGTTGACTCAACTGATAAGTGTAAAACAAACGCGCCATCAAAAAGAGGAAAAATAATAACTGTTTTGCACGCTGGCTCTAAAGATGGTTGGATTCCAAATGGACTTCCTCTGTCTGCGAAAAATATAAAATATTCTTCTCTGGATTACCACGAAGACACCACCGCTGATTTATTTGACAGTTGGTTTAAAAACATACTAGTTCCAAACATTCCTCCTAATAGCGTAATTGTATTGGACAATGCAAGTTATCACAGTAGACAGTTGACTAAAACCCTCATGTGACACAAAAGCAACCGTCCAAAACTACATGTATAATAACGACATTTATTTTCACGAAGATTATACCAAAAAGCAATTAATTGAGGTTCTACAAAGTTTGAACCTACAAAAGGAATACGTCTGTGACAATTATACAAAATATCTAGGGCACACAGTTTTAAGGCTTCCGCCTTACCACTGTATATTTAATCCCATTGAACATGTTTGGCACCAACTGAAATATGCCATTCGTCGTAACAATGTTTTTCCCCGTGTTAACTCCAACCTCCTCAAACTTATAGAAACCAAAGTTTTTAACATCCCTCCACAAAGTCGGGCAAATTCTGTTAAACATATAGAAAAGGAAGAACAATCGTATATCCATACTGCAAATAATATAGAACAAATAATAATTAGAACAGGCGATGATAGCGATAGTGATACTAATATATTATGTGAATAATTTTAAGTAATTTAAGTAGTTGATAAAAATAATTTGTAATTTTGTTTTAGATTTAAACATAAATACACACATAAATAAATAAATGTTTTTTAGTATCTTTCCTAACAAAACCCCAGATAATTAAATTTTAAGCAAAGTACGGACCTGTCCGGCCATATTTAATTCTTACAGCATGCCCGGGTGTTTCCTTAATTCGTATCAGTTAGTCACTTTCTTATATCTATGAACAGACTTTATAATTGTTAGTTATCGGTTATAGTTAGGCAAACCGCGTGATCAAATATGGCCAATAGGGCAGGCAATTGTGGTAGGTGTTGTTTACCTTAGGTAATGTGTGTTTTTTTTTTTTAGATATCGGATGAAACTACGATTAGTAGATAATAATTATGTAATATTTATTGCCAAATATTACTTGTACATAAAATAAAATCTTTTTACAATAAAGGACCTATAGGGGGCCCTAAAATAACTTATTTTTTGTGGGTTGCACCTCGCGTATTATACGCAATAGATATTTTCAATTTTATTTTTATATTTTATTTGTTCGATTGTAACACTCCTAATGTGTTCTTTAACTTTTTTTAAAGTACTTGACGGTAAAATAATACTTTTATTACGAATGTTCACTAGATTGATACACGTTAGAATTCACTATAAACGCTTGTTTGATACTCGGTGGTCTATTTGCATCTTGTTTCTTTGCTTCAATAATTTGAAGTCGACCCAACGGGTCAAACGATGAACTGGAGAGACCTTAACAATAACACTATGGAAAAGGCCATAATAAATTTGTAATAACCGCCTTATTGTTATTATTTCCGTATACTAAGTATTTGTTTTGTTTTTTTTTTTGTACTGTGTTAGCCACGTGCGCATCCCATTTTATATTATAGTCATAAGTTATTCCTACATATTTATTACTGGTAACTCTTTTCAGACTCGCACCATTAATATTGATTTCAAAAACCTGTGGAACAGAGTCTCTATAGTTTCCAAAAGAGACAGACTGGTCTGTGTTGAGTACTAGTTTATTTTGATATAGCCAGGAGTATATAATATGGTACTGAATATGCAATAAAAGTATCTTGCAAAAACCAATAAAACATCAACGATATTGGTCCAAGTATTGAGCCCTGAGGCACTTCCACTTGCTGATTTTTGATTACCATTATCCTTACAACTTACAACCATTTATCCTTACAACTTGGCTTCTATCTCTCAGATAACTTGGTATTAAGGGTAAGCCTGCACCCCTTGTTCCCATATTCTTCAATTTGGAGACTAGTATAACATGATCAACCTTATCAAAAGTTTTTGGGTAGCCTAAAAAAGGGACAACTGTTGGTAGACTAAGACTTAAGTTTTCATAAATTCACGAAGTAAAGCAATAGCATCATCTATCTGTAATTGTCTTAAACTTAATATGTTATGTTTATTAAGGAAATTGAGTAACTTGACAAAAATCATTTTTTCAAAAATCTTGGCACAATTTGAATTGAGTGCAATCGCACTATAGTTTTGGTTAGTTTGAAATTACACTAAGTTACTAAAAAAGATATGTTTTTGAAGAAGTTAAATACAAATAAAAACTCGACCTTAAAATTAAAAAAAATGTGTTGTTTTCAGTAATTATTTTTTAGCTTTCATTTATTTGTTTAGCAAGTAATGCAGTAATAACTAATGCAAATACAAGATAGAACAGTACTCTGAATACTGCTGCCGGTACTGTCAGATTCGACATTACTTTCTTCGGAGGATCCAGTATTTACTATGAACTGTTTCTTTGTATCTTAGCCCGTCCCACAATAGTTATTTCTAAAAGTTTTTGCCTTCCAAAATGTTCTACATCTTGGCAACTTAAATGTACCATTTCAACTGGCCACCCAATTTTTTCATAATAACTCTGGACTCTTTTTCTGCCAGAAAGGCTAATTGATCATAATTATCGCCGGATTTTAGAAGAAGATTTGCCAATATTGCTAGAAGAAGTATCATATTTAATTCGAAACAAAATGTGAATGGAGGACTGTGTGCCGGCTTACTTCAGAGTTGCAGTAAGAGAATATGAAAGCTGCATATTTTTTCTTACAAGAGGATCTTAAAAATCCGGTTTATTGCAACCTAGTGAACACTCTAGATTTAATAAGAAACACCGAAGCTGAAGCGTGTATCCTTCAAGGTGGAGGACACTTTCAACCAGCTATGTAGTTTCTATGTCCTACTTTTTTTGAAATTTATAAGTAGCCCAATTTTTAAAATAAGAATCGTTTATTATTTTCTTGTTGTTAAGATGTTATGTTATTTCATTAATACTGTAAAAGTAAAAAGAATAGACTTCCAATATTTTTTGTCTTCTGAAGGGCACTCGTTGGTCATTTTTCACAAAAAAAGTTCTCGATTTAACCAGGGCAGTGGGGACATAATTAATTAAAATATTATTTGCTCATAGACAGTTAGTGGCATGCCACTGATTGCTTAAAAAAAAAACATTTGTATTCATTTATGAGCAGATTTGATCTCTTAATTTGTTTTAGTTCAATTCAATTCAATTTCGAATAAAAACTATTTTCTCTGTATATTAACGATATTAATCAGTGGCGTACCATCTGAATGTCTGCCAAAATAGACCGGTGAAATTTCGTAGGGCCGCCGCTGGTCTATTTAAAAAAAAATTGGTTAAAATATCTAATGTGGTATTACAGATATTAAAAAAATATATTTTATTTTTGAAATCTTCGCCAGCCTGTATCTCAAAAGTTAAGACGTTATTTTCATATGAAGTATTCTTTTTAAAATTACCCAAAAACACCCTGTATAACTCAATATCTTAAATAAACAACTATAACTTTTTAGGTTCTGGGACCTTTAAAATTGTGTTCTACAATTTCATTTAATGATATATTTTAATTTAATTAAGTAATTTACTGTAATTTTAATTTAATAGTAATTTAATTAAGAATTTGATCGGCAAACAGCAAGTTTTCGAATGGTTCACGTTTCAAAACGACATTAATCGTTATTTACAGGAGAGGGAGGAGATATTGAAAGTGCACGTGGCTGCGTGGACGAAACCGCCTACCGCCGACCTGTTGAGTTACCTGGCGGAAAATACCGTCGGATATTGCGGTTCCGATTTGAGGGCGTTGTGCTCGGAGGCGGTGATCCAGGGCTTCCGCAGAACGTATCCTCAGGTTTACGATTCGGAGCACCGTCTCCTTTTAGATCCGCAGAGGGTCGTGGTGGAAAAAGTTGACTTTATGAGGGCGAAATCGCTGCTGGTGCCTGCGTCCCAGAGGATCGCTCAGGGTTTGGGCAGGAAACTGCTCCCGATTCTGGAACCGATCCTCCAAAACACGATTCGGAGAGCTTTGAGCGTTATCGAGCAAAGTTTTCCGCACGGTTTCAACATCACGCTCTCCAAGTAAGTGACCGCTGAATCGATGTTGGTCGTTTTTTTTTACAAAACTTCTGGATTCCTCCTGCGTCGGTTTTTGCTTAGTCGAAGTTGCTGACGTTTCGCCAATCATCCTGTTGGCTTCTTCAGAGCTTGACTGAACCTGGCTCGTATTTTACTCTGTAAAGTCTGTTCATAGATATAAGAAAGGCACTGATTGATAAGAATTAAGGAAAGACCCGGGCAAGCTGTAAGAATGTAATATGGCGGAACGTGTCCGTAGTTTGCTTAGAATTTAATTATTTGGCGTTTTGTTAGGAAAGATACTAAACTATATTTATTTATGTTTAAATCTAAAATAAAATTACAAATTATTTTTATAACCTACTTTAATTACTTAAAATTATTCACATAATATATCAGTATCACTATCGCTATCATTTTTTGCATAATTATCACAGACGTATTCCTTTTGTAGGTTCAAGCTTTGTAGAACCTCAATTAATTGCTTTTTGGTATAACCTTCGTGAAAATAAATGTCGTTATTATAGTAGTTTTGGATTGTTGCTTTTGTGTCACATGAGGAAGGGGTTTTAGTCAACTGTGTACTGTGATAACTTGCATTGTCCATTACAATGACGTTATTAGGAGGAATGTTTGGAACTAGTTTGTTTTTAAACCAACTTTCAAATAAATCAGCGGTGGTGCCATCATGGTAATCCAGATAAGAATCTTTAATACTTTTCGCAGACAGAGAAAGTCCATTTGGAATCCAACCATCTTTAGAGCCAGCATGCAAAATAGTTATTCTTTTACCTCTTTATGATGGCGCGTTTGTTTTACACTTATCAATCATTTTCCGGGGTATCATAAGTGTCGAACCAGGTTTCATCCAAGTAAATAATTGGCCTTTGTTGTTCTCTGTAAATCCTAATTTTTTCTAAATATTCCAGTCGCCATTTCCGAATTCCAAAAGATTCCATTAAAACTTGCCTTTTGTCAATTTTTTAAATCTAAAACCCATGGGCATAGGCACGCTCTCGTATAATTGATAAATTTTACGCCCTATTGTATCTTGATCACTTTCAGCTGCACTCGAGAATATGTCAGCATCGCTTCTTTTTTTCCTCGCTGAAATGGGGTTATTCACAATTTTCCATACAGTTGACGTTGGAATTTTCGTCAATGTCAATGTGACCGTTGCAGGGTCAAGCTGTCGGCCAATGTGCGACCAGCTCAGCTCCTCCTATCCGGACATGGTCCGCAGCACGGCCAGACGACCCACGTGGCGCCCGCCATTTTGTTCAAAATGGAACACATCCACGCGTACCTGCTGGACTTGGCAACGCTGTTCCGCGAACCTGGCAGAACGCCCGAAGAAGCTTGTTTGCAGGTATATATGAGCCGTTCATTTTTAAAGTGACTTAAGTAGATTTATCTTTAATTTGAAAAACTTAATTAAGGTTTTGCGTTTTTACAACATTAAAAATATATGTAAGATATATGGTTGACTTGCAATGTTAAATCGCATTTAATGGATTTAATTTCATACATCCTATTAAAAAGTAGCTATTATTAAGTGTATAATATGACCTTGCTTACCTTAAAAGGACTTAGGTCAGTTTCAAAATAAAAATTTGTTTTCTTACAAAAAGTCCGTTACATATATCTTTAAAAAAAACATTTAAATTATATTTTTAGATAATAAAAATAAATTTAGGAACAAGTTATTCGTTAACATTCTCAGTATGCGGGTGTGATTTAAAGTAGTTATGGTGTCCCGGAGGTATATACCGCAATAAGTCCATCAAGTGTCTGTATTTTAGTGATGTGATGCTTCTTATACTTTAATATAACAACAATACAATATTCCCAAATTTTTTAGGTCTACCCGACGTGGCAATAAATCAAAAATTTTAAATTCTGCGTTCTCATCTATGGTTCTTTTGTATAAAATTTTATATGGTTCATTTCTTAAAAACGACATTTCTATAACACCAAAATCTCTGTCTAGTTAAAAATGAATGGCCTGATATTAAAAAATTGTGGTCTATGATTTCCACATCATTTCCCATCGATAGAATTTTTAACCACATTAAAGATATTTGGATGTTTCTGTTTGTCATCCACAAAGGTCACTATATGCAATGATGTGTTTTTGTAGGTGTCTTAAGAGGCATGAAGCCACTTCTTGGGAACCTCTAGAAAGAAGCTTTTGTCTCATCCCAAATGTACATATATACATTATCGCTGTGGAAATTGTCTATGTCTAAATTTAAAATATACATGTTGCATTTATAATAAGCTACTGATATTGTTAATTTTGGGAATGGTAACTCTTTCTGCGAATCGAATCAAAAGCCAAAAAAACCAGATGGATTACTTGATACTCGCTCGTGATCTTGTTTTCTTCTTCATTTCTAGCCGTTTCTGCTAGCTTCAAATGAATATTATGTTCTTCCATAAGTTTTTTTCTGTTCTTCATGGTTTTCTGATGCTTTGACTTTAATTTTTTATAGATCACATCTTTGACATGTGTCTTTGCGTGGTTGGTGGAAATGTAGATTAAAATCCTTTTTGAATATTTTTCCATTCATTAACTGCCTTTAAATTATTTTTATATTATTAAAAAATATAGTCAGTTCAGTTCTACCGTCTTATGTAAATTTCAGAAAAAACAAACGACGGTCGTAAGCTGTCAAAATGACAGCAATGTCATCATCATCAATTAAGTCAAATTCAACTGACATCTAAAATAAGTTTTTTTGTTGTTTTTTTACAAATACAGACAACAGTAAACTCTATTTATCCGAAACCAAATACAGAACGCGAACAATTTAAAACAATTAGATACATAGGAGAAGCTAGTGAAAAAGTTTCAAAACATTTGTCAAAATGTGGTTTAAAAATAGCTTTCAGAACTAACAACACAATAGGAAAATATTTAAAAAAACAATAAATCGAAATGTCCAAAATCCCAAAAATCAGGTGTCTACAGGTTGAAATGCGGATCTTGTCCTAAAATTTATATTGGACAAACAGGTAGATCCTTCAAGAAACGCATTAACCAACATACAAGAGCGTTTAAAAACAATAGTCTAGATTCTAATTATTCTACACAGAAAAACACATTTTTGACGACAATTTTGATATATTACACACAGCCACAAAAGTAGAACATTAAATTTATTGGAAGCCATGGAGATTAACAAAATGAGACATTCAAACGTATTGCTTAACGTTCAATTAGAGTTAAATACCTCTCCTTTGTTGAACTTAAATTCTCGCAAAAACATTAATTAAGGTTTTGTGGTCATTTTTCGGTATATGTAGTAGCAGATAGTTCGTAAATATTACATTTGATAAAGACACGGTGTTGTAGAAACAATTGTCATATCAAAATATATAATTTCGTGAAAATCAGAACTTTTAGTTTTTTATTTATTTTGATAAATGGATTTTCATCAAGTAAAAGCCTCCTCAGTTCAATACAAATCCAATTTTTTTTTTATTATTATTATTTTGGATTTACTTGAAAATGTGATACAAATTTATGTACCGCTTTTGTTAACCTTTTGAAGTCATATATAAGATCTTTCCTTTACACATAAATTAGCGATTTCTACGGTTTTATGTCCTTTAGTCGTGATAATAATAACATTTCTAAATGGATGTGCAGAAAATTTCCTGGATGTGACAAAAAAAATCATAGAATAGTAGGTGGTGCATTAACGCACCACTTGGACAAAATGGGTTAAATTTTCGCCGCAATTGTTACTCGGCGGTATTCTTGTACAAAATTATTCATAATTAGGTTGTTGATCCGTGCTTCTTATCAAAATTAACCTTTGGTGTTTCAAGGGTTACCTCAAGAGTAGATCGAACCTTTTACCTTTCCATGCCGCTTACGAATATTTTAAAATTTTCTCCTTTCCATAGAATGTGCGAACTGTGCTACTCGGCAAATTCCCAGCTTGATATATTTTCTTCTTCTGTACTTGACGTTAAAACACGTATTTTTAAGGAATGGCATATAATTATTTTTGTTTTATTTTACGTTGTATTAGCATTTTGCCGTCCTTTTGCATTTGTCACTTAAGTTCCTGTTCTGTAGTAAATAAATAAATATATTACTTATGGGACACCTTGTATATATACAGGTAAACACAATAGAAGCCGCGTCCTTACCACCAGCTCGAGCTTCAGGAAACTACACTGCCTCGTATTAATATAACCTTGTTTGCAGTCAATTTAATGTCACAGTGGAAATCGGTCATCCCTACCGCGCATGCCCCGCCCCTCTCCGTGTCCGCTGCCCGTCAAAACTTATACGATAAATGCAATAGGTTTTCCACGAAGCGAAACGTAACGTGCCGAGCATAATTTACATTCCAAACATCGATCAATGGTGGGAGCTGGTGACGGAGACCGTGAGGGCGATAGTGACGTCGCAGTTGTCCCAAATCGATCCCAACGTACCGTTTTTGTTTATGGCCACCTCCTGCGCAACCTACGACAACCTACCTCAGCAGGTAAAAAACGATTTAGCGCTCGGCGCGCGGAAGTGAACAATCCGGCACGGTTTGTGTTCCAGTTGAAAAACATTTTCTCTTCGTACCGCAAAGAGCTGTTCGAAGTGCGTCCGCCGAATTCGGAAGCGAGACGCGCGTTCTTCCGTCCGTTGATCGTGGAGGGGGCGTTACGTCCACCGAAGTCCGCCAGGGAGCAGCCCCGCACGCCCCCGCTCCTGCCCAGGGCGCCCACGCCGCCGCCCACGCCTCTTACGGAAGACCAGGCGAAGAAGCTTTACGAAACCGAGGAGCATACGCTTCGCGAGTTGCGCATATTCCTGAGGGACATGTGCAAAAAGCTGGCCAACAATAAATTGTAAGAGCGCACCTTATACAGGGTGTTTTCAAATTGGATGTCGATAATGAAGGGGGCGTCTTCGCTTTTGAGATACCGAACGGCAAAGTTTAACAATAACATATAATAAAAAAATAATAAATATGAAAGAAAAAATAATAATAAAAGAACTAAATTAAGCTGGGAATTTATATACTAAAATATTTGCGTCTATCGATCATGCTACACCGCATAATGTTTTTCACGACCTGCATACAGAATGTTTTCTAATTGAATATCAATAATTAAGGAGGCGATTTTTGGGTCCACTTTAAAACGAAAACTTCATATGAACGTATGTCCTACAGGGTGGTAAAGTTTTCAAAGACAAAATATATATTTTTAATTTATTTAGCTTACATTGATGGTACGCCACTGATTTATCTTAAAATAAAAACTTCTCTGCACGGTGATAACAATAAAGTTAATATGACAGTTAATATGATTAGGTCGTCACTGCACTGGTTAAATCAAATAAAATAAAATTTTCTATCTAAATCAAAATATCTAGTTTTTAGTTACCAACTAGTGTCCTTCGGAAAAATCAGATAAATAATAAACAATTCTTTCACTTTCACTGGATGTTATTGTTCATCTACTTCTACATTTAAAAGAGCTGAACGGTTTCATTTTTTTTTTCTTATTGTTTTTCTGTCAGTTGTTTTTGAATATTGTCCTTGTTTTTTTATTTTTTTCTTTCTTCTTTTTTACATTTATCCCTCTTTGATTTCTTTAAAATTGTCATATCGCGAATTTAGGTGGACGTATTTATATTTGTTATTTTCTTTCTTGGTTAGGTGGTTAGGCATCTCAAAAATCGCTACCCTTAATTATATACAGGTCATGAAAAACATTATTCGGTATGGGGTTATCGTTAGTGTGAGAAAATTAAGCAGAAATATATTTTCGTATATACGTTTTTAGTATAATTTAATTCTTGCATCGTTCTTGGTACCGATTTCTTTCGCGCAATATCCTATTTGGAATTACATTTTTATTTTTTTGACGTATTTCTTTACAACGCTTCGAACAAACAAACAACAAATTTATACCTGTCCACCCGAAATAAAAAATAAAAAAGGAAGTTCTCAAAATAAAACCTAAAAAAATAATTATTTTGTAAAAGGTTAAAGAAATCCACCATTTTTAGCTGAGCAATATCCCAACCTACCGTAAAATTCTTGTCGCACTTTGGTATTTGTAATTTGATGACGAAGAAAAAAAAAATGATTTGGTGCTAGATCTAAGTATCTAGATGGCCATTTGATTCTTCCATTTCCCTGTATTATATGATTAGGCAACGTTGCATTCGGAAAATCCCAAACTTTCCTAGCACAACACCTAAATATTTGTATTTAAATTCCCGTCATGAAAAAAAGAACCAATGGTACAGTTTCTTACCAGCCCGTGGTGAATACCCCACAGCCACTGCCGGATTATGACGACCATTTAACGAAAATGAAGATTCATCGGTGAATAGAATGCTGAAATTTTTCACTTTAAAATGATCCAAATAAATTCGTTTATTTTGAACACCCTGCAGCAACTAATTCAAATTTCGTTGGATCTATCTTTTACGTCATCTTCGAATAACGCTAATATATCAAATATGAGTTGATCTACCTACGCTATCAAAGTTTTTTTTGCAAATGTAAAAGCTGGTACTTTTTTAGAAAAATTAAAATATTGGCAAAATTATTAGGTTTAGGCGTGTATTATTATTATTATTAATACAGTTGAAGAATTCGAAACAAAATATTTTATTCGTCGCGTTTTTTTGAGCCACCCTGTAAATTTTAAAATCAGTTTAAATTCTGTATCCTAACAATCTTTTGAAACCGACGTTCTCTTTTTTTCTTGTACGGCGAACCTCTAACCTAGCTTTGGAGTTTGGGGAAGTTTTTAATCTAAATTTTACCCTTGTAATTTTCTACCAAAGAATAATAAGGGACCTAGAAATTTGACAAAAAAAAATTAAATAAATCGTCCATGAGAAGAAATGCTGCACATTTTGGATCGGTTAATTTTTATTTAATTTTTAAAAATTGGGTCTAGGAGGCTATGACCATCATAAATACTATTTACCGGGTCACCTGATCATGGGAAAAATTGTAAATGAAACTTTTCTTTACTTGTCTAATGGCAAATAGCATTTAATGTAATGAACTATTAATTTTTTTTGGATAACTTAGTGGGAACAAAAACTTTTTAAAACCGGTACTTTTTTTGCAACATTTTGACACCGAAATTGTCGAAATCCGTTAAAAAATAAGCTCACAGGAAGGAAAAAAACAGATAAGTAAATATATTTTTATAAAAACAAAATATTACGTAGGTGGCTTTGTTTCTATTCATCATCAAGTCGGCCGGATTGAAAATTCTGACAGTTTGTTTACTTTTATCTCGTTATCATCATCGTTCAGATCGATTTTTATCAATTTGAATTATCATGGAAAACAATAATAAATTTACAAATGGAGAAAAAGTTTATATTTTTCTGATATACGGGGAATGTAGAAAAAACTCTCAACAGGCCAGTGCATTGTAAGGAGGCCGCTATCCTGGACGTCGCCTGCCTGCACATTGTTTATTTCGAAAGCTGGAATTGAAAATTAGAAATTCGCAAAATAATCGACATGATAATTTTATTATAAGTGAAGAAATGAAAATCAATGTTGTGGGATACGTCAATACGACTTGACAATTAATACTGAATAGAAGCAAAGCCACCTGAATATATTTTTTTTGTTTTTATGTGAATGTATCTACTTATCTGGTTTTTTCCTGCACACTAGAAATGTTTTACTTAATTTTTATCGTCCGAATTTTCGAATGGTAAAGTGCAGATCTTTGACACTGCTCTTTTCACGATTGAATTGTTCACTTTCGCACTCACTACTCGAACAATTCCGTCCTGACCTGGATGTAGTTCCGTTATCTTTCCAATATGCCACTTTAATGGAGGAGCATTGTCTTCTTTAAGCAGAACTACCATGTTTGGTCGTAACAACCTTTGCGAATTTTGTCGCCATTTGGATCTTACTTGTAACTCGTTCAATTATCCTAAGTGCCAACGCGTCCAGAAATGTTTCAAAATTTGTCGAAGCCTTTCGAATCGTTTTAATCGATTCTCTGGTACTTGTGTGTAAATTGGTTCCGGTATAGCAGTTAAACTTTTTCCTATCAAAAAGTGAGCAGGAGTGAGAGGATTTAGGTTATCGGGGTTGGATGTTAAAGGACACAAAGGTCGTGAATTCAAAACCGACTCAGTTTGAACAAGAATAGTGCTAAAGTCGTCGAAATTTAAATGTGCGTTTCCTATTACGCGTTTAATGTGAAATTTTGCTCTTTTAATTCCTGATTCCCAAATCCCGCCAAAGCTAGGAGATCGAGCTGGTATAAAATGCCAGGTTATATTATTGTCTTGAGCTAGGGAATTATAAATTTTCTCCGATTTGTCTCGTAAGAAAGATTGAAATTTTTTAAGTTCGTTACAAGCGCCTACAAAATTCTTACCATTATCTGAATAAATGTTCAAAGGTTTGCCGCGTCTACCGATAAATCGTTTTAATGTAGCCAAGAAACAGTCGGTGGTGAGTTCAGAAACTAGTTCCAAATGAATAGCCTTACATGATAAACAAATAAAAAGACAAATGTATGCCTTGGATAATTTCGGGTTTCTTGTTTTTCGATCCTTTAACAGGAAAGGTCCGGCGTAATCGACTCCGGCGTTATAGAATGGTAAATATTGATTAACTCGATACTCGGGTAAGTTACCCATTAAATATTCACAGGAATTTGGATTTACTCGAAAACAAATGGTGCAATTTCGCGTTATTTTTCTTGTTAAATCACGTCCCGCTATGGGCCAATAACGTTCCCTTATCGAAGAAAGTAGCATAGTAGGTCCACAATGTAATAATCGGATATGTTCGTTTTTCAAGATTAAGTTTGTTAACGCATTTTTTGCTGGTAAAATTATTGGGTGTTTTTTATTGTAATCTTGGTCACTATTTTCTAACCTACCTCCTACACGGATTAGTTTGTTTTTATCAATAAATGGATTTCGTGATAACAAATTACTTCGTTTGTGAACTAGCTTATTTTTTAATAAATTGTCGTAATCGTGTGGAAATGATTCTTGTTGTGCTAGTCGAATTAAAAATTGTTATGAGTTTTCTAATTCTTCCGTGCGTAGAGTATTGGTTTTTCTGTCATTTGAACGACAATTCGAAATGAAGCGTCAAATGTATGCAAAAACTCGTTGTAATTTACGTAAATTTGAAATTTATTGAATAATTCGCTGTTTCTTAAAATAGTTAAATTTTCATTAACCCGTTGTTCTGGAATTTCTACTTGATTTAATTCTGAATCGAAGTCCCAAAGTTCTAATTCGTGACTAGTGAGCCAGTCTTCTTCTTAGCGTGCCTTGTCCTATCGAACGTTGGCGATCATCAGCGCAATCTGGACTTTGTCCACCGCTCTTCTAAAAAGTGTCCTGGCGCTAACACCATACCACTGCCGCAGATTCTTCAACCAGGAAGTTATGCGACGGCCCGGGCCTCTCCTACCATCTATCTTGCCCTGCATAATGAGTTGGAGTATTTGGTACTTTGTGTTGCGTAGAATATGTCCGAAATATTCTAGTTTTCTCTTTTTGATGACTTCTGTTTGTTTGTTTAGTTGATTTAATATGTCTATATTTCGGACTCTGTCAACCCACGAGACTCGCAGCATGCGTCCACGATTCGGCCCCATACATGAGCACACTAAAGACATAGCATTTGAGAATGCGAATCCTCAAAGCTAAATCGATATCGCGGCTGCATAACACGGCCTTCATTTTAACGAAGGCGCCCCGGGCTTGCTCTATTCGGGATCTTATCTCTTGTGTGTTGTCCCACTCTGCGTTAAGTATGCAGCCTAAATATTTGTAATGTTGGACGCGTTCTATGGGTTTTCCGTCGTACTCCAAATCACCCCACACATCTCTATGTTTGCATCTCCCTGCTTCTGTCTGCCACGCAGTTCAAAAGTTCCTGCAGGTCCTCCAGCGTACTCGCGAGAAGCACAGTATCGTCCGCGTATCTGAAGTTATTTATAACTGTACCGTTGAGAATAATACCTTGGTGTTTCTCGTATAATGCTTCTTCAAAAATGCTTTCGGAGTACAGGTTAAATAACAGAGGCGACAGCACGCAGCCCTGTCTCACACCACGCATGATTCGAACCTCATCCGACATCTCTCCGTTCACTACTATTTTTGCTCTCTGGTGCCAATATAGATTTGCTATTATTCGTATATCTCGTTCATCTAGGTTTTGTTTCCTTAGTATTTCAATGAGTTTACTGTGCTGGACGGTGTCGAAAGCCTTCTCATAATCTATGAAACACTAGAAATTGTAAATCTGTTTGAAATTCTTGCCAAATGATTTCTAGATTTTTCGGTATAGGCTCGTCCCATGAAATCTTTGCTTGCCAAAGATTTTGAATTAATAGTTTTGCCGTGATAATTACTGGTCCTAGTAATCCCAAAGGATCAAATATTTGTGAAATTATTGATAAAATCGATCTTTTCGAGATAGTTGTCTTGTTGGTTTTAGGATTAACATTAGAATACTGGATTTTGTCTGAACTTACATTCCAAACTATACCTAGGGTTTTGTTAGCTTCGTTTTCGCCTATTTTTAGAACGCTACATTCTAATTGATTATTAATTTTAAATTTCTCGCTTAACTCTGGATTGTTACATAACCATTTTAACTCGAAACCCGCATCAGAAAGAATAGAAGTTAATGTCGCGTTGTAATTGTAAAAGTTCGTCCTTTGAATTTGAACCGCATAAAAGATCGTCTACATAGAAATTGTTCTTAATTACGTGGCACGCCAATGGAAATTCGTCTCTATTAATTTCCCCCACTTGATGTAAACAACGAATTGCCAAAAATGGCGCGGAGGCCGTGCCGTAGGAAACTGTAGCTAGCTCGAAACATTTAATTGTAATTGTAAGTCCGAAATTCAAGTAAAATAGAAAATAAATCGTTTTCAACGTGTTGTACATCGTTCAAAGAAAGACCACTATCGCTTTTCACGCTTCCGTCAAAAACTACTCGTACCTTTGTCGTGCTACTCGCTTCTCTAATTACCGCGTGATGTGGTACGTAGTAATTTAATTGCTCGCAATGATTATTTTCGGTAATTTCAAACATGTGACCCATTTTTTGATAATCTAACATGAATTTTGAGTACTCCTTGTATAATATATCGTCGTTCTAAATCGTAAAAACGTTTCAATGCGTACTCTCGCGAATTTACTAAATCTTTAACGTTTTCTCTAAACGGAACGCTTACTATGAAACGACCGTCGAAGTCGCGTTCATGCGTGTTTAAAAAATGTGTTTCAGAGAATTGTTCGGACTCGGTTAATAATTGATTCTTTGAGTGATCGATTTCTTCAAATTGCCAGAATTTTAATAATTGATCGTCTAGAGGTGAATTTTGAGTAAAACAGCTTATCGACTTTAAATGTGAATGATTTGCGTTTCTTAAATGACCCGCAATAATCCAACCAAGCTTGCTATTTTGAAGGGTTAAGTTTGTATTTTGTAAATGAATTTGTCCGACGCGTAAAAGTTGCCAAAACACGCTAGACCCTAGTAAAATGTCTATCGGACTGCACTGGTTAAAATTAGGATCAGCCAATTGTAAGTTTGCGGGTATGTTTATTTCTTTTCTCTCGAAGGGAGTAAACTGTCTGTTATTTGTTTTAAAACTGCTGTTTTGAATAAATTATCTCGCAAACTTAATCGTAAATCAACTATTTGGTTTGCATTAGATATAGATTGACCGACGCCTTTGATTGAACAATTAACCCGTTTAGGTTTTAAATTTAATTTCTTAAACAATCGCTCGGTTATAAAGTTACTCATTGAACCGCTGTCCAAAAGAGCTCGACTTTTGACTTTGTTGCCGCTTGAATCTGCAACTAAAACTACTGCGGTTGATAGAAGGACCTGACTAGTAAAATTGGCAACGGTTCCGCAGCCGGCTAGGACTTGGGTCTCGGTGGACGTTGCGGCGGCGCTTTGAGAATCCTTTTTATGATGCGTTTCTGCTGAATCGCTTTTATTGTTTGCGTTTTTTAATGGTGGTGTGTTTTCGGACCTTTGATCTTTATTGTAATGAAGTAACGAATTATGTGGTCGTCCGCATTTACGACATTTCGAAAGTAAACAATCCTGAACTTGATGTGATGGTCTTAAACAATTAGTACATAAGTTGCGATTTTGTACTTCCGTTAATCGTGTCTTGGGTGTAAGCTTTAAAAATGACTCGCAATAATAAATTTAATGTTCTTTTTTACAATAGAAACAAATTGGTTTGCTTGAGCTTGCGTAAACATTGGAACCTGTTTTTTGTTTAAAGTCGAATTTTGTTTTTTCTGGCTTGTTAATCTCGAATTTTTCTAGAAATTCGCAACGACTTTTTAGAAAATTATGTGAATCGCTTATTTTTGCAATATTCTTGTTTTTTGCACTATAGGATTCCCAATCGCGCTGTGTTTTCGAATCGAATTTATCAGTTATGATTTAATTAATAGAGTATCCCAATGATCAGTTCAAGGCTTCTAAATTATTTGAAATTGCGTCAAATAGGTTTCTTAGTTCTTTCGGAGATTCCTTTGTAATACGCGGAAAATCTAAAATTGCTCGTATGTGAAAATGAGTTATTAAACGACTTTGAACCTTTCTTGTAATCGGTTCCAAGCCACTTGATAATTAGCTGCAGAAATCGGTATTTTTTGTATAATTTCTAAAGCTTTTTTATCCAGCGATGATCGTAAATAGTACATTTTTTGAATGTTTGATAAAGAAGGATTGGTATCGATTAGAGCTTTAAAAATGTCTCTGAACTCCACCCACTGTTCGTATTGGCCATTGAAAGTAATTAATTTAAGCGGTGGTAATTGAACTTGAATTGTATTTTGATCGTCACTTGAAGTATTACTAGAACTTGCATTGGAAAGCACAGATTTCCTGTCACTGTCGCGTTTGGATAGATTTGTTTCCGAAAAATTTTGTAATACTAGCTCAAATTTTGCTATTAAATCATAGTAAATTGTTTCAAAATTATCCCGTTCATCGTCATCTAAATCAGTCTTATCGGAATGTAACTCGATCTCTGCTTGAATGTCATTGAAATTGTCTAATAGAGGAAGAATTCTGTCTAATCGAGCTTTTGATTCTCAAAATAGGTCTTTTTGTCGATGTTTTCTTGATCTAGAGAATTGTAATAATTTACAGCTTTTGTTAAGCTTGACTTTATTTGCCCCCGTTTCTTGTTTAACACTGTTAATTCGGCCATCATGCTTGCTCGAAATTCAATCGACTTTAGAATAGAAATAGCTAGACTTTGGGAGAAATAAAAACTAGGATAGAATTGAAAAATGGAACGGACTCACTTTATTTGATTTCTTGCTTTGTTGCTACCGGTTCTGCCACACTGAAATTGCTGCTGCTTGCTTCTTGGTTGCTGTTACCTTAACTTGCACTAAATTGTCTCTGCTAGCACTTGAACGGAACTGTTTTCAGAGTTCGAAGGACCATTTAGGAATCTTTTGGATTCCCGATAGGTTCAGCGGAGTAATAACCACTTAACTTTGTTTTTCACTACTTTAATAAATATACGGTACTTTACAAGCCAAACAAAAACAAACAAACAAACATTTGTATTGCATATCAAAATTAATTGAAATTAGGAGGCATTCGCGGAGCGTCTCGATCCACACCCGTTCCACGCGTGAATCCCGTCGGGACCTGTCTTTTTCATCCTTGTCCTAGTGCGGTGTTGCCGGGTTGCGTCAAAGCTTGGAATTAATATTTAGTCTAACCAAAACTTAAGCATTGTTCCTTTTTATTTCTACATAAAATTTTGCTATTCCTTAGTAAATTTCATTAAGGGTCGCCACGTTGCGTTGCAGATTCTTTATGTTCACCAAACCTGTAGATACAGACGAAGTACCTGATTACACGGAAATTATAAAACAGCCGATGGATTTGGAAACGATGATGACCAAAGTCGATTTTCACCGTTACGAGTGTGCCAAAGATTTCCTAAACGACATCGACTTGATATGTCATAACGCTTTGGAATACAACCCGGCTAGGTGAGGATGTCCCGATCGCGTTTAGCGGAAAAAAATCGAGAGTACGTTTTATTTTCGCAGGAGTTCGGCCGATAAGCAGATCCGGCACAGGGCCTGTTCCCTTAGGGATTATGCGTACACGCTGATCAAGACGGAGATGGATACCGATTTCGAAGACAAATGCCAGGACATCAAACAGAAACGGAGGGTGAGGAAGGCGTGCGTATCGAAATACTTGCCCGCCTATATTCAGACCCAAGGTGAGAGAAAACAAACTTCGTCTAGATCTGAAAGTGGTTTATGTGAACTAATATATTTTTTTAATATCTCTAATAATAATAATATCTCTAATAATACTACTAATAATTTTAACGAAATTTGGCACACATGTACTATCAAGAGGCATTATCTAGTGTACCACATTTTTTTATCTCACACTGATTTCTCATAAAATAAATATTTGTCTTACAATCTATAATCGTTTCTAAAGAAATTTAATTTTTTGTTTTTTTTTATCTTGATAATTTTTTGATTTTCAATTGGCGGTACCTTTTTTGTTTTTAGAGATATAAACGTAAACAAAAACACAAAATGTAGGGTCAGAAGCCAAGTTTTTTTCCAAGTGACGTATAAAACAAAACACTATCAATTTTTTGACATATAAGACTACATCATATTTTTTTTATATGGAACGCCCTTAAGTAGAACAAAAACACTAAATACTACAAGACAGGCTAAAGTAAAAAAATTTTTGACTATTCTAAATATCGCTGTATGTGACCACCATTTTCCTGAATACATGTCTTGCATTTAGTAACCTTTCCGGATTGTCTCCTAACCGATTGATTGCCTCTGAAATCCTTTGCCGAAGTTCCACGACTTTATTAGAAGGAGTTCTGTGCACGTGATCTTTTATGCGTGCAGTCTTGCTGCCATATAATCAGCGGTAAATATTGTTAAAGTCTGTTCATAGATATAAGTTTATATCTCTATGAACAGACTTTACCTTTGCCAGCATACAGGATGTTATTTTACTGACATCATTTAATTTAATGAGTGATGCAGAACATTGTTCTGTCAAAATCGGATTCAAGACTCCGCTTTATTATTCGTCAGTCACGTCCATGGAGTGGTTTCTAAAGTGATTGGCTTCATTAAAAAAAAAAAACGTTAGACTTCACAAGTATTTCTGCTACACGAGGGTCACTCGAAAAGTTTCCAAACAATGATACAAGACATTTTGTTCCAAAACAATTATACACGAAATCAGTCGCTTGGGGCTAGATCTGGTGAGTAAGGCGGACGGTCAACCAGTTCAAACCTTAATTCGAGCATTTTTGCCATGTCAAGTATGAGTGTCGTGGTGACACATGTTTTTTTTTTGCAAATGTGGCCGTTGTAACAAATAATAACAATAATAATGGTGGTTTAAACAAAAATTGGAGTTCAAACAATGAGGAAAAAAAGAATAATTGAAAACATTCTTCTTTTACGTTTTGGAGAAATGATTCTTCAAAATTTGGAATTTTTGATGTAAGAGCGATTTGAATACAGTTTTCGGCGTTTAATCGATTTACGTTCTTCGTTTTTATGTTCATTAGAGTAAAAAAGTCTTTCTTGTTCGCACAAATATGTTGCTCCAAATGGCATCCAAAAAGACGACGGATTTGGTTTATTCTCAAATGGAATACGTGCTTCAGTATTAGATCGAAGTTCAAGAATTGCTTCTACCAAACCTGAAGGTTCTTCTGGTATCACAGCATTTTCACATTTAAAAGGATTTACAATCCAACTGACAGCATGTGTATCAAGATCTGGAAAGTAATCTGAAGACCGCTTTCTGATGTCTTCCAATTGTATCCTTGCAGTTAGCAAAAGTAATATTTTCGCAATCTTTTAAAAGCAAAGCTAACCTTGAAAAAGAAGCTATCTTGTTCTGTTCTACTTTCTGTCTCCAATATTACAGCTTTAATCCAACCGCCGACACTATTTCATCCATCATCCATTCAAAGATACAGAATTTCCATTTTAAACTTTGCGCATTGAAGTATTCATTTACTTTATTTCACGAGATTTCAACTCGAGAGGAGAACACAACGGCAATTCCTCTTCAAAATTATCTGCACCTTTATAGCGAACATATACCATTAGCTGTGAATTGCTACTAAAATCGGTTGTCTCATCAAGCTGAATAGCAAAATATTTACCCTGTTTCGTTCTTTCACAATTCTCGCAGACAAGGGCACTAAATTCAGTTTCTTCGCTATTTTTTGACCACGTATAATCTCTGCCATTTTTACAGCCAAATCTTCACCAATAGTGGTTTCTTATTTCGTGTGATCAACCAGGTTACTTCAAAGTTAGATGCTGAACGCTTATGCATGTACCAAACAAGTAGCTATATTCAATCTTGGTCAGTAGGTTCACATACAACACAGTGTAGTTTTATTGTATCATTGTCTTCTATTTGTGTAAAACCGTAATTAAGGAAGTCGTCTTGGTATGAAGGGAGACAGAAAATAGTGGTTGTAAGCTTGAATTAAATTTTCAAAATTGCGGCTTACCTTGATGGATATATCGATGATTAATGATAAAATGGTGGTCTTGTCAATGTATTTGTATCTTGACGGCATGGCACGGACTGAGCAGGTGCAGGGCTGTGCTTTACTGCGCAAAGATATAACTCGAGATCACTCTTGTGGTGGGGAGTGAGATGTTTAAAAATAGCAAATTGAAAATATATACTTTTTACTCATAAAAGTATCATTTTTACCCCATTTGTGGGTAATATTGCTTTTCAAAAACGAATACAGTCACATCGACTCACTCAAACTATGAAGTAAGTATCAAGAGGCGCACAACCATTGTCACTAGCGTTTAATAACTAGTGGCGCCATCTTCGGGGCGAGGTCGGAAATTTTTCAAGTGACCCTCGTACTTATACGGTTGCATAGTTTATTAGAATATCGCTCAACAGTCTGGAACTCTTTTGCCAGATGCCAACTTGAATAATCGCGATAACGGTAGCGAAGAGCCCAGCGAGAGTGTGTCGCATTCGAAGGACCTCGCTCAGAAGACGTCGGAGCGTAGCAGGATCAGCCCGATAAGAAAGCGGAAGTTCAACTGGCAAAGGGGCTACTTGAAGAAGAGGAAGAAGACGAAAGTGGACTCCTCGCATCACAACAAATCGGTAAATTGTATTGCTATTTTTTTGCACGACAACATTATTAACCAAAAAAAAAAACGCTTTTTCTGAAATGTTTAAAAATCTTTCTGAGTGAGAAATTGCAATCTCCAATTATTTCTAAAAAAATTTGCTTGATTTTTCTTCTTCAACAATTGATTTGTTATAAAAAAAAAGTAATAGATCTAATATTTTGGACTTTAAAGATTTTTCGGTATCCTTAATAATAAATTAGCGTTTTAATTAAAATTTTAGATAATTAGAGGTTAACAGCAACCCGTAAAGTGGAAATTTTTGCAAATTCAATATTTTTTTGTTTGGCGTTGATACTTTAAAGTTGGAATAAAGATTTTGGGATGCGGTTTTCACTGGGTCGTTGGGTACTTATTTGATTATGTAATGGTATAAAAATAAATTAAAAAATATTTGAAAAGAATCTCATCATTTGATTTTTTTTTTGTAAAATTGCTTTTTTTGCGATGACGGAATAATACTACCCGGGAGGGGGGCAAGGTAAACAAATCTCAATCGCACCGTTCACAGCCTATAAACAGCTGTTTTTTACTACTCCAAGTTTATTAAAATAAGTTACACCTTTTTAGAGATATGGACATTTACTTTAGAACATATGTTTCCTCCTTCCCCGACTCATTTTACCAAATACATATGTATTTTTATTTCCAAGACCATCCGTCAATATTCTAAATTAAATAGAAATATTTGTTAAAATAAATTATATCAGCGGAAATTGCATTATCAATCAAAATCATTTAAATTGGGTACCTAGCCATAATTAGTTATCTAATTTTAAATTATCTAAAAAAAAATTTTTTTTAATTTATTTTTGAAAATTTTACTACCCAAAACTTAGACCTTTAGGACAAGTTTTCTTTATAAAAATCATCAAATCAAAAATCGCTCCCTTAACTATTGATAGTTAATTAGAAAACTGCCTGTATAACAGAAATATATAAAAAATATAAACACACAAAAGTTATTTTATTTTTTTAAAACGTTCCAAACCTACCCAGTTTTTGTTTGGCTCTGTACGCGATACTTGGAAGAGTAGAAAATTTAATTAAATTTAATTTAATTGTTTTTCTTTTTTGGTGGTCGGGACTGGCCTTGAAAAAAGTGACTTTTTTGCGTAGATACGTTTGTAAATCCTCGTATAAAATGGCTGTGTTGAACAATGTATAGACTTCGTCTAAAGAGAAGCACTCGAGCGATGAATCGAAGGAGAACGATCCGGATAGCAGCACGATGGACATCCGGAACCCGTCTCCCGAGACTCGGACGGAGGCCGCAGCTAACAGAACTGCCGAACTCACCACTGCCCTTACCATTAACTGTGATACTCAAAGGAGGTCGGACCTGCCGAGCCAATCGTCCCAGTAAGTGCCCAGTCACGTTGCTTCTAAAGTTTATGAAAGTTTAGGTAGTGCCGGTCCATAAACTCAAATTAGATCAATGTTTGACAAACAGAAAGATAAGTATTTATTTTTACATTTCTACAACTGTTTTATTTTATAGGTTGGTACAATTTTCGAATATGCAAAGAATAGTTTAAATTATTAATAATTTAGATTCAGATTCGTTGATTGGTGTCAGTATATAGAAGAACGAACCTTATAATTAAATGTCGTAGATTTTCAAAGAAACTGCGTCGATTGTTAATAAATCAAACTTGGTGACGTTTCGCCAATCATCTTGTTGACTCCTTTAGAGCGTAACTCAAACTGGTTCGGTTGCACTCTATAACTGCTTATATACGGTTTGAAGGGGGCGGAGCTTAATGAGGGACATTGAACTTATCACAAAATCAAATTGAACCCCCCCTCACCACCACCACCAGAAGCAGTTGTTTGCAAAGATCAGGTAAAGTCTATTCATAGATATAAGAAAGTGACTAACTGATACGAATTAAGGAAACACCCGGGCAAGCTGCAAGAATGAAATATGGCCGAACAGGTCAGTACTTTGCTTAGAATTTAATTATTTAGGGTTTTGCCAGGAAACTAAACAATATTTATTTATTTATGTATGTTTAAATTTAAAATCAAATTACAATAATAATAGGTGTGTGTACCACTGTCGCTATCATCGCCTGTTCTAATTATTATTTGTTCTATATTATTTGCAATATGGATATACGAATTGTGCTGCTTTTTTTCAATGTTTAACAGAATTTGCCCAACTTTATGGAGGTATGTTAAAAACTTCGGTTTCTCTAGGTGTGAGAACATTGGAGTTAACACGGGGAAAAACATTGTTACGACGAATGGCAGATTTCAGTTCATGTTCAATGAGATTAAGTATACAGTGTTCTTTTTGTAGGTTCAAGCTTTGTAGAATATCAATTAATTGCTTTTTGGTACAATCTTCGTCAAAATAAATGTCGTTATTATACGATTATGGATTGTTGCTTTTGTGTCACATTGTGATAACTTGCATTGTCCATTACAATGACGCTATTAAGAGGAATGAAGGAACTAGTTTGTTTTTAAACCAACTTTCAAATAAATCAGCGGTGGTGCCTTCATGGTAATCCAGAAAAGAATCTTTAATACTTTTCGCAGACAGAGAAAGTCCATTTGGAATCCAACCATCTTTAGAGCCAGCATGCAAAATAGTTATTCTTTTACCTCTTTTTGATGGCGCGTTTGTTTTACACTTATCAGTTGAGTCAACCCAACCGTTTTCCGGGGTATCATAAGTGTCTAACGAGGTTTCATCCAAGTAAATAATTGGCCTTTGTTGTTCTCTGTAAATCATCATTTTTTCTAAATATTCCAATCGCCATTTCCGAATTCTACAAGGTTCCATTAAAATTTGCCTTTTGTCAATTTTTTTAAATCTAAGACCCATGTGATGAATACACTTCCATAAGGTAGTTCTGCCACATTTAAAACCAGTTTCATCTTTTTCAAGCCTCCTAATTAATGAAAGTTAAAGAGTTCTTTTCATCAATTTCATTTAAGAAACAAGGAAGGAAAAAATATTTAATAATTATAATAAAAATACAGCTACAAAACATTGGTAAAAAAAAACAGCCCTCTATTGCTTAATTATTATCATGAAATCCCATCACATTCTAAGGAAATAGCGTTTTGTAACATTTTAAGATTTTCAAATTAAACGTTTTTATGGAAAACACTTTTCAAGTGATCCCACAGAAGGAAGTCGTTCGGCGAGAGGTCAGATGACCTATTGAAAAAATTTCCAATTACTCCCAGGAATTATGAGCCAGACAATCATCCATCTGGTATAGTTTGTTTATAGATATAAGAAAGTGACCAATTGCTTTTGAATGGGATTATCCAAGGGTGGTCATTAACATACAACGCAACAAGATTATTACCTAAAATTTCGGAATTGAAATTCAGGTAAAATTGTGGTCCGTAATAGAAAATAATTTTATACCTGCCTGTGTTTAATATTCTTTGGTTAAGTTTACTAGAAAATCATTCTTATTTCGTGTGTAATGCAGCGTGTGTTGAACCGTGTGCGAATTATGCAAAATATGTGCGAGTCTAGTGTATCTCAGGAGATGCTCCCGCCCAAATGCAGAAAACACTATTCTATTGAGACTAAGGAAGTCATAAACATATTTTATTTCACTCTCATTTAGCGTGATGCCAGCAAGCAAGCATCTTTAGAAGAAACGACCACATTGACGAAAATTCCAACATCAACTGTATAGAAAATTGTGAATAATCCCATTTCAGCGAGGAAAAAAAGAAGCGATGCTGACATTTTCTCGAGTGTAGATGAAAGTGATCAAGATATAATACGGCGTAAAATTTACCTGTAATACGAGGAACAAAGCGTGTCTACAATAGATATTTTAATTGGCGACTTGAAAAAGATGAAACCGATGTTACATGTGGCCGAACTACCTTATGGAAGTGTATTCAACACATGGGTTTTAGATTTAAAAAAATTGACAAAAGGCAAGTTTTAATGGAATCTTTCAGAATTCGGAAATGGCGACTGGAATATCTAGAAAAAATTAGGATTTACAGAGAACAACAAAGGCCAATTATTTACTTGGATCAAACCTGGTTCGACACTTATGATAGCCCGGAAAAGGATTGGGTTGTTCACTCAACTGATAAGTATAGAACAAACGCGTCATCAAAAAGAGGTAAAACAATAACTATTTTGCATGCTGGCTCTAAAGACGGTTGGATTCCAAATAGACTTTCTCTGTCTGCGAAAAATATTAAAGGTTCTTCTCTAGATTACCATGAAGACACCACCGCTGATTTATTTGAAAGTCGGTTTAAAAACAAACTAAATCCAAACATTACTCCTAATAGCGTAATTGTAGTGGACAATGCAAGTTATCACAGCAAACCGTTGACTAAAACCCCTTCCTCAACAATCCAAAACTACATGTATAATAACGACATTTATTTTAACGAAGATTATACCAAAAAACAATTAATTGAGGTTCTACAAAGCTTGAACCTACAAAAGGAATACATCTGTGATAATTATGCAAAAAATCTAGGGCATACAGTTTTCCACCTTACCGCTGTATATTTAATCCCATTGAGCATGTTTGGCACCAACTGAAATTTGCCATTCGTCGTAACAATGTTTTCTCTGTGTTAACTCCACAAAGTTGGGCAAATTCTGCTAAATATATAGAAAAAGCAGAAGAATCGTATGTCCATATTGCAAATAATATAGAACAAATAATAATTAGAACCGGCGATGATAGCGATAGTGATGCTGATATATTATGTGAATAATTTTAAGTAATTTAAGTAGATGATAAAAATAATTTGTAATTTTATTTTAGATTTAAACATAAATACATACATAAATAAATATATATTGTTTAGTATCTTTCCTAACAAAACCCCAAATAATTAAATTCTAAGCAAAGTTAAGTACCTGTTACAGCTTGCCCGGGTCTTTCATTAATTCGTATCAGTTAGTCACTTTCTTCTATCTATGAACAGACTTTACCATTGTGTGGGTGCCTCGCTACTCTTGTAAGTGTCCTTACTGTCGACTAACTATACCAATATTTAATATTTTGGAAAACCAATGTTTGTCATATTAGGGTAAGGTCTTCATCTGTCTATTTCATTATGTCTTAATTTTAATTTTGTTTTATTTTATTTTGTTGTTTACTATTTTTTTTGTGTGAATCCTGTTTTATATTGGGCGGTTGGCCTGTTGATAAGTAAGTAAATAAATAAATAAAAATACTATGTGCACGGAGACTTTTTTGACCGACTGTAACCATTTTAACTTCCGCAGTTCTCCGAAAAGGAGGTTGGCGGACTTGATGAGTCCATCCGAACTGCTAGATAGCCCTCTGTATTTCGATGACGTCGAGCAGGCCCTCAACGAAAGCGGTTGGTATTTTCTGCGGCCGGGTGATTTTTTAAAAATTAAATCCCCCACGCGTTCGCGTGTTACAGTGCTGGAAACGTCGGCAAAACCGGTCGAGTGTTCTCAAATTGAGTTGGAGAAACTTCTAGAGCAAACCGTTAAGTGCACCGACGGATTCACGCTTTCCATGCTGCTCGATCTTTATAATCAGTTCAACGCGATCGTGAAGAAGTTTTCGAAGAGTTACGTCCGGTCGGGGTTGCCCAGGGTAAGTGGACGTGACGGTAGATTTTATTGTTCATTTTTAATTTTTATAGAAGGTAATTTTGACACTCATCTACGGGCTTAATTTTGAAAGATAGAAAAAACCGTGTAAATAGAAAAGTTTGGAGATTTTTGCTCTATTATCATATGTCAGAAGAGGCAAACGACGATAGCAAACTGTCAAAATGTCAAAGTTTCCGTCAAGCTCCGAAGAAGCCAACAGGATGATTGGGGAAACGTCAGTAGAAATTTTGCAAGAAGTAGCAACATAATTTTTTAAAAAATGGAATGTCCTGTATATTTTGACAAACTAATAAAATTAAAGATCCGCAGCGTAAGTTAAATAAATAACTGAAGATATTTCAAATGGATTATACCGAGGAATAATAAAATTATATTATTCAAACGGACATAATGTTGCAAGGGTTAAAATAGAATATCGACTAATATATCAATAAATACAATTGAAAATGTAGTTAAACGATCTGAGGGGCGAAATAGTGTCACACGGAAGACCAGGACAATATTTTTTATAAATCTTGTGGTTTCCTCGTGCCTCGGTTTTTGTTGACTCGAACTGGCTAACGTTTCGCCAATCGTCCTGTTGGCTTCTTCAGAGGTTGACTGAAACTGGCTCGCATTTTATTCTGTACCTGCTTATATATTGTTTGAGGGGGGCGGAGCTAAATGACGGACATAAACACCGTCTCGGATGACTGATTCCCATATTCGTGACAGGTAGAGACCTGAATCGCGGTTGAGATTCTTGAGTTGCTTATAGATTTCTATAGACTGTGGGATTTTTTGCTGGTAGAAGAATTGATTACACGCAAGAATTTTAGTTTTATAATAAATAAAATGTTATGTCCGGTTTCGTGATTGTGTTCGGCAACTGCTCAACAGATTTTTTCACGGAGTCTGATAGAGAAGAAGCCTTAATAACAGATTTAAGGTTGCCATCCATAGATGACGTAGGATCTTTTTTAAGTTGACGATATGATCCGTCTGTAAGAATATCTTGAATCTTTTCCCGATATTCTTTGTGCCCATGACCATCGTAGTATTTCCTTTATCTGCTTTTGGGATTAAGATGTCAGGATTAGATTTAAGGACTTTTGCGGTTTCAAATCGAATTTCATTGGCTGTTTGAGATGGTAGTTTGATTAGGATTCGACATTTAAAATGATTTCCTCTTTTGGGAGAATACTGGTATGATGAATCTTTTCTCGAAGTAAACTAGAACTAAATTTTCGAAGAATTTTATAAGTGGACCAGGTTTTGGTATGATGGGATATTTTAAGAAAATTGGAAGTGACGTTATGGTCTCTACAATGTAACAAATAGGTCAGTTAATAGAGTAATCTTACCAGTATCATTCCTGTCAATAAAGGTTTGTTAATTTTTCAAAGAAACTTCCACAGGCTACTGTAATACTTTTTAGAAAACTTCTGGATTCCTTCTGCGTCTGTTTTTGCTGACTCTCGGATTTTTCGTTAGTAGAAGAACTGATTATATGCAAGAATTTTAGTTTTATCAAATGAAATTTTATGTCTGGTTTCGTGATTGTGTTCAGCAACTGCTGATGGGTTTATTTGTCTTAGTCTTCGCAACGAAAGGTCAAAGCAGAAAATGTTACTCTTACTGTAAGCCCCAGTGTTATAAATTTGATAAAAAATGTAATTAATAGCATACCAATTGAGAGCTGGTAAAATTCAGTACAGCACATTACAAAAATTGAGGACTCCTACATTTCTATACAAAACAACATAAATACTATTATAATTAATCTCAATGACTACTCTGATAGTGAGAAGCCATTGTTTTTTCTTAGTTCAATTTAATAAGATTATACTCACCTAAATAAAGAAAAAAATGTTTGAGAGTCCGTACTAATGTTCTATCCTTTACTACCTACCGAGTTTGATTGCCGTCGGCAGGTAACTTCCATAATTGCGGGCAAAAGCCAGCACGATGAAGATTGAGACCGACTATACGTTATTGGTGGTTGGGCTTTCCCATTAACAATAGGTACAAAGGTTTGCATATGTATCTGTATAAAATAACATTAGCAATAAACAACATCGCAAATAGTAAATCGGTGCGAATGCTGCTTTTTTGGGTTTCCTTTTTTATTCGATTGACAATCGTTTTTTTTTTTTCAACTTTCCATTAATCGTTCTGAGGGTAAGCAGCCAAAAATATAGTCGTAACAAAGGTCGTAGTTACTTTTTGGCGAAGGGTCCCTCGAAAGCCGAAACGATATGCTCCGAGGCACACTATACAAACTTATATAAAGTATATTAGTTGGTTGGTCACTATATCGAAGTTTCATTTAACTCACCAGTAGCTGCGAAATGGACAAGACTACCAAATTTCATGATTTTTAAATTAGTAGTGTTTTTCAACTGTCAAAACAAAATACAGTGTCCAAGAAAAACCTAGTTTCTAGGATTTATGAAATTTACGATTAACTGTTTTTTTTTTTAAGGAACTAATGAAGGAGTTGTTAAGATTTAAGAAGTCGTCGGAGAGCGAAACCAGTTGCAGGTCCAGATCTTCGGTAGACCCGTGATCGTCTTCACTGCCAGAATCCATATTCCTTTTAGTGATATTTTTTATGTCAGTATTTATTATTTTTTTTGTGGTACTTAAAATATATGTTCCAAAAGGTTGTGGTGTCATTACTTGCGCGTTCCGCGTTGGGATAAAGAAACCAAGAAAACTACTTTGCAAAGTGAATGTATTTACAAAAAATTGGATAAAAAAAATAGGAATGCAAATCACCATTAAATAAATAACAATAAATTAATAGGAATGAGAACTACCCATCACTAGGAAACAATTCGTTGTCGTAAACACTTGTACTAGGCCGAATTATGTTTTAGTTATTATTTTTTAAGTACTCTTAATTAACTCTAACTGGGTACCGCCTTCTACTAATACTTCGCGATTCAAATTAGCTCGTGCAATGTAGACTATCGTAGGCCCTAACCTTTTCCGGAATGGCGGCCGCTTCTAAAGGCACTCGGGCTAAGAGTTCCCTGAGGTTCGCTATGAAGGAGACTTTTCTATAGAACTTCGAGCTGAAAAAAAATGGGAAACTTTAATTCGGATCCGGTATGGTAAGTAATGGAAACTGGAAAAACAAAACCAGTGAGATTAAACATTCTGGAAATTCAGAATATGGACCGTTTATCTTGAAAGTGGTGCAATTCCATATCCTCTATTTTCGAGAAAATTAAAGGTTACCAATATCTTTTAATTAAAAAATTTAGGCAATGTTCCTATTGTTTTATAAATATTTAATTTCATTATATACATTTCTTTTAGGCGAATTAGACTACAATAATACATATTTAGGGGCCTTAAAGGGACTTGCACCAATTTCAAAATTAGACAACTTTAAAAATTCTTTAATTTCAATTTTGAAAAATCAATCACTTAAAATATGTCTCATTTTGATCCAACTTTGTTTACAAATACTCGAGACAAAAAATTAATTTCACACTAAGTATATTGTCAAATTTACAAGATACTGATAGTATTTACAATAATAATAATTTATTGACGTTAACAACCCTACGGTGTTACACAGGTCAGCAAAAACATTGAGCAAAAGCTACATATACGAGGGCAGCGCCGAAATTTCCCGGCCTGAATATGAAACAAAGTAGAGTAACAATTTTTTGCTACTTTCCAATATAATCCCTCTTAACTTCAATACACTTATTACATCGCTTTATTAACAACTCAATCCATTTAAACAAATATTTTTAACTCAACTTCGTCGTTAAACCGCCGTCCAAGTAAGTCCTTTTTCAAATATCCAAACAAATAATAGTCGCTGGGGGCAATATCTGGACTATAGGGAGGATGATCTATCTATTTTAACCCACGCTCTAAAATGACAGCTCTTGCAACACCAGCAGTATGGACAGGTGCATTATCGTGCAAAAGACGCACGCCTCTGGTCAGTTTTCCTCGACGTTTTACACGTATGCAGTCTCGCAATTTATGTAATAATGTTGCGTAATATTTACCATTAACTGTGGTATTAGTTTCTTTAAAATCTATCAAAAGAATTCCTTCACAATCCCAAAAGGTCGTGGCCATCACCTTTTTTGTTGACTGGCAGACTCTGAATTTTCTTGGAGGTGCTTCATTGATTTTTTTTTTTCGATAGAGGGGTCATAATAGAGAACCATAGTTTCATCTACCGTCGCAATAGTTTCTATCACAGGCTTCGGTTCCGACCCACAGAGTTCCAAAAAAGACCGCGCGCACTAGACACGGCGTTGTTTTTGAATAGCCGAAAAGTCCTCTACTGGTCGATCAGTTCTTGAATCATCTTCAAGGGACTCCTGCCCCATTCGAAAACGTTTTGAACGTTCTTTCACTACAGAATACGAAGGAGAACTTTGGCCGTACACACCATCCAGCCTTTCTTTAATAATTTTAGATGCTAAACGTTCTTTTGTCAAAAACTGTATGGTTGCTCTATACTCAATTTGCGTTATTTGCGACATTTTTTCAGACACGTCTTGTTTAAAATGCTGTCAATAAAAACTATTTGACGCAAGACTTTTTTTCGCAGCCTACTAAGATATATATTTAAAAGAAGACAAAGTTTTATCGTGATACTGAAGTTGCGTCTATGTCAGGCCGGGAAATTTTGGCGCTAACCTCGTACACCGTCAAACAGAGACATCGTATAAATTATGGACAGATAAATGGCGAAGCCCGTGATGTCGACAGAAACGTCACTAACGATTGGCTGGAGAAGACGTGGTCAGAACTAGCAGAAAAGAAAAGATGAAGAAGTTGATCTGGGACCACCAGCAACAAGCCCGATCTTCAGGTAAGCTGCTAGAGAAACTTTTTTTTTGTATCATGGGGAAGATGCCCCTCTCGAAAAAATGGTGAAAATGCAAGCCAAAGTACGAGATGCGTATTGGCATACTAAAAGATTATTACCGATTATTTGAAACTTTAAATGTAGTTATAATAAAATGTTTCTAAGTAGATGTTAAAATATGTACATAAAATAATTACATATTACAAAACACATATGCACATTGTTATTTTTTAAGTGCCTATCATTCTTTGTAACGAAAACTCTTTATAACGGAAAAAAAGCAACTGTATAAGTTAATTAAATACAAGTTTCTTGGTCGTCCACATAATTTTGTTTCTGAAGGATCTTATTGGGGCAGATTTGAAAAAATCTGTGGCTCCGTTATGAGAGAGAGAATTTAAATAAAAATGACTATATATATTGGTAAAGTATCACTCTGCCAAAAAAGAACGGCAAATGTATTTCGTAGCGTTTATTAAACATAAAGATCAAAATATGTGTCTAGTTTCTTTTTTAAAAAAGAAATTGGGTTTTAAATTTTTGTTCCTTGACAAAGAAGACCAATCCCGCATACCTATTAACTTTCAAATTTCATTTTAGTAAATTTAACCTGGGTTAAGTACTATTACCAAAGTTTTGAAGTTGTTCGTTTTTTTTTTTACTTTTACGAGGTCTGTCAATTATATTCCCGGAAAAGTGCCCGGACGGTGCGGAATATACATAAATTCTTAAAATTAAGTTATAATCCTTCGCAGTAGTTTCCCTCTAGCTCGATGCACCGGCGCCACCGTTGGATCCACCATTGGAAGCACCCCCTGAAGCCCCACGAAGATAGGTCCCTCAGCACCCGTGTCGTGACACGTTGCACCTCCTCGACGCCGTCGTATCGGTTGCCCTTGAGGTAGGACTTCAATTGTGGAAAGAGATGAAAGTCGCAGGGGGCCAGGTCCGGGCTGTAGGGGGGGTGCGGAAGCGTTGGAATGCCGTTTTTGGTCAAAAAATTGCGAACTGCGAATGAGGAGTGGGCTGGAGCGTTGTCGTGATGCAGCACCCATCCACGTTCGGCCAATTCCGGCCGTGCACGAAACACACGGGCCTTCAGACGTTTCAAAACTTCAATGTAGAACTTCCCATTGACTGTCTGACCTGCTGGAACGTATTCGTGGTGTACAACTCCATTAATATCGAAGAATGCGATGAGCAAAGAATTCACTTTTGATTTCGACATTCTGGCTTTTGTGGGGCGCTTCCCCCCCTTTTCCACCCACTGCATGCTCTGTCGTTTGGTCTCAGGGTCATACTGGAACACCCAAGACTCGTCTCCGGTAATAACATTTGACATCCAGTCTTCTCCTTCCTCCTCAATTCGAGAAATCATGTCTTCACAGATGGATAAACGAAGCTCTTTCTGCTCAACTGTGAGCACTTTGGGAACCATTTTCGCGCACAACTTGCGCATCCCTAAATCCTCGTGTAGCATCTGTCGAATGGTTTCCTTGTTGATACCCAACTCTGAGGCTTACCCGACGGTCTCCGAGCACACGCACGCGCAGGCGATCGACGTGAATCGTCCTCCACCGACTCCCTGCCTTCCCTGAACCGCTTAGCCCACTCGTAGACAGCTGTTTTTTCAGGCAATCATCCTTGTACACGTCGGTTAACTGTTTCATAATTTCCGCGGAACTAACACCACGTTTGACCAAAAATTTGATCACTACTCTTTGTTCAGTTTTTTTAGCACACATTTTCGCGACAAGGGGTCCGATGATCAAAGTACTGTAACACACGAACTGAACAACCGATCGAGACGAAACTTGCACAGACTGACGCAGAAATGAATCCTCTTTCGAATGACACAACGCGAACGCCGTAGCATAACGAGAGTCGCAGTGTTGCCACTTTTCCGGGAATCTAATTGACAGACCTCGTATGTTGGCCAATACGACGATTTGAATTGTTTATTTTGTGTTTGATATTTCAAACTTACATAGTTTAACTACTTGATCCTTTTTTAAATGCCTGCCCGAGACCATTTTAAATTGTATGTTTTTAAATTAATGTTAAGATTATAAGGATAATATAAAGTCAAAGATTTTAATTGCAATATGTAACTACATCTCATATATTAAAATAATAAGTTATTTACACTTGTTCAAGACTGCCTCAGGCTGTTAATAGTTTTATAAAATTTATTTAAGCAATAGTGAGTCTACGAAGTTAGGGGCAATACACAATTACAATATATATATATATATATATATATATATATATATATATATATATATATATATATATATATATATATATATATATATATATATATATATATATATATATATATGTCTTAAATAAAGTGTTGATCACATTCTAAGTTACATTGTTTTCTTGTTATCATGGTATTTCAAAAAACACATTTGTTCCGCTCTAACCTAAAATTGTATTTAAAGTCTCTTCAATAGTGTGGAGATTGTTTTTTTTTTTAATTTGTAAATTTAAAGCCTAGAGACCAGTGAAAGATCACTGCCTATAGGTAATTTATAAAAAAATAAATTGGGTACGCGCGAAAACTATTACCTGATAAAAGGTTTCGACATGTAGAGGATCGTTTTGATCCACAACGTCGGATGCACGATGTACAGGTGACTTAGGTTCTTCCTAAGTCGTCTACCGACCATTTGGTAACATCTTTTCAACCACGAGAACGAAGGTAGTTTGGTACTAGCACCGTGCAGGTACACCAATACGTAATCGTCAGTGACCAAACGTTCCAGAGTCCACAGCACATATCTGCACAACAAATTCGATGTAATTTTACAAACATTTAAGGTCGAGTTGTTTATTAGTATTATGATTAAAACTAATAAGGTCCACTAAAATGCCTTAGTTGGGACTATAGGATGTAACGCCTCTTTAAAATCTGTAGTTTGTGCTTTTAGGAATTTCGACTTACCGGGGCAAACTTATTGCTTAAGCCATATTATCCCAAGCATAAAAAATACTTTTTTGCTCTGAAATTATTTATTTTACTGCACTTAAGAATACATTACATGTGTCCAAAAAAAATAGAAACTCGAAACTCTGGTGCGTAAACGAACTACTGGGAAAAAACATTAAATATTTTTTGGGGGCACATAAGATGTAACATAATTTACACATAAATTCGACAGAAAACAACTGTTTTCCAAATAGAACCTGATTTGATACAAAAAAACGCATATTTTATGGTGCGTGAGCGCACCACTGGTAACACTCGGTTTCATTTTTGGTCATATTTTACAAAGCATGGAGTATGAAAATGCACATTACACTTATTGCAAACGTAAATTGTGTGGCTGTGGCAGATTCTGCATCTCCTTCGGGCTTTATTAGCATGAACAATCATGAGGTGAGCTTGACTATCATACCGCACTTCATCTATGGCAGGTGCAAGATTTCTTTGAGTAATTGTTTTATCAGTTTTTAAAAGTCGCAAAGCAATGTAAGGTTTAAAATCTACCTGAGATATCTTTTGTTCGTTGACAACATTATACAATTTCCATGAATTCGCTAGTAAACTATCGAGTGAGTTACAAAATAAAGGCCACCACCATTTTTTTCCAAATACCTGTAATTAACAATTCCGTTGTCATGTAAATCTACCATACCCATATATCTATTGTATTTGGCAATTACATAAGGTTGGGGTATATTTACATCTTTCCGTTATTTTCTATTATAGCGTTTTACATTTTGGACAAGATCTACACTAGAAACATTGCTTGCCACAGTTACAACTGAATTGTCGTGCCCACGGACAATAGAAATTTTTGATCCAGATTCATATGCTGAAAGATTGGATGCGAGGTTTTTTTTTGCAAATGATTTACAATTTGTCCTATTTTCCCGGATAGTACCGATGGCAAAATAACCATTACTTTTTAAATGTACAAATAGTTTTAATGGTGAAAAAAAATGTCAAAAAATTTGGTGATTTAGTGGCTTATCTAGAACAGAAAGTAGACTCGTGACAACGTCACCGACAAGACCGAGGTCAGAATGAGGTTTACTTTGAGCACCAACATATGGAAGTGAATAAAAGAAGTGCCCATCAGACGAGCAAAGGCACCAAAGCTTGAAACCAAAACGAACTGGATTAAGTAAGTAAGGTACCATTTGTTCATCTATGGATAAGTTGAACGAAAATATGCCAAACTGAAGATTTTTTTTATTCATTACATCAAAGAAGGGTCTAACTTTTGCAAATGTATCATTTTTATCCAACAGATTATTGTCAGATAAGTGCGCTCCTGCATAGCCGCCTCTAATTCTTTTTGAGTCAAATACCATATTTTACGAACTGTAACGTTCACCGCACAAGGCACAAACTAATACTAAAGAACATTCTCTGATCTGATTCAATTTATTAACTGGGACAAAATGGCTTAAAATGAGAACTACAGTGGAGTCGCGATTTAGTGAACTTCGCTTGGAGTAAACGACCCCATAGAGTGAACACACAAGTGGTATCATTGTGCTTCGCGATACGGTTGTCGATTATCATTTGTGTGTATTTTACATGCGGTCAGGATCAGTGCGGAGTAGTACCTTTAAATGTGACGAAGTGTTTGAATTTAAAACACAAAGGTGAACTCTCAGAACCCCTGAGTAAAGGTGATTGTGTGACTCTGCTTGCTAAGAAATATGGTATAGCCAAGTCAACCGTATGTGTAATAAAAAAGACAAGGGAGCCATTACCAAAGAGATTATTCAAACGTGGAAAGAGATTTATACGAATATTTTCTAAACTTGAGAGAAAGCAATATACTGGTTGGTGGGCTGATGCTTCAGGAAAAGGAGAAAGGTTTTGCAAAAAGCAATTGATGTAGATTCTTCATTTAATGGTTGGCTAAACATACGACTACTCCAAATAAGTGGACAGAAACTGTCATCCCAGCCCGAAGTAGTCGATCCGTTTAAAGAAGCTTTGAGCAGCACTATTAAAACGCTGGATCAGACGTCAGAACAGATTTATAATGCCGATGAAACCGGCCTTCATTGGAAGTTGTTGTTATGGTCTGTTCATAGATAAAAGAAAGTGACCAGTTGCTTTTGAATGGGATTATCCAAGGGTGGTCATTGACATACAATTAACAAGATTATTACCTAAAGTTTCGGAATTTAAATTCAGGTAAAATTGTGGTCCTTAAAAGAAAATAATTTTATACCTACCTGGTATACTACTTAGTTTAAGTTTATTAGTAATCATTCTTATTTCGTGTGTAATACAGCGTGTGTTGAATCGTGTGCGAATTATGCAAAATATGTGGGAGTCTAGTGTATCTCAGGAGATGCTCATTGCACGTGGTGCCAGCAAGCAAGCATATTTAGAAGAAACGGCCACATTGACGAAAATTCCAACATCAACTGTATGCAAAATTGTGAATAATCCCATTTCAGCGAGGAAAAAAATAAGCGATGCTGACATTTTCTCGAGTGTAGATAATAGTGATCAAGATATAATACGGTGTAAAATTTTAGGAGGCTTAAAAGGATGAAACCGGTGTTAAATGTGGCAGAACTACCTTATGGAAGTGTATTCAACACATGGGTTTTAGATTTAAAAACATTGACAAAAGGCAAGTTTTAATGGAATCTTAAAATTCGGAAATGGCGCCTTGAATATCTAGAAAAAATTAGAATTTACAGAGAACAACAAAGGCCAATTATTTATTTGGATGAAACCTGGTTTGACACTTATGATATCCCGGAAAAGGGTTGGGTTGACTCAACTGATAAGTGTAAAACAAACGCGCCATCAAAAAGAGGTAAAAGAATGCATGCATGGCTCTAAAGATAGTTGGATTCCAAATGGACTGTGTCTGTCTGTGAAAAATATTAAAAATTCTTCTCTGGATTACCATGAAGATGCCACCGCTGACTTATTTGAAAGTTGGTTTAAAAACACACTAGTTCCAAACATTCCTCCTAATCGCGTAATTGTAATGGACAATGCAAGTTATCACAGTAGACAGTTGACTAAAACCCCTTCCTCATGTGACACAAAAGCAACAATCCAAAACTACATGTATAATAACGACATTTATTTTTACGAAGATTATACCAAAAAGCGATTAATTGAGGTTCTACAAAGCTTGAACCTACAAAAGGAATACGTCTGTGATAATTATGCAAAGAATCTAGGGCATACAGTTTTAAGGCTGAACCCTGAAATCGTCGTAACAATATTTTTCCCCGTGTTAACTCCAATGTCCTCAAAATTATAGAAACCGAAGTTTTTAACATCCCTCCTCAAATTTGGGCAAATTCTGTTAAACATATACAAAAAGCAGAACAATTCGTATATCCATATTGCAAATAATATAGAACAAATTATAATTAGAACAGGCGATGATAGCGATAGTGATACTGATATATTATGTGAATAATTTTAAGTAATTTAATTAAGTAATAAAAAGAATTTGTAATTTTATTTTAGATTTAAACATAAATAAATACATATTGATTAGTATCTTTCCTAACAAAACCGCAAATAATTAAATTCTAAGTAATGTACGGACCTGTTCGGCCATATTTCATTCTTGCAGCTTGCCCGGGTCTTTCCTTAATTCGTATCAGTTAGTCACTTTCTCATATCTATGAACAGACTTTACCCAGTAAGACTTATGTATCAAAAACACAAAAAACTCATCACAAAATCCACGCGCCTTTCGAAATTTATAACAGTAAGTATATAACAGTAATATGTAATACAATTTTCATTTTTAGGTGAAGGCGTTTTTACTGAGTCGCAACTTACCCGTTAAGGTATTATTGTTGTTGGATCATCCACCTGAAGCCGACTTAAAAAGTCCTGATGGTCTAATTACTGTAATGTTTATGCCACCCGATGTGACACCTTTAAGAATGTTATCAGAATTACCAAGTTATTTCATCGCAAAAACCTACCAAGTCGCCTACCTACCTAAGCGCAATGTTGCAAATATACACTTTAAGGGATGCAGTCTCAGATTTAGCTTTGGCCTGATATGTGAGAAAACCAATTGTTATAGAGGAGAAATAGTAGCAAACTATTTTAACAATCTATTTGGATGATGAAGAGGATAATGTCCCCTAAAGTGTTTTAAGAGCACGATTACTCAATGAGAAGCACACAATGCCAACCAGAATGTTATAGACGTCTTACAAAAATGGGAGAAAAAGGTCAAGTTACAGTGAGAGACAGTACTTTAAATATGATATTTCTTCTAAACAACCGAAGAGTGCTAATTATTAAACCTAAAGTACGGACAAAAAAAAGTAAGTAGCGAGTTTTTAAATGTTCATTTGCCAACTTGGTTGACAAATAATTTTCTTCATCAATTATTGTTAATGTTTTAAGTTTTCGCGACGAAAACCCCCAAAAAAAGGTCGAGATACGGAGAGATTCGAGTTACAGAGGTTTACGTTAATTTTGAATTTTGTATATTACGGGTTAAATGTGAAATAAACGACATTAACGAATGGAATAAAGATGAACCAACAAATTTAAATCAGTTAGAGAATTAAATAACCGTTGATTCTGATTGGGAAAAAGATGACTAACTAACTAACCCTTAGTATGCATTTAAATATAATAGTACTTTTTGTTGTTTGCTACTTTTTGCAGATTATATATGTATTATTTCTTTGATTGTGTCCTTAATCTCAGACCTGGAATAGCAAAATTGCTTTGCCAAAATAAGTTCACTAAATCGCGATTTCGCTGTACTTTCGAGAGAATCACAAAGGGACAGCCGTCAATGTTGCCAAGTTTTATGATTTTTTATAAATCAACTTTTGCTGTTTGTTGTTAGTCAACTGAATATTTGATATTTACATTGGAAGAGAAAACATAATTATCATAACCGGTGTTGCGCAAACTTATTTTATTTAAAAAAATGAAAAATCTTTTTTTTAACATGGTTTTTTTCCTGTAGCTATTACAAAATATTTTAGAGCCACTTTAAAGAATATAGTACACATTTTAAGTATTCGTCAGAACGCCCTGGTAGTTTTACATTAAAACGGCGTATCCAAATAAATCTGCGTGTTGAGCAATTTGTAAAATCTCAACGGATAGTTCAAAGAATTAAAGCACACCATGATGTTTGTGATAATAAGCAACAAGAAACTAACACAGGTAGTAAATATTCATAAAAACCCTTTCAAAAGAATTAAAGTATTTATTATTCAAAAAATGTCGAAATTTAAATTCATGCATATTTTATTTATGCTGATGAAGGAAAAGGAAACTACTGAAAATCGGGCTAATCTAGGTAGTTTCCTAAGGCGAACATCAACAGATGAAAAAGAAAAGATCAACAAATAAATAGAAAAAGGCAATTTCTGCTACTTATTGGAGCTTTCGATGCATTGAAACCTCTGAAGTAAAAAAAACACTATTCACTTCTTAAACGCTATCAACAAGTCTTATTTTTTTAAAGAGTTGTGTTTTACTTTCTATTAGTGATTTTGATTTAAAACATCATTCTAAATCACTTGATTAAAATCAGTGAAAAGGACCTTGCTAATCGCCAAAATCAAATTTTTCATTAAATTCAATGAGACACTGCGGAAGAATTAGTTTATAAAAAGGCTTAAAATTACCAGGTTTCATACTCACAGGAACAAATTATCCATAACATAATCGTAATCGATCCTTGATTTGTCTGGTAAGTGACAGGATGCAAACAACACTATCGCCGTGTGGCCTCCGGCCCTAAGATACCCGCCGTGAGACAGGACGCGTTTGTATGGCTCAATGACTCGCATGTCTATGGTACGATGTTCCCCACCCGGTAGGATCATCCTCTGCCAATTTCGAGCGTGTCTTCTTTCTTCCGCCGCACTCAGTGGCTCTATTGGTTCAGACGTGTTGTTATCTGGAATATAGAAGCACAAGCAAATATCAAATGCGTGCAATTTCATTGAAAAAAATATTGCCCTCGAAAGTCCTATCTGACTGGGTGTTCTGAGTATTAATTAAATAATTTTTTATTTATTTTATTTGTATTACCTTCATCGGTTTCGACCTTAGTTCTGGCTTCACGCTCATCTAAGATATCTGATTTAAGGCTCTCTTCACCTGAATTGCTATCGAGCGACGACAGGTCACTATCATCGCTTTGTTGAGTCTCGGGCACTTTAATTCTTCTGAGTTTGTTACTTCGCGCATTGTGAGACAGAAAATTTAAATTTCCTGAAAAATATAAGCAATGGCGTTTCCTTTTCTTTTGGAACAAGATGGATTCATTACCTTCCTTTTCATTCATAGTCAAGGAAACATTTTGAAGATTGGAACTTAAGTGAGCTTCATAAATCGATTTATCATTCTCCGTGTCGCTAGGAGGATCGTGGGACGCTTCCACTGGCAACTCGTACATTAGCAACTTTTTTAAATCAGAAGGACTTCTGGGAAACTCTTAAAATTAAACCAATAGATTTACTTTTACACAAATCCCGAAAAAGGTTTACCAGGTAACTTCTCGTTGTATTCTAAAATCGGCATATTTAACTGCCTTTCTAGCGAATCGACGGAAACTACTATGTTGTTCTCCAATGGGCTGCTGTGCGCTGGCGGTTTGAATTTCGTATCTTTGTATTTCGATTTTGCTTTTTCTGGAATTAAATCGGGAAACACGGGAGAATACATCAAAGGATGTGAAATAGTGGCGTCTTCTTTTAATCGCAGGTCTTTCGGAATGTTCGAGTTAAGGGTATTTTCTTCTGAATATGAGTCTGCAGTACTTGTGGTATTTTGCTGTTTTTCCATAATTGTTATTTTATACGATTAAATATCTGAAAATGAGATTCGCGAATTCCTCCGACAAAAAAAATTATTCGAGCATTGTGTTGCAGATTCAGGTTTCTTGTTTAAAAAATGTAAACAAAGTGCGATGGTGACGTTGACCCATAGAACCACAGAATACGAAAAATATACATAATATTTTTGTGACTCGCATCTTCTTTTTTCTAAAACCATACTGCTAAGATCATTCGCTTCTATAAATATACATTCCTTTTTTTCGTGTTTCTTTGTTTTACACTAAACTGGACACATCGGCATATCAACTACGTCGGTAAAGGATTATCGACAATAAAAAGGAATTGTTTGTTATTCTGAGATATTAAACTCGATTTCCCACCGGGACTCTTCCCCTTCCATTTTCTCGTTGAATTCAACAATTCAAATACATTATCATGAATGTAAAATAATTTTAAAATTGGAATTTGAAATTGATCAAATTTTCGAAATTAACGGGAAATTTTCAAAGTCTACCAAGCTCAATTTATGAAATATAATAAAATATAAAAAATATAAATTAATTTCGCGCGCTTGCCTTCTAGCTGAAAGGAGAAAGAAGTATGTCCGTCTCTGCGGACATTTCTTTTTAGTTTACTTGATCGTCTGGTATATAGGTTGTCTTTGCTGACAGTAAAAAAGAACGTAAACAATTGTTTTTCGTCATCGCAAAAAGCGGAAATGTAGAAAAATATTTATTCAGTATGTGCACCTCTTCGAAATTATCCAACTTTGTTTTTTAGGTTAGCTTCTCAAAACTTTCTATAATGGGTGTTATTATCGCAAAGTTTAAGGTACGTGTAGAAAATGGGATTTTTGTAAATATTAAAACTACTTTTTTAGAAAAAACCAAGCACGTATGATGTACTAACGAAGCTTGAGAATGAAATTATTTATATAGAGGATTTCCAAAAAAAGACGAAGCAAACGCAGCGGAAGTTTATTTTCCGATTTATTTTAGTAGCAGGGGCTGTTTATATCATAATCGCCTTGCTGTTATATTTATATTTCTCAAAAATATCCCCAGACCAGAAGCTTTTCTGGAGTGTCCATTTGATCATGCTTCCTTTTGGGTAGGAGGTGCTGTGCAATACAATATTATTTAATCTGTTTCTTATTTTAAAGGGTATGGATTATTAAAAGATTGATGGCATGGTACTTCAACAGAAAGATACTGCGCAACGAGAAAAAACTAATTATTTTAAAGGAACAGAAGAAGAAAATTTTGGAAAATGTCAAGGAGACCGAAACATATAAGGTCGCAAAGGAAATTTTAGATAAATTTGCAAATGATCCGAAGCAAAATGCGGTCACCACCATTGCCACTGTGAATCAACTAAATCCCACTCCAGTTCCTACTGCCATAGGTCAAAGAAGTCAAAACGGTAATTATCGTATAAGATATAAATTAGTTACGGAAGTAAAAGAGTTAATCGTTTAGCTTTGCGACGAAGATCTGCAGCACAGAACGCGATGCGGGGCCGTATTTCGTTCGGAGGGAGTCCAGAAACCCCAATTAATATACAAAAAAGATTTCCCATTACTACTCCCAATTCTGAAAGGCAACTGACGTTACCATCGAGATTATCAGCAGTAACTCCGCATCCGCTTGTTAGAGATATCTTCTCTCAATATCGTTCGCCATTAGATAAAATGGTAGATTATTTGCTGGGTAACGGACCATCAAATAAATATGCGCTCATTTGTCAAGAATGTAGTGGACATAATGGTAAGTGATAAATTTGCATACACTTTAGATTTTGGATAATATAAGTAATGAATGGTCTACACTTTTGCAGTTATTTTTAATAGATTTATATTTAAAAACACAAAATTGGCACAAAAATATAGACTACGTTATTGAAGAATTAAAGAAAAATCTACTTTACCAGCCATTAATGTGTAATTTTTATATTTTATTTTATCTGTTTTGTATAACAAGGTGCTCCGCATTTTCATATTAGCCACTAGAAATGCAGATACTTTTGAGAATATTCATATTCATTTTTCGATTTCATATATAACAATACAACAATAACAAAAAAAAAACTTACTTTTTGAACACACCTCGTATTTCACCATTTTACTTTTGTCCCGTCCCATAAAACGCAACAAAATTAAAAAGTAGGTTTCTTTAATGACAGTTGGTAAAATTTAAATATTTACAAGTATGTATTTTTTGATTTTTGTAAAATAATTCTAGAAAAAAGAGAAAAAAAAAACGGCCGGCTTTGATTGCCCCGTCCATACCAAACTTTGGGACCATATAATATGGAATGACACGAGAAATAGACTATTCCTTTAATAGAAAAAAAATAAAAATAAAATAATTAAAATTTTTATTTATGCATTTAGCATTTACAATATAGTTTAACCTATGAAAAATAAGAAAAACAGTACCTACACATGTCAAATACATCTAACAAATACGAATACAAATACTTTATTAATGTTACTATCACAGATGATTTACATACGTACATTATAATTGAAATACAAATATTCATCAATAGGATAAAAAATTAAACTGTACTTAAATTTCGCATGGAAAAAAACACTCTCTCGGTTTTATCATTGTTTAAAACTAATTTATTTGCACTAAACCAGTGTTCAGCCTTTTCCTGTGCGATCCTGAAACTCTCCAACATGTCTTTTTTAAAGCCCAGAAACAGACACGGTGCTGTCATCAGCAAAAAGTGTGTAAACAGATGAACGATCCACAAGGGGAAGGTCAATTATATATATTAAAAATAATGTGGGGCCCAAAATTGGGCTTTGAGGCACTCCAATGTTCATCTCACTCTCTGCTGATGTCACTCCAGAGTACTTAATCACCTGGCATCTATTGTTAAGGTAAGAAGACTGAAAAATTATAAGCCTTTAACTTGAGCAGAAGAATTCCATGCTCAACACAGTCGAAGGCTTTAGTGAAATCACAAAATAGTGCAGTGTTATATTGCCAATTGTGGAATGCATCTGTAATGTCCAAAACTAAATTGAGAATGCCTGAAGCAGCGTTTTGATTTCTGCTAAAACCAAACTGATTATTATTAAAAATGCTATTAATTTGAAAACATTGAACTAATTGGTTAGCTATACATTTTTCTACAATTTTCGAAACAATTGGAAATGGAGGTATAGGTCGATAATTTTCAACATCAGGGTTAAAATGTGTTCATAGATATAAGAAAGTGACTAACTGATACGAATTAAGGAAACACCCGGGCAAGCTGTAAGAATGAAATATCGTCGAACAGGTCCGTACTTTGCTTAGAATTTAATTATTTGGAGTTTTGTTAGGAAAGATACTCAACAATATTTATTTATTTATGTGTGTATTTATGTTTAAATCTAAAATAAAATTACAAATTATTTTATTACCTACTTAAATTACTTAAAATTATTCACATAATATATCAGTATCACTATCGCTATCATCGCCTGTTCTAATTATTACTTGTTCTATATTATTTGCAATATGAATACACGATTGTTTTGCTTTTTCCATATGTTTAACAGAATTTGCCCAATTTACCTCTTTTTGATGGCGCGTTTGTTTTACACTTATCAGTTGAGTCAACCCAACCCTTTTCCGGGGTATCATAAGTGTCAAACAGGTTTCATTCAAGTAATTGATTGGGCTTTGTTGTTCTCTATAAATTCTATTTTTTTCTAGATATTCCAGTCACCATTTCCGAATTCTAAAAGGTTCTATTAAAACTTGCCTTTTGTCAATTTTTTTAAATCTAAGACTGGTGGATAATCCAATTCAAAAGCAATTGGTCCCTTTCTTATATCTCTGAACACACTTTACCTATGTAAAATATTTTTGGCCCTACGGTGTTGCCAGATATACTCGTAACGTATATCAACTTTCGTTTTTTAAATGGAACACCCTGTATATTATTACGTGTTCAGAATAGTTTGTCGTAACATAGTATGGTAATAATTCGCTAGATATAAAAATCCATCTAAAATTATCAAATTATAAGATACCTATTTTCACTGATTTTCGAGTTACAAGCAAAAAGCAAAATATTACAATTAAAGCGAATTAAAGTAATCATGTTCAAACGAGTCATTGTATCAGTGAAACTGGAAAGAAAACCATATGCCAACAAAAATTTAATATTCAATAAAACTGTAATACCCAGAACTAATGTTGACTAATAAACGGTTTTAAATTGTTTTTAATTACATACATCAAACGAAATTTAATGTTATGGAGTCAACCCATGGAAACTTTAGGTAATAATCTTGTTGCATTGTATGTTAATGACGACCCTTGGATAGATAATCCCATTCATAAACAATCGGCCACTTTCTTATATCTATGAACAGACCATACCTTTTTATAAATACTGGTAGTACTAGATTATTATATAAGGTATATATATTTTTTTAACTTCGAGGTATGGCGGTCAAGGAAGAGTTCGAGTATACGTCATTTCGTTGCTGTTACTGTTCGCATTTCAACCCTTCCCGGAAAAAAAGACCGGCGGGTCCGCAAGCCGGACAGCCTGCACGGTTGCAAATAACCGCGCCTTCCGATTTGAGCGGATCGGAACGGAGCTCGGAGAGCGAATGCGACCAAGAACCACCCGCGTTAGGGGAGCAACTTAACGAATCTCACCTCGTAGCTGAAGTCACGAGCGAAAGAGAAATCATGGATGATAATGCGGAAGCATCTTTAACGGAAAGCACCGATCCTCAGCGGTTATCAGACGGAAACGACAGCGACAAATAGTGTTCCAGATGAATAAATTAAAAAAAAAGACTGATCCGTGTCTAATTCTAATTGTGTTCGGTGAATTTGTTTTAATTTTTTTTTATTCTTTGCTTCCGTAAAGCAACACCCGAGACGAAAACTAACTAACTAACGAAAACAGCGAGGATATAATATATTCGTTTTGCTTCTACTCGGTTAATATTATACTTAAATTGTAATAATTGTGACTTTCGATGGGTTGCGGTGTTTTTATGGATTGTTTTCGTTCGATTTCGCTCGTTAATTAAAAGTTAATTATTCTATGGTTCACGTTTCATTTAATCAATGTCATTATTCTTTTTTCTACTCCCGTCTGTAAAATAGCTAATTACACACCGATCTGGCGTGCGAGAAGCGTCACTTTAACGGCGTTCGGTCCCGTTTCGGAAAGTCTCGGCGAGACTCGCTTCGCGAGGGGATGTCGATGTGGCAGAAGGTCAAATGGCATACTTTGTAATTTGACAGTCGAGACTAGATCGGAAAACGGTGCTTGTTTTAGGACGTACGTCGGTTGCTAAATCCGCATATGTCACATGGATTCCTATGCATACGATCAATATTGTTTCCAAAAAATAAAGGTTAATTTTATCGAAGGGTGCTGCAACCCGCATTCAACAGAATATTTTTTTATTAACCCGTGAGTATCTTTTGAATATTTTGTTGTCATTGTCGCCCCCTATTTGTTACAGCCACCGGCTAAGGTAAAAGTTGACATTTTTCAAATCAAATTTATGAATAACAACGTCCAAAACAAAATTCATTTTCTCGCAAAATAGGTAGGGTTCACATCTGATGATGGGAATAAAACTGGTTATAAGCTGACTGAATTCACTGTGCAATTTCTCCTAGCCAGTTGCGAGTGAGCCTTGGGGTAACACACATTTATAGCGTACTTTACGAAAAAGATGGGCCATTTCCCATAGCCACACGAGAATCACATAAAAATGTACTTTGGGTGATACAAAAATACTTTAAATCTACAGCTTCTGAACTCACGCCCCAGAAAAGTTGTTCTCTTTTATGATGTAAAACTCTCCGAATGGTTGAAATGAAACAAAAATTTTAAACTCAAGCATTTTAATAATTATTCTATTGCCTCCACCTCTGCCTAGAGGTACATACTGAGTTTCTAAAATTACGTTAAAATAATTGAAATTTATTAATACTTATGTAGTTTCAGTCGTATAGTGTAATGTACTATACATTTCTACAAATATTTTTATTACTAATATCTTCTTTACCTTGCCGCAAGTCTATTGCATATATTCTTTTGGTCTCCTTTCTTACACATGCTTGCAACTCCTGTCTTGTATTTGGTCCTTCAAGTGTTCATGATTATGTTGTTCCTTCCTTAAGATGAATACACCATTCTTTTCAACTTTTCCTGGCGCTTGATATTTTGTTAATTCGAATAATTCGAATATACATATATTTATTAAACTTTATTCCTATAAATTGAATAATGTTATAAAATACGACGTTTCTGCACTAAACATGCAAATTTGTGAGCTCTATAAAATATGAAATCAATTTTACCTCGTTCCGTTACACCTTCTGCATGAATAATACATAAAGTCGTCGTGAAAAACTATTTGTTAAGGGGTTATGTTCCTTTTCTGCATTACCCTATGAATTTACTATTCACAATTAACTGAATTCCTGTTTGAAAAAAGTAGTAAAATGTTAACTTAGTAAGATAAATCATTTTAAATAAGTTTCAAACTTGATTACCCTATAAAAATCGCTGGTTCTAACCTAAAAATTCTGTCACTCGATCACGTATATGTCACGACCCAGCTGTTGGCGTATCGGTTGTTACAAACCACCCCCCCGCCCGTACCCGAACGCCGCTCTAGATTTTCGTTCACTTGCTACCACCACCATCATTTGTGGTGTGGGAGCAGTCGGATATCTTTGGACATATTTCCCACGGCTTGAATTTTGAAGTTTGTCAATTCTGACGATCATGTCAGTGAATGCGTTCGTGTTTTTTGTTGCATAAATGTATCCAAAAATTAATGGTCGTAGAAAAAGTATAGTATGCGACACGGTCGTTAACTTTTTAAGGCACTCGTTTATTAAGCACTCGCTCCGCTCGTGACAAATAAACTCGTGAGTCAAAGGCCGTTTACCGCACTTGTTGCATAATATACTATTAACGAAAAGAAAAACTTATGTCATTGCGCGAGCTGGACGTATCACTCGAAAAACGTAGATCACTATTTTATAAGGTATTGTGAAAGCTTTTTTTTATTCGCGGGATATACGAGAGTGGGGTGAAAAGTTTCCGACCTGACCGAGAGGTCGCGCCACTAGGTCTACTTTTGGAGCGAGTTTGTATGCACAGGATTATTCATTATGTTTTGACTCCCATCTACAGGGTTAATTTTGAAAGATAGAAAAAAAAAGTGTAAATAGAAAAGTTTCATGAGTTTTGCTTGATCTTATCAAATGTCAGAAAAAACAAACGACGATCGCAAGCTGGCCAAATACGCTTAAATCGTAGATCTTTTTTTCTCGATTTCAAAAGCATATAGCTTATCGATATTTCATTTAGCAGTTTTTGAGATATTTCAATTTAAAAATACTTATCATTCGATTTATGGACAATAGCCATATGGTTTAAAAATGGCCAAGTCTGACTTGATAGCGACCAAAGAATTTCGCAATGGATGGTGGATTGTTTAAATGCAACTCACGACTGAGTAATAAAAGGATGGTGTGATAACAGTAACAAGATTGCTTTCGCAAAATCGATGTAATTTTATTATGCATATACCCTTTATAAGCCTTCTTCCACGTCTCGCTGAATTTCAAAGTTACGGCAAACTTTCATAAATATTACTTTTTTTTTACAAATAATAGCGATTTCTAATAATATTTTTTCAAATATCTCGCGCACCCTGTATAATAGACGACAGCTGGAAATCTCTCTTGACATAGTTGATCCTCAATAATTTACCCACAAAATGTTTAAGATACGACACACCCGGTATCTAATTCACGTTTCCTGGTATATGATTTTTCCAATAGGGTCAGTGGTTTTCAAGAAAATACTTGTTTTCCGAAACCATGCAGTAGGTAGTAATAGTAAATGACGTCACCGCGTCTAGATTGAGGGCGAGAAATGGCGATTTTCATGTGGATTTTTTCGAATATCTCGAACAACGTGTGGGATAGACGAAAACCGCAAATACAAAAGTTGTTGCTATGGATGCGGCCTATGATACAGTTTAAACCAATTAACCATATATTCGACAAATTTTCATTTACGGCAAATAATTGACTCTGCAAAAGAACAATTTTCAGGGTATTTATATTTTTGTCTAAAATTGAAAAACCCTGTAAATAATCGAAATAATGCTCAAAATTAAAATTATAGTCGCGTATCCTGGTTCAAGAATTTTGTCGATCGGGTTAATAGTTTTTAAGGAAATAATTTTTTTCTGGACGCCAAAATAACCAAAAAAAAAAAAAAATCAAAAATTTTAGAAAAGTACTTTGTGAAATTTGACTACACCCAATTTCTACTGTTTAAATGCCTTTACTTTGCCCTTACTTCGCTGCTAAATTTGAGGTTGATATCTGGAACTTTAGGACACTCAACAAATTTCTTATATAGCACGGAATATCGTGAACACCCTGTACAATAGGTGAAAGCTCTAAATTCAAAAGTTTTAGCTGTCTATATGGGTTATATCGTAATGTAAAAAAAGTGCCCTCTTTCAGTTATAGCCAATTTTCCATAATAGGGTTATCCATTTTTCAGTTTTTCTGAATTTGCGGCGCACCCTGTATATTTTTGAAAAATTGTCAAGAATAAAAGTTTGTGGAGCCGTCTCTTCTGCGTTTTCTGGTTCAAGAATTGCTTCGGTCTCGTAAACGTTTTCGAAAAATGATCTTTTTTTGTTGACCCTTGCACACGCGATTTTTATTTTTTTTTAAAATACCACATAAAGCTGCATATATGAAAATATGAAATCGATTGCTTCAAAGTTCGGACACTTATCGATTTTAATAGCAATGTCCAAAAGACAGACTAAAATCGCGAAAAAAAGATGGATGCCGCCGTCGTATCGAAGCCATTTCTTATAGGCCTATAAATTCCTAGGACGGTCCTGGAATGGTTACGGGTAAGGGTCGCCTCGGCAGGGTGTTCAACAAGGGTCTGCGGCAAGCAAAGGGAGTCGGTTGTAAAAGCACTATATTTCTGGTGCAAGTATACTGTGAATTAGACTTAGGTATTTAAGTAAATGCTATCAATGGTCTGATTTGGCGTAAATCTAGCCTGCATAACATATTTTTTTAAAAACGACCACCTCGCTTACCTGCTTACCAACTTCCGCATTTTGTGACGTAGCATATGACGTAAAAAAAAACGCTGGGGAAACGCCTTCCTGAAGTTGATTTATTGCGCAATAATAATGTAACCAAAAAGGGGCGGGTCCGTCTCACATAATCCTTTCGTATTCCTTAACGTTAATATACAAATATAATAATAATCGTGGAACATTTAAATACATCAGAGAGATAATACTTGATTTATTTTACGTTATTATGTATGCCCGGTTACGACGATTCCATGATTACCGGATTTTCCGGACCGTCCGCCGCCGTTGGCGAGGGAATGTTTGTCTTTTTGTCTTCCGATATGCTCCGCCTCGAGTTTCTCCTGCTGCGCGGTTTCCTGCGAGCGATCGCCTCGCAGGTGCCTTTCGGAATGAACGTCGTCCACTCGTTCGTCTTTGCGTCCAAGTATTCGATCGTGTTTAGGAAGTTTTTACCTAAGTAAACGGAAATATGTAGAAAAAAAAACCGTAAGAGAAGGTTAATCTAAAGTTAAACCTTGTCCTGCTAAAAAATTCAGCTGGAATTTTGGTAAATGAACTCGGAACGAAAATCGACTATGAATACTCGGGGGATAGGGAACTGACAACAAGAAATATTACAAGAGTGCTTAAAACGCAACGTATATATCTTTTTTTTTATGGAACTTTTGTACTTTTTACAAATCTTAAATGGAACTGGCTCGCTATACCTGCTCATATACGATTCGAAGGGGTGGAGCTAAAGGAGGGGGCGTGGCCATTGTCTCGGATGACTGATTTCAATCAATCATGGATTCTCTAAGGAAGGACAACAGTGGCAAGGCTTTCGGACTCATTGTCTTTGGAAGGTTGTGGTGTGATGCAACGCTTAATATATCTTTAATCTTTAAATTTTGGATTCAGTGATTCGGGATGAGATAGTTTTACGGCTTTGGAAACAAGACGGTCGATAATGGATGATTTTTTGGCTGGATGGTGATGTGACAATGTATAAACCTGGCAGGGTTGACCATGAGGCCAAATAACAAAAGTATCATCGACGTAGCGTCTCTATAATTTTAGTTTTCGATGGAAGGTGTCATGAGTTTTCTTCTCAAAGACTAAATATACTCGCGATGACTGGTAATAATGGAGAACCCAGAGCTGTTAAATCAGGTGAGAAGGTTTGGTTTCAGATTCTTAGATTATAATACATCTGAAATAAAGTTGGGAGTTTAATAAAATGGGATGTTACTTCTAAAGTCACTGGATCTAATGTAATGGTTTTAATTTTTCAAATGATACCATCAGTTGTCCTTGTGAAGGGATTTAATATAGAAACTAAATATTTTGCTAGAGTGGGAGAACCAATTGTGCTGACAATAGGTCGAAGGTGTAATTCTGGTTTGTGAAGCCATAGAGACGAGAATTGTTTCCTGATAGTTGTGTTCATGACCACTTTATCTGCTTTTACAATTACGATGCTGGGATTCGATTTTAGAGATTTTAGGGTACAGCGTTTATTTGGAATATTCGATTTAGGAGGTTTGAGATGGCTGTTTGTTTAGGATAGACTCGACATTCGAAGGGGCAAGGACGAAGTTGGAACTTTTCGCAAGAACTGATTTTTCCGTCTCAGAAAGTTGGTGTGATTGTTTACAGAGCTACAGAAACACTTTACGTCTGATTTCTATCTAATAATTTATACATGAGAGATATTAAGCGTTCCATTACAAAATAGACTACACCATAAACAGTGAGTCCGAAAGCAATCCCACAATTGCCATTGTTATCCTCCATACATTCAAAACATCGCATCAAAAGTTCTTAAGATATATAGCGTCGAAACCAGATTTACCACCTGTCCAAAATTCTATCAACATCTTCGATCCGTCAAAGATAAAATTCCCTTTGAGTTTACAGCTTTCCATGCAATGCAAAGACAGGGAAAAGGCTACAGCAAATATCAACAGTTATCGAACACAACACGGTACACGATATAACTACAATTCTTGCATATCAATTCAATCAATCAAATCTATAAACAAACAAACGATCTTAACCGCGACTCATGTCTTTACCGATCACTAATATGAGAAACAGCCATCCGAGACAATGTTCACACCCCTCCTTTAGCCCCGCCCCCTCAAACCGTATATAAGGGAGGTCAGAGTCAGCAAGTTTGTTTTATCAGTACACAACGTTACTTGCAAATAGTGTTGTGGTAGCCTGGGGAAGTTTCTTTGAAAAGTTAATAATTGTTAGTTTTGTATATAACGCACAAATAACTTCCATAAAATGCAGAACTCCTAAACACGGGTCTAAAGTCGGCAGAATGTTAGTTACTTCAACCAGTTAACAGGCTATAAAACCCGCACAATAACAGAATGGTCCCATCAAAACCAAAATTCCGTTTGAGATACCAGGAGTTTACAGCATTTCATGCACTGGAAAAACTAAAATTCTTGTATGTAATCAATTCAATCAGTCAAGTCTATAGCAACCATACAATCTTAACCGCGATTCCCATCTTTTCATTTCACCAATATGGCAAACAATCATCCGAGACAATGTTCACGCCCCCTCCTTTAGCTCCGCCCCCTCAAATCGTATATAAGCAGGTAAAGGAACCAAAGGGGTGATTGGCGAAACAACCACATAACAGACTTGTAGACAGGAGGTTTCTTTTTTATATAATGCATAAATATCTTCCACACTTCCACAAAATGCAACGTTAGTTGCTTCAACAAGTTAACAGTCTATAATACCAGTACAGTTTCAGAGTGAACTATAGCTACCCTTTCAATGGAGTGCTGTGGTCACCGAAATATTCTATGAATATTCAGATTCACCGAACAAAGATGTTTGTTGTCCCGTAGATATCCGTATCCTTAAGTCTCTAAAAAGTGGGAGCCATACCCGTTTCACAATAAAATAAGTGAACAATGTGCATAAAAAGATTTAAAAAGCCGAGTTTTAAAATCGTAAAAATGTTAAGTAAAAAAGTTACACAACGAAATCTTCCATATATATTTGGTAAACGAATAAAAACTACCAGTAAACTTTAATTTCCCATTTCCAAGAGGTGGCAGTTTTTTTTTGTATCTTATTAACCCATACAAAATAGCAATTCCATCGGAAAAAAAATCCGTTTTACCTGAAAATCCACCTACTGCGTATAGCCTATCCCCCACTACGGTGACTTCGACGTTGGCCCTTGGAGTGGTCATACTCGGCCCCACCGACCACGTTTTCGTCTCGTCGTCGAAGTACTCGGTCGAACTGAGCGAGTGGGTGCCGTCGGATCCGCCCACCACGTACAAGCGGTTGTTAAACACGGCAACGCCGCATCCGCGTCTAGCGGTCACTATAGGTCGCGCCACCTTCCATGAGTCTTCTTCCGAATCGTATATTTCGACGGAGCTGAGGCAGTTCCACGCGTCGCAACCGCCGATCGCGTAGATCAGGTTCTTGTAAGCCGCCACGCCCGCCTGATAACGACCTGCGCAAGCGTCATCGAATAATCCAAGGCGTTTTATATTACAAGGTTATTTATTGCAAAAGTTCACATTTAAACAATGAAAGAGAAAAACTAGATTTATTAGACTGTATTTAGATTAGGCTATTGACTACATAACTAGCGAAATAAAGCGAAATACACACTTCTCATAATTTAAGAGATAAACAGTGCGCATAACAACGCTCATACCGATCCTTGCTGGACACCGTGACGTCGAAGTAAAAAAGACTATCATCTGGACGATTCATACGATTCGAAAGAAGATATGACGAATAGACGATAGAAGACAACAAAAGAGAGTTTCCAGTTTCCCAATATGTAAATATATAAACAACACCACTATCCATTAGTCTAGTATAATAGCAACTCTTTCAGTAAAATTGCAAAAATCATTACAAAAATAGGCAATATTGAAATAGGACGGTAGTTGTTGTGATTATTTTGTTATTTATCCACTGTAAAAGGAGAAGACGAAACATTGTTCAATAGAACCTAACCTAGAATATATAAAAGAGAGTGTTAATTTAATCAGTGTACTCCTTATTATTAATAAAGTTATTTTAGTTTAATATCTCCGTGTGTTCGTAAATTCACAAAAGAACCACGCAACGGCAAAATGAATACGTCGTGGGTGGTATTTCCACAATTAAAATTATAATAACTGGAAGTTTAGAGTTAAAGCATTTCTGGAGGAGAAACAGATTGAAGATACGTTGGAGAAAGAAGTATCAAATTTTGCTGTTGAAAACAATTTTCAGACATCAAGATATGATTGCTGCTTGTACTGTGGTAAAAATAAGTGGATATTATTATATGTAGATGACATGTTAGTAGTGGGAAAGAATGAAGAAACAGTATTTTTACTAAAGAAATATTTCCAAGCAAAAGGATATGGGAGAAGTGAAGAATTTCTTAGTTATGACAATAAACAGAAAGGAAGAACACGGTAAACTAGAAATAAAGCAAACAAAATTTATTGCAAAACTATTGGAAAATTTTAACATGAAAGAATGTAGTGGAAAATCTACACCTATGGAAAAAGGATTTCAATGTAATAAAAATAGTGAGATAGTGAATGTTCCTTACAGGTAATTGATCGGAGGACTGATGTACTTGTTTGAGGCGGGCGGGGGCGCTAATGAGGGGTATAAACACCGTCTCGGATAACTGATTCCCAAATTGGTGAAAGGTAGAGCCCTGAGTCGCGATTAAGATTGTTAGATTGTTTATAGATTTCTCAGGTCTCTACTCGTCACCAATTTGGGAATCAGTCATCCGAGACGGTGTTTATACTCCTCATTAGCGCCCCCACAAGAAAATATTTGTTGAATATGTACCAACTGAGGAACAGACATGTTGACAAAAACGTTTAAACAAGGATTTAATTGTAAAACTTAGAGATAAGTGTAATATTGTATAACGCTGCTAATGTTTATTCTTGTAATCACGATTTTCATTTATCCAAACACTTTTTAAAACTTCAAATCGAGGAGGAGGTGTTTTGTTATTTATCCACTGTAAAAGAAGAAGAGGAAACATTGTTCAATAGAATCTAACCTAGAAAACATAAGACTGTTATTTTGATCAGTGTAACCCTTATTATTGGACTTTCGATGGAACCATTGCAGATGGCGGACGTTGCTCCTGCCCGGTTCCAATAAAATTGTAGAAATCGGTGGTCATTTTATGACAATATTTAGAAGTTGTTCCCGTTTTTGTATATGTTAACTAACCTGGAGAATGATGGATTGGAAGGAAGGCATTCTTCAGGATTTTTGTATATGTTACACTCATCGTAAGCTGGCCGAGTGACCTATTGCAGTCGTGGCCATTAGAAGTAAAATCCAATCCAATCCAACCCTTATAATTAATAAAGTTATTTTAGTTCAATACCTCCGTGTGTTCGTAAATTCACAAAAGTTGTTGGACTTTTATTGTTTGAACAGTAGGATTATTAAAGAATGCTGCAATGTAATAGTTTTACCATTAATTGACATAATAAATGGATGTTTCCTCACTGGACTATATCCGGAGGTTTTTAAAGTGTCTAAAATTGTGCCAATCTCTAAGAAGTGGTGAAATGTTACGTATAGTCGTTGGCATAGTTGAGGGCTTTGAGGAGGGTGAGCTTTAACGCTGTGTGGCCTCTCCAAGGCCTTGGACTGTGTCAGTCATTCAATTTTAATGGAAAAACTGGATTTTTTCGTTTTATTTTGTCTCACTAATAGAAAGCAAGCAGTTTTCAGCGGTAATTAAATGTCAAGTTTACGAAATTTAATGCGCGGTGTTCCACAGGGTTCCTTTATGGGTCCAGTATTGTTTTTAGTTTATATTAATCTTTGGTCATATGAACCCTGTGGTCGAGGTTAATTTTGCAGACGACTCTACATTTAAAACTTCAAACACGAATGTCTTAAAGGGGAAACACAGTTTGCGAAAGAACATGCCAGTATGTGGTTTACAGCGCTAATCGTCTAAAATTGAACGAGGATAAAACTCAGTCGTTAGTGTTTTCAGCAAATGCAAATATATCCGAAGGAAGATCTGCGAAATTGTTGGGTGTAGTAATGGATGATAGGACCATATTGCTTATTTAATAAAGCGCCTCTCAAGCGTCAATTTTTTTGTAACGATGATTGAAAAGGTTACTAGAATAATAATAGCATGCTCTTTGTCATTCAATTTTGTCATATGCTGTTGTACTGCGGGGAAACTCAATAGATTCCATCAAAATTTTTCGTATGCAAAAAAGAGCGATCAGAATTATATCCAACGCAGGATACAGAGATAATTGCCATAACTCAAAAAATATAGCTTCAGTTCATTCAGATAATCATAAATGCCCCACTTCCTTCTCAAATTTGCTTCGAACTAGTAGGTTTAAATACACTCAAAGCATGGAAAATTCTCTAGACTTTGGTTTATGCAACATAATCCCGAATCAAGTCAAAAATTTGCTATTTAAAAATTTTAAAACCAAAATAACATTTTTTTGGAGCATTGTTTTACTCTATAGAGGAATACAAACAAAAGATAAAAAATATCACCTGAATACCCGATTCTTGATGGTGCCCACTGTTTGATTGTGTTCGGTATCTTCCTTTTTTTTCCATTTTTTTATATGTTACGTATTACGTTGTTATACCTATTATTATTGTAGACTTTATCTAGTCGTATTGTAATTCAGTCAAATAAAAATCTGTCTATCATATTTACTACCTTTTTTGAACAGCGGAATCACTTCTGCATACTTAATTTGATGTGGGAAAGTACTGGATGCTAAACAGGCGTTATATAAATGCGTTAAAAGGGGCACCAAGAAGTAAAGAACATTTTTAAATTAACAGGCTGTTCATTTTATAGATATCTAAGCAATGCGATTTTTTTAACAGTAAAATGGCTGATATACAATAAAATTTGTTGTACTATTAGGTCTACATACAAAGCTATGTGTTAATCCACTCTGTATAATGAATTTATCACTCTTTATACCGAAAGAAAAAAGGGCACATCAGGTAACAAAGTAAGGAATGTAGGCCAACTTGCAATTAAGAGAGTCTCTTACCTTCTCAGAATTCCTTACCCTAATAATCTAATTTATCGGCATGTATAAAAGCACGCCATTGTTTCAATCAGTTCCAATTGGACTAGAACCGGGAGAAAAAAAAAGTGATGTGGACTTACACCGTCGACTGTATCCACGATTTGGAAGTGCAAAGAAAAATCATTGAAGTAAAAAAATTAAAGCCAAAATTTTAAGATTTTGATGGGGCAATGTTGCAGTGGTTCCAAAAGCAACGTCTTAAAAATGTATTACTCTCTGGACCTATTGTAAAAACTAAAAGCAGAAAAGTTTGCTGAACAGCTTGGCATTATCGACTTCAAGGCTTCGGAAGGATGGTTGGGGAAGTTCAAACAGAGACATGGTATAAAAATAGGGACAGATAAGTGGCGAAGTCCGTGATGTCTACAGAAACGTCGCTAACGATTGGCTGGAGAAGACGTGGCCAAAACTAGCTCACCACATTTTTAATGCTGACGAAACTGGTATTTTTTACAAAATGACACCACATAAAACTCTTAAATTTTGAAAGGAAAGGTGTATGGGTGGAAAACCTTCTAAAGAACGTATAACAGTGTTAGTAGCTGCCAATATAAGTGGGAGTGGAAAAAGAAAGCTAGTCGTGATTGGGAAATCAACTAACAAACGATGTTTTAACAACATCAAGCATTTGCCGGTCACTTACAAGGCAAACAAGTCTGCATGGATGACATCGCAAATTTTTGAAGAGGAGATAAGGAAATGGGATGCGGAATTAACGGGGAGGAAAATATTACTTCTGTTAGATAACTGCCCTGCACATCCCCATATTCCAAATCTACGGTATATTGAATTGGCATTTATTTCAGCCAAAACAACAAGTGTATTACAGCCGATGGACCAGAGCATAATAAAAAGTCTTAAGAGTCGATACAGGAAAAATATTTTAATGGAAATGATCGAGGCCTGACACAAATTTTCCATTAATATGCTAGATGCAGTGAACTTTATTAGTAAAGCTTGGAAAGAGGTGACAGCAGAGACAATTCAACAGAATGCGAATGGGACTTGGAAGATGATCAACCACTAAGAGAGTGTATAAACCAGTTTCAAACAACAATTACGTTTACAAGTGAGGAGTTGCAAGATTTTATGGTGATAGATCAAGATTTGCGTACAACAGCAGACTTAACAGAGGAAGCCATATTACCACAAGCCAGAAAGGGTCAGGAAGATCACCAAGAGGAAAAAGAAGATGAAGAAGTTGATCTGGGACCACTACCAACCATTCAACAAGCCCTATATTCAATTAAGTTGCTAGAGAAATTTGTTATGTATTATATTGAAGAAATGGCGAAAATACAAGCCAGAGTATTGGCTTATTGGCGTACTAAAAAAAAATTCAAAAGAAAATGACAGATTATTTGAAACATTAAGTGTAGTTCTTAAATATTTATATAAAATGTTCCTAGGTGGATGTTAAAATATAATATACATAATTAAATATTACATAACACATATGCGTATTGTTATTTTTCAAGTGCCTATAACTATAACGAAAAAAAAAAGCAGTCCCTTCAATTTCGCTATATGGAGTTTCAACTATATATACATTATCTGACCAGTTAAAACTTGAGTTAAAAATAAAATTATCGAATGGTAGTTCTTTTCTTTGCTATGATTTGAGCGAAAGGTTACCTGTGTTGAGGGAAGCGATCGTAGTCCATCGTTGGGTAACGGGGCCGAAGGTGTCGCACTGTTTCAAACCCACTTGGCCGTTCCAACCGCCGACGCAATAAATCAAACCGTTCAACTCGCAGACGCCCATGTTGCTCCTGGCAACGGGCATCGCAGGCATTTTGATCCACTTGGCGACGCTCATGTCCAGCATCTCGACGGAATCGAGCTCCGTAGTACCGTTGCTTCCTCCGATCGCGTAAACCTAAGGATTCGGGTCATTTGAACTACTACGGTCGATTCTCGAAGCTAGCGGACCATATACTTTAATGGGACAAGAATCAACAATCACAAATCGATGGAGTATTTTTTTATTTGCTCAAAAATGTAAAAAGTTTTCTTGAAAGATGATTCTCTGAGTTTATATTAAAAGAACCAAACTAATTTCATAGTTTTATGTAACAAATTTAAGCAATTAAAAATTTGAAACGCGCGGTCATTAGCTGTGACCGGTTGTGACGTCACATAGAGAAGCCATTAGAGAACGACAACGTGTTCGCCTTGATAGTTTTAATTTTAATTGTAGTCTTGATCTTGTCGCCTGCTTTTGTTATCTTGCGTTTAGTATCGACCAGAAAGTTTAGCCACTAGTTTTTAACCAATGCAATATTGTTATCAGCTTAAAGTTTTTTAATTTTTAAAATTCAAATGGAACATCAAATAAAATGTGGATTATTTGCAATATCGTTTTTGTGTTGCTTCCATTATTATCATGTAAAGCACACTAAGCACAAAAACAAACACACCTTTACATGAGTCAAAAATAAACGTAGATAATATAATTCCCGGCCTATAACCTGAGAATGACAGTATAACATGTCGCCGTATCGGTCGAAAGGCAGCGGTATGACGTCACGATTATTCCCGCACATAGATTAATTCTAACTGAGAAGAGTCCATAGTATATATGTAGTAGATTTTATAACATTGCCCAACAGCTTAAAAGAAATAAATAGTTGGAAATGATTTAAAACAAATATTAGGACACTTCTGATAGAATTAGAACCTTACTCAATAAAAGATTATTTTGAGAAAATAATGTAAGAATTTTTATATGTTATGGTTAATTGTATAGTACATCTTGGTATTAGACGCTATTTCCGGTGTGTTTCTATATTTTGTAATATACTAACACAATTTGAAATAAAGATTATTATTATTATTATTACATATGTGCTAAATTTCATTAAAAAATCTAAATTGGTACTACAGATATTAAAAAAATATATACATTTTATTTTTGCAAATTTTACCACCCCATATCTCAAAAGTTAGACGTTCATATGAAATTTTCTCTTTAAAATGTACCCAAAAATTAATTACAAAACACCCTGTATATACAATTGCCAACACGTCATTCATAAGCAGCTACTCTGTTTTTAATGACCAGCCGCTAAACGGCTGATTCGATTTATTAAAAAAAAAAAACATTTTTTCGTCAATCCTGATTTACTTTTACCTACGATTGCTATAGTAATTCCAGAGGCTCCCCGAAATGTTTTTAGAAATATACAAAGCAAAATTTTATTGAAAGTTTAAACTATTCATCGTTTCTATGTATAACTGTAAATACGTTTTAAAATGTTTATCTTTCAATTTTATATATCAGTTTGGATGTTTTTATAGGTTATGTCTCCGCCCATAATGTGGCAATATCTTCCCGTCCCTAATTCATTTCATTAACTTAATTTTGCCAAAATATAAAACCCAAGTTTTAGTTTGTTTTTTTAGTCCCCGGGGTATAATTTTAACGTTCGCGTGGTAAATAACACGTACCTTATCGCCGAATACGGCGATTTTGAAACGACCCCGACTCTCCCTCATCGATGGCAAATTCTTCCAGCTATTCGTCTCAGGAATGTACTGCTCCACCGACCGTAGACATTCGACCCTGTCGTAACCACCTGAAATTTGTTTTTTTTTTAATCGTAAACCAACTACCCATTAAAAAGGAAAAACCTACCGCAGACAAGCACCGTGTTCATATAATTGCCGCAACCGTGGGCGCATCTCTGGGACGACATATTGGCCAGTGCGCAGTAAAGATCCGGTTTTTCTTCGCTGGCCGGTCTGCTAGTGTTCGGCGTTTGGGTGGGGGAAGGTGTTTGAGGTACATTTAGCCTATTAAAAATTGAGAAAATATCATTTGACGGCCCCCCGGATGGAGGAATCGACGGGTTTTGAGTTTGGTTTGTAAAAAATCAACTTCTTACGTGCTCTAAAAGGGATCACATATATAATACGACCAAAAATATATTGCATTTATTGCTTTGACGTTACTCTAACAGTGATATGTATCGTTCTTAACAGTTTAATCTAAATTACAATATTTGACAGTGACCCCTCCAGTAAAGAAGAGGCTGTTTTCACTGGATAATTCAAAGTACCTGTACTCTATTTATCTTACAGGCAAATTTAAAAATAATCATTTTTGTCTTGTGTCCCTGTCGATTAACAACATTCTTCTTCTTGTACTTTTGTGTCTTCTACATAGTTCTTTGATTCTTTTTTAGACTGTAGATTATATTCGCGGTACCTTCGTCGGGCTGAAAATCCCTTACGGGAGGTTGTAGTGCCGAAAAGTAAAGCAAACCCAAAACGTAAGATAAGGCACCACTACCAAATTAAACGCAGCATACAGGTTCCAAATCCGTAAAATAGGTAAAACTTCCACAAAATTTCGAACCTATTGCTTGCAGAACCTCGACCAACGGTAAAGTGAAGCCGGAAAAACGCGCGATTTGCGTAGTTGGACCAAAGAATAAAATAGATAGGGTTGGGCTCTTATAACGAAACGACATGGCCAATAGAACCTGTATGAAACGCGAACTTTTATAATAAATTGATGTATCTGGGTAGCAATAGTCGAGAGTTTCTACATATAATTTTAAGAAAGCTAGTAGGTACTGGAAATTTTCTCAGTCGAGGTATCGATACTGCGAATGAAATTGATAAGTCAATGTATGGCTCAAGCCTACAGGTAACCAAAGTATTCTTGAACTGAGGTGGCTTTTACTTGATGAAAATTTATTTATCAAAATAAATAAGAACTAAACATTTGATGATTGATTTGTCGAAACAATTGTCATGTCATAATATATAATTTCGTGAAAATCTGAACTTTTAGTTCTTATTTATTTTGTCAAAGCATTCTTGCCGTGTGATTCGAATGTAATTATTAGAAAAAAAAAGGAATTCAAAGAAATATTAAATTATGAGCTGCTAATAAATGGTATGAAGGCAGTGACGGTATTTAGGGAGCGAAATAAAACTCTTCCGATCATGCAAAAATGCGAAACTTAACGCGCTTTACTGGTTGCCTACTAGACGTAGCGGTAACCAACGAAGAAGATCGCATACCGGCTGATTGACGAATGAATAAATAACCTCTCGGTCGAAAGAATGTGGGGAACCATTGCACATGGCGGACGTTGCTCCTGCCCGGTTCCAAAATATTTATAGAAATTGGTCGAAATTAGTGTCATTTAAAGAAAATATTGTTAGGTATAGTCGTTATCTGACGTGATAGGGACGTAGTGCCTATAACTTTTGGAAATAGTGTTCGTCTTACGTGGATGTACACGGATTTGTGATGTGTAATTCCATGAGGTGTATGTAAATACGGTTTCCGAATGTCCTATATTCACGCTGGTAACCAGGCCGGATGGGATCGGATATCCCGTATAAGATGATTGCTGGAGCCGTTTGAAGAATCGGTCGTCATTTTATGACAATTTATTTAGAAGTTTCCGTTTTTGTATACGTAAAAAACAAAAACCTAGAGGATGATGGATTGGTCTAGACTCTTCTCTTAAGAAGGCATTCTGTAGGATATCTGAATAATGTGAAAAATTGTGTAAGCTGGCCGAATGACCTTATGCAGTCGTGGCCATTAGGAGTGAAGAAGAAAGAAAGAAAAAAGAACCTCTCGGTCAGATCAATATTATTCAATATTATTTACTTCGCAAAGATCGACTTTAAAAGGTACATCATAAGAATGCAGATAAATATTTAATAGAATTTTTAACACTTTAAAATGTGGAGACCGTGGAACGAAGCAGATGTTCCCCTGTTAGAAGAAGAGAGTGGAAAACAACGCAGAATTTGAGCACAACAATTTAGAAGACGAACTACCTCAGCAATATAAAAAAACGGATCCATTTGTTTTCGAATGCTAAAGAAATTGTTTAGAATGTTTATAATGTTATAAGACATTCAGAAAGGGAAGTAGCAGCAGCAATAACAACATGCCCAAAGTTCCGAAGTCAACTGTAAGGGCTAATTTCCAATTTAGCCATGGAGGGTGGATTATTTAAATGCAATTGAAAAATTTCGAGAGCAAAATAAGTCAATAGTGTATTTAGATGAAACGTGGTTCGACACTCACGACACAGTAAAAAAAGGATGGTGTGATAACAGTAACAAGTGTGTCCTAGAGGTGCCGCCTTCAAATGGAACAATTCTTCAAAAATGGTTGGGTGGAAGATGCATTATTTCTATCTGCCAAGAACGTTAAACATTCAATTGTGGATGGGACAATGCCTTGTATCATTCAGCTCAAATTAGAAAAATTCCTAATACTGCACCAAAATTTGGTGATAGTACCATTCAAGTAATTCGGCAAGAGGTAGCTAAAATGTCAGTGCAAAGCTGGTCTAACTGTAAAAACGAGTAATAAATGAAGAAAATGTTTAGTGAGGACGATTATTGGTGAAGTTGATCATTGAACTAGGTGACGACAGTAGCGATAGTGATGATTTTTGAATATTTTGTATATTAATACTGATACTATGTAGAAATGTAATGAACTAGAATGTAATAAATTGTTACCTTGTACTAATTTTTTTATGTACATTATTTCATAAATTTATCTCTTACGGATGATTTTTATCAAAATTTTAAAAAATCGTTTGGGGGGTCAATCCATCATAAGTACTTATAATATATATATATATATATATATATATATATATATATATATATATATATATATATATATATATATATATATATATATATATATATATATTCTCACGTATTGATTCACGGATGGAAAAATGTGATGACACTATATTCCGGGATATCATCCGTTCGCTCGTTGAACTCCGACTGGAATCCTGCATCCGACTGGAATCCTGCAAATCTTGCATCCGACTGGAATCCTGCAGACGTTTCGCCAAAATCTCACTTGGCATCTTCAATGCTCGCGCTCCGAAAACACTTCGAACACTGGGAGGTTATCGGCGGTGCGTGCGGTATTTATACTCTGCGCCGGAGATGGTAACGGTGCTGCTTGTGCGTGGGGGGAGGTGGCTCCGCCCCCTGAATTGTCGCGTTGTTAATTTCGCCCGATCGTAGTTGCGATGTCCCCGTTGGCTGCTGCGCATCGCTCTGCTGTTTGATTATCGTTCTCCACGTGTTGGATAAATGCAGAGCGTCGTCTCTCGTATTGAGGTGTCCGGACTTTTCTATTTCGATGGCCTCTCGTATAATCCTAGTCCTAAAATCAGGAATATTAGCTATTTGTTTGCAAGTGCCGAAATCAATTTTATGGCCTGTCTGATGTTGGTGCTGAAACAAAGCAGATGTTGTTTGTTTGTTTCTTATGGCTAAACGATGTTCCTCGAGCCTGGCTGAAATCCTTCTGTTGGTCTGTCCCACATACGTCAGGCTGCACGATCCGCATGCTACACTGTATACTCCTTGGTTTTCGAGAGTAATTTTTTGTTTTGGGTTTCTTAGTATTGCTCCGATGGTATGGTCAGGTTTGTATGCCGTTGATATGTCGTGTTTCCGTAATATTCGGCCGATTTTGTCAGTAACCCCCTTGATGTATGGCAGGACAGCGATCGATCTTCGTTGGGTCTCGTCCTGCACTCTCTGCTGCGGCTGTTGTTGTTTACTGATTGCCTTGCTGATGGTGCGCCTTTGGTATCCGTTTTGTTGAAGACAGGTACTAATTTTCTTCAGTTCTTTATCTCTGTTCCTCTCGTTTGTGAGCCTGAAGGACCGAGCAATTAATGTATTTGCCACTGCCTGTATCTGTGATGGGTGGTGATGAGATTTAGCGTTCAGATATCTATTAGTGTGTGTTGGTTTTCTATAGACAGTGTGTTCCAAGTGTCCATCTTCGGTCCTTGTGATGTGCACATCTAAAAAGGGCAGACTGTTATCCTCTTCAAGTTCTATTGTAAATTGAATCCTTGGGTGAATGGAATTCAGATGATCTAGGAATTTCAAAAGCTCCTCCTTGCCAAAAGGCCATACAACAAATACGTCATCAACGTATCTTGTCCATAGTTTTGGCTTCAGATTTGCCTTCTCTATTGCTTTCTTTTCGAAGTAAATCATGAAGAGGTTGGCAATCACAGGTGAGAGAGATGATCCCATTGCTGCTCCATCTATTTGTCGGTAAATTTTCCCGTTGTGCATAAAGTAAGCGTTTTTCAGGCAATGTCTTGACAGATCCATTATGTATGGCGGAAGATCTTCGTTTTCTTCTATAAGCAAGAGTGCCTCTTCTGCTGGAATACTCGGGTAGAGGGATTTGACATCGAAACTTGCCATAATGTCGTCCTTGTCCATCCTGAGAGAACCTAAAATCTGAGTGAAATGTTCTGAGTTTTTAACATAGGAATCTGCCTTTTCCACTTTAGGCTGAAGTGCACTGGCCAGATGTTTTTCCAGCTTGCATAATGGTGAGTTAAAGGCGCTTACGATTGGACGCAGGGGAACCCCGTCCTTATGGATCTTTGGGAGCCCGTAGAATTTTGGGCAACGACTCGATTTTTCCCTCGGAATAAGTTCCTTCTTTGTATTCTCGTTTATTGATGAATCGAGAATTTTGGACTTAGTTGTTTTTTCCAAATATGTCGTGGGATCTCTGTTGACTAGTTTGTATATTGGGTCGTTCAAAATATCCTCCAATTTTGCATTATAATCCGACGTATTCATGACGACAGTGGCATTTCCTTTGTCTGCTGGCATTATTAGAATGTTTTCGTTTTTGTTTAGATTCCTTAAGGCTTGCATTTCTTCTCTGCTTAAGTTTGGTTGCGGTGGTTTTGACTGTCTTAAGACTCTGGCGACATCTTGCCTAATTAACTCCGCATCTTGTTCGTCTATGGTGGAAAGACTTGCTTCGACGTTGGAAACGATCTCTTCGACGGGTACTCTTTTTGGAGCTATTGCGTAGTTAAATCCTTTATTCAGTACGCTGACTTCTGTATCGGAAAGATGGTATGCTGAAATATTATGAACTGTACTGCTTCGGTTTGTATTTGGCACTTGTCCTGATTTTTTGGAATTTGACTGAAGGATTTCTAATTTCTTCCACAGTTTTTTTGACGTGATGTCCTTATCTTTCTCAGTGCGCCATGATGTTAATAATTCTATGCGGTCCCACAGCAACTGATGAATCTTGTTGCTCAGTTTCAGGTGGAGTCTGAAAAGTTGTAGCTCAGTCTCACTAATTTCGTACCGGGTCCGCCTGATCTGGTCTTGGAGTAGGGCCTTGCTAGCTTTGTCCAGGATAGCTTGTGTCTTTCTGGTGCGTGTGTGATAAGACAACCTTGTAAATGTTGGCAGCAAGTTCTGGTTGCGGCAGCTTTTAAGAAAATTCAAGTTGCACAGCGAAATAACCCTCCTTTGTCTTAGTTTTTCATAACACTTGGTGGCTGTAAAGATCTCCTTCCCGTAAAGGTGTATGATATTCTCACGTATTGATTCACGGATGGAAAAATGTGATGACACTATATTCCGGGATATCATCCGTTCGCTCGTTGAACTCCGACTGGAATCCTGCATCCGACTGGAATCCTGCAAATCTTGCATCCGACTGGAATCCTGCAGACGTTTCGCCAAAATCTCACTTGGCATCTTCAATGCTCGCGCTCCGAAAACACTTCGAACACTGGGAGGTTATCGGCGGTGCGTGCGGTATTTATACTCTGCGCCGGAGATGGTAACGGTGCTGCTTGTGCGTGGGGGGCTCACAAACGAGAGGAACAGAGATAAAGAACTGAAGAAAATTAGTACCTGTCTTCAACAAAACGGATACCAAAGGCGCACCATCAGCAAGGCAATCAGTAAACAACAACAGCCGCAGCAGAGAGTGCAGGACGAGACCCAACGAAGATCGATCGCTGTCCTGCCATACATCAAGGGGGTTACTGACAAAATCGGCCGAATATTACGGAAACACGACATATCAACGGCATACAAACCTGACCATACCATCGGAGCAATACTAAGAAACCCAAAACAAAAAATTACTCTCGAAAACCAAGGAGTATACAGTGTAGCATGCGGATCGTGCAGCCTGACGTATGTGGGACAGACCAACAGAAGGATTTCAGCCAGGCTCGAGGAACATCGTTTAGCCATAAGAAACAAACAAACAACATCTGCTTTGTTTCAGCACCAACATCAGACAGGCCATAAAATTGATTTCGGCACTTGCAAACAAATAGCTAATATTCCTGATTTTAGGACTAGGATTATACGAGAGGCCATCGAAATAGAAAAGTCCGGACACCTCAATACGAGAGACGACGCTCTGCATTTATCCAACACGTGGAGAACGATAATCAAACAGCAGAGCGATGCGCAGCAGCCAACGGGGACATCGCAACTACGATCGGGCGAAATTAACAACGCGACAATTCAGGGGGCGGAGCCACCTCCCCCCACGCACAAGCAGCACCGTTACCATCTCCGGCGCAGAGTATAAATACCGCACGCACCGCCGATAACCTCCCAGTGTTCGAAGTGTTTTCGGAGCGCGAGCATTGAAGATGCCAAGTGAGATTTTGGCGAAACGTCTGCAGGATTCCAGTCGGATGCAAGATTTGCAGGATTCCAGTCGGATGCAGGATTCCAGTCGGAGTTCAACGAGCGAACGGATGATATCCCGGAATATAGTGTCATCATATATATATATATATATATATATATATATATATATATATATATATATATATATATATATATATATATATATATATATATATATATATATATATATATATATATATATATGATGACACTATATTCCGGGATATCATCCGTTCGCTCGTTGAACTCCGACTGGAATCCTGCATCCGACTGGAATCCTGCAGACGTTTCGCCAAAATCTCACTTGGCATCTTCAATGCTCGCGCTCCGAAAACACTTCGAACACTCATATATATATATATATATATATATATATATATATATATATATATATATATATATATATATATATATATATATGTCATGTCACTTGTTTTTTTGCTGCTCCTACTTCCCCGTCTGAATTTCTTATAAAATTGTAAACATTAAAAACAATTTCTATAGCATCCAAAGACAAATGGATCGGTTTTTCTATTTGCTGAGGTTGTTCGTCGTCTCCTAAATTGTCATTAGGTTCCACTACCATCTCCACTTCGTCCTCAAATTCTACGTTGTTTTCCACGTCTTCTAACAGGGAACTTACCTTGAACTGAGGTGGCTTTTACTTGATGAAAATCCACTTATCAAAATAAATAAGAACTATAAGTTCAGATTTGCAAGAAATTATATATTTTGACATGACAATTGTTTCGACAACACCGTGTCTTTATCAAATGTAATATTTACAAACTACCTGCTACTATATATACCGGAAAATGACAATTAATGTGAGAATTTAAGTTCAATAAAGGAGAGGTATTTAAATCTAATTGATCGTTAAGCAATACATTGGAATGTCTCGTTTTGTTAATCTCCACGGCTTCCAATAAATTTAATTTTCTACTTTTTGTGGGTGTATGTAAACTATCAAAATGGTCCTGAAAATGTGTTTTTCTGTGTTTAAGTGTGTAGCATAATTAGAATCAAAACTATTGTTTTTAAACGCTCTTATATGTTCGTTAATGCGTTTCTTGAAGGATCTACCTGTTTCTCCAATATACATTTTACGACAACATTCGCATTTCAACCTGTAGACACCTGATTTTTGGGATTTTGGAAATTTTCGTTTTATTATTTTTTAAATATAACAAAATGAGACATTCAAATGTATTGCTTAACGATCATTTAGATTTAAATACCTCTCCTTTGAATTGAACTTAAATTCTCACATTAATTGTCATTTTTCGGTATATACAGTACCAGGTAGTTTGTAAATATTACATTTGATAAAGACACGGTGTTGTGGAAACAATTGTCATGTCATAATATATAATTTCGTGAAAATCTGAACTTTTAGTTCTTATTTATTTTGATTTAGGGAACTTACCTGTAAGATAAATAGAGTACGAGTACTTACCACTTACCTTTTGAACTATCCAGTGAAAACAGTCTAGCAGGGTCAAATGGCAAATCAGGCACACAAATACGTACTTACCGGAAGGATCACAGTCGAATATATACGAACATATTGGAATTTGGATTAAACTGTCAAGAATGATACATATCACACCTGATATTAAAATAAACGCTTCTGCTTATTTGAAAATACCCCGCAGCATCACTATTTAATCAAATTTAAAACGGTCCATTTACGTTTCTACAAATATTCGTTACGGTCCATCTCTTGGGATGGGTTTTACCACGGTCCTGCGAAGGTCTGCGGTTATGGTACTGTAAAATACGTCAAAGCAATAAATGCACTATACTTTTGGTCGTACTATACTAATATATCAACCGCGTGATTCGAGTGAGAAACGCTGATCTAATCGGTCAGATTTACTGGAAGAAGGAGTGAAAGCTATTCCGGTAAAAACCGGGACCCACCTTAACTGTATGGAAAGGGTCGCGAGTTTGCCTGCCAACGTGACCAGAGCCAAGAAACTGTGCTCTCCCACGGACTCGCTCGCGATGAGATTCCAATCTGGTTCGAGCTCCCCTTCGAATTCGTCGCCTATCTCCCTGTTGTAAATCAACACTCGGGGCTTCGACGGTTGACTAAGCGCTTTCTTTTTCATTTTCGTCGACGTGGTGACGTTTTTCAGCGACATCTTCTTGTAGTCCTGCACCATTTCGGTGTCGCTGATGTCGCCGGACGGCAGACTCGAGCAATCCTGCAGCGAGTTATCGATGGCCAGGTACAGCATGAAGGTTTTCTCCGACAACGAGTCCTTGTTGAGCGAATCCTCGGTGATCTGTCGCTTGATCCAATCGAGCACGAGTCGACACAGTGAATTTTGATTGACGAACGACATCTCTTCACGCGATTGGTTGAGCACTTCGATCCTGGCACAATAAAGACTCAGCAGCGTGGTGCTCTTGCTGATGTCCTTGAACTGAAACGGCGGTTAGTCGCGAACGAAATTACAGACGAAGACGGAGTTACGTTTTTCTCGATAAACGAGTCGATTTGCTGCACGAAGTCTTTATTCTTGGAAATGCCGGGGAAGGAACGGATCTCGACGCAGTTTTCGACCGAGAGGTGTTTGATTAGGTGGTTCGCGCATATCTTCTTCACCCGGTCCATTTTTAGGTGGTTGGCCGCCAAGAAAACCGCCTTAACCTAGAGAAGAAAAAAAATGTGTGTACCGCCTATGGATTTCAGTCTTTGTATATGTATATATACCGAGTGACAAAAAAAAGTTGGAACACTCTATAACTTTTAAACGTCTAGAGATAGCGATTTGAAATTTAGAAGGGTTAATACAGGATTCTTCTCGATTTTTAGTTAATTTTTGAAAATTGTGCCTAGGAGGCTATGACCATCATAAATACTATTTACCGGGTCTCCTGATCATGGGAAAAATTGTAAATGAAACTTTTCTTTACTTGTCTAATGGCAAATAATAATGTAATGAACGATTAATTTTTTAGGATAACGTAGTTTTTTTAAATAGCACCCTAGTGGGAACAAAAGCCGGTTCTTTTTTTGCATCATTTTGACAACAACATTTTCAAAATCCGTTAAAAAACAAGCTCACAGGAAGGAAAATACCAGATAAGAAAATACATTTTTATAAAAACAAAATGTTACTTAGGTAAGCTCATACAGTGGAAATAAAACACAGATTAGTATTAAAAAAATTAAATAAAATTCAAGGTAGAGTTTCTTCTGAAATTCAACGATTAGAATTTTTTGTTGAAAGTGTTTTATTATGTTAAAAACTTGATATGTTTTAGGAATACTGGGATACAGTCAAAAACTAACGTAAGTAGTGTATATATACGTACGCCATAAGCTACAAGCACTTTTTAGCGGAAACTCAGAGGAACAATAGAAATATATATTTTTTTCTTTTCAAATCTGTCACTATTTGGGATAATTCAACCCAATATTTTGAAAATAAAACCTCAACAATGTCGACAGAATCGATTTGAATCAACGTGTGTTACTGTAACACAAGTTTTACAATGACACAAGAGATTTTCGTCTTTATTTGAAATAAAAAAAGTGCGATTGATAGTGACTTAATAACCAATTTATTTTAAGATGAAACTTTCATAGAGTGTTCGCTGTAATTCTTCCTAACATTTGTGGAATTATATTATCAAATGCAGCCGATATTCTTCAAACAAAAAAATCTAACGGTGCCAAGTAAGGTGATTGTGGGGACCAACTGGCTGGACGGTGTGTTGAGAGTTCAGTGATATCTCTAAAATTATGGGGAGGCCGCCATCCTGCTGAAAATACATATTTAATGTCATGGTCAGAGGTAAATCATCTAGCAGGTCTTCAATTTCATTTCTTAGGAATTGGAAACATCGTGCACCCGTTAAAGCACCATGACAAAAAAAACAGGTTCAATAATCAACAAAATTATTATTCTCGTCATGTTTATCCATCAGTCAATTACAATATCGAAGTTTTCCTACAAAGTCAAATTGATAAAGATGTCGGCGTAGGTTATACTTGATTTATGTTGACGTATCCAACAACATTGATTTCCACTTCTTCACTTTTTCTCGATTTGTAAATTGATTATTGTTTACCATGATAATCCATGATAAACAAAATCGATAATCAGATAGAAATGTCAGTCAGTATTTTTAATATTAATATTTTGTTTTGTGACGGTTTCATATTTCAATGGTAAAATTTAGCATTTTTAAAGTGAGAGTGCTGGCACATTTGCGAAGTAACGGGTTTATTTTATTAGTACCTTGTAGAATTAATTGTACTGTCCATTTCCTTCACCTTTTGCTGTTTGGCGAGTGCTTCTTAACAATTAAAATTCTTGTTTATTAGGTTCATATCGATTTTGCAATTTGAACACACGTTCTTTTGTAGACTCGGTTCCTTTAGTTTCGGACTTGTACTCCCCGGCCGATTGTGTTGCCGAACCATAAATATTTTATGCTGCAACGGCTGTGTGCGTGGCCCCTTGTTCGCTTGGTTTTCTCTTAAGTGACACCGGTTTACTGAGAGATACTAATGCAAAAAACAGAGTATTAGTTGCGCATTAGAAGGAGTCATAACCATTACCATCTGTCACCCTATGAGACTAGGGACCACATTTGCTTTTCATTGCTTCGGTATTCCTTGGCGAGCCTAGTAAACATTGTTTTGTTTCTTAACCTATTCTTCCTCGATTTTCTGTGACTGGCCGTCCGGTCGCCACCATGGATAGCGTTCGGGTAATTCGATCTCGTTGACGCAACCTCGATTCTTTGGCACGGGCCATACGGCCATCACCACAGATATAGTTCGGTTGTTCTTTCTACTGGCGGCGTACCGTCGACTAGGTTGGCAAGAGTGGCGTTTTCCCTCTAATTTTTTGTGCCCGTTTAGCCTTTTAATAAAACTGGTTGTCTGAATCGTCCGGCATTTTGTACGCTAGCTTTTGAAGCTTGGGGTTGTGGCAGGTTTTCTTTTATGTGACCGATTTCTTTTTGAGCCGGTAGTGCTACCCCAATAAGAGGGGGATATGTAAATTGGTCACTAATTTATGATTTCCCATACTTTTGGATCTATTTGGAGTTTGGAATGGGAATCTTCCTCAACGAGGGATTTTGAAAAGAATTGTCATTGCCCCACATTTCAAGAAAACCCTCGAATCGAGGTAAGTTACCTTTTGGAACCATTTCGCCACCTAATCAGTGTTCCTCAATTTATGCCGATTTTATTTTAGGGTTTTTTTTTTTTAATTAGTATTGTACGTATTGTTGCTCCGTTTCCCGCAAACCTTGCACGTGGTTTCTTCTTTCACCGGAATACCAGACCAGACTTGGTGTCTTGCAGTGTATGCTGTCTCTTGGGTACATGTTTAGTTGTGGAGTTTCCCCTATCGAGCAGCCGGCTTTCCGGACGGACTTTGCTGGGTTAACTGAGACTGCCCACCTGCGGCTGTCTCATTGAGCCACCATTCCATCTTGGCTTGGTTCCCGGGATAGTGACAGACAGCTGTGTAACGTTCGGGACATCTTGAGGTTTGGGTAGCTTAAGTGGCCTGTTCTCTTCAAGAACGGTTTGCGGAACTTATAGCCTTAAATTATAGTGTCTTACATTCTTTTGCACCGCCAAAACTTGAAGGTGAGATTTGACACTCACACCTACCACCAGGTTGAAGGAAATAAATTATTGTTCGTGATTCACTTGTTTATTTCCTTTACGGGTTGGAACCTCGGGTTGATAAGTCTACCTTTTTCGAATCACGTGGCGCCTACCTACCACCTTCCGGGACTGACCGAGGTGCCCTTCACCGCCTTCCAACCTGGCTTTGGTTTAGTATATATATATTTTTTTTCTCTTTTCTTCTTTATTAATTTTTCTCGGTTGTTAATGAGCTAGCCTAGGCATTGTCTTACCTCACTATTAAATTACTAGTTTAATTAATTAATGCGTTTCTTTTTCACGACCCTGAGATGGAGAGGTAAGAGTTTTTATAAAAATGTATTTACTTATCTGGTTTTTTCCTTCCTGTGAGCTTATTTTTTAACGGATTTTGAAAATTTTGGTGTCAAAATATTGCAACACAAAGTAGCGGTTTTAAAAAGTTTCTGTTTCCACTAGGCTGCTAAGAAAAAACTAGGTTATCCTAAAAAATTAATAGTTCTCTACATTAAATGTTAATTGCCATTAGACAAGTAAAGAAAAGTTTCAATTACACATTCTTTAAAGTTAAAAAAATCAAATGTTGTACGAGGTGTGTTCAAAAAGGACGACTTTTAAGTTTTATCAAAAAGTACTTATTTCTTAATTAAAATTAATGTTGTCCGAGATATAATACACTTGTGCCAACGTTTTTTTCAATAATCAAAGCACTTGCCGGTATGGCCTTGTGTTCTTCCAGCGATTTTTCCTTTATCTGAACCGTATCAAACCTTGCTTGCTTCTTGAGTTTTGGAAACAGGAAAATGTCACACGGGGCCATATCCGGTGAATATGGTGGCTGAGGCATGATTGTGGTTTTGTTTTTGGTGAAAAAGTTAGACATGGATTGCTTTCCCAGAAAGAAAACAGTAAGCAAAACCTCGATATTTGATCGAACTTGACGTGCTTTTTTCAGCCTTGTTTCACTTCTTCAGCGCTTCTATGAGTAATTGACGTGCTTGTACCACTTACAATCTTTTTTTGATCAAAGTCGATTCACCATATGCCGTTGCCAATATTTCAAGCGTTTTGCAGCACTGCGTTCCATTTTTTTCACAAAATTTTATGCGAATTCTTGGTTCTATTTTTTTTCTTGACCGCAGAAAATCGCCGACCACACAAAACACGTTCAACGTTTCTGTTTTACACAAGTGAACGCGCAAACTGGCTGAAACTGTTTACACATGCGTACCAACATAACAAAAAAAAATATCGAAGCTCGAATATACGTAGACAAAGCAATTACAAAAGTCACCTTACTTTTCCAACACACCTCGTATATTCTTATGCCTACGGCTGAAAAGCCCTTCTTTTTTATGTTTAGTTATTAATAAAAAATGGTATAGGTACAACAAAAATAAAACCATTACTAAAAAATTACTTAACAAACTTTTGTTGTATCTCGTTTACGATATTGAAAAATGCGACGACGCCTGGCGGTACCTGTGAGTATTTCACGATCAGTTTCGCCGTATAAGCGTAATCGACTAGAACCTGGAGAGCAGCCTGATCGAAGCCCCCGTTCAGCTTGTACGTGATGATGTTTTCCAGTCGTTTCTGCGTCTGATCCTGATCGGTGGAAAACAATTCGAAGAGGTAAGGTGAGGCGGTGGCCAGCACCGCCCTATGCGCGTGAATCTCGATGTTGCCGACCTAAACCGAGACAAAAAAAAAACGCGATATAACTGCGGCCCAACAAACTTCGAACTCGATCGTATTTCAGGAAAACTCAAAAATGCGCAAAATTTAAAAAAAAAAGAATAAAACTGTCGTTACCACCGCACAACTTCGGTCGGTATTTCTGCAAAAAAGAAAAAATTTAAAAGGCACAGACAAGGTACGATCAAGTATTTTGTATATGTACGCCTTCCGTTTTTCTATTGAAAGCAAAATTTTCCTCCCGCTAGTCCCAATACTCTACAGTCAACAGAGGGCGTTGAGGGTTGTACGTAAAAATCCTCGTGCCAACCAAAGTGTATAAGATAGAGGGAAAGGTCGCGTATACTGTTACCAACGCCATCTGTTATGTGTGTCCAACTACTAAAGTACTGTCATGGCGGTTTAAAGTAATGCGACTCAATGAAAATACTACAGTAGCTTGTAGCTTTCTTTTTAAAACGGACGCGACTAAAACGTTAACATTAGGAAATACCCCGTATACCAAGGTCTACGGAAAATGGGGTTATTTTTGCACTCCCGCGATATACAAAATGCTTGAAGTCCCCAAAACTCGATCTACTTAAATAAGTAAACTACTAATAACAAGGTAAAATCGTAAATGACTTAAAAACTACTCACTACTGGTATTTAATATTTCAATTATGATGAATTGAGAGAGGAGAATCCAGCAGTGTAACTGACCGTAAGCAACAACCATTTTACCAAGGTTTCGAGCAAAGACGCCCCCTTCACTTTTTTCATTAATTTTTATGCACGCCGTTACCGAATATTCATTTTGTTATTTTGTTATCCCTCTAACAAGACGTCCGCACCGTCTGGTGTTCGATACAATTCTTTTCTCGTTCGCTTTGCTGTCCTACATTTGATACTCTTCGTTTCCTTATTTCTAGTTTTTATTAATTTAAAAAACCGCTTCGACAGTTTTTGCATTTTTAAAAATTATCTTTAGTCGAATTATTCGCAAATATTATTAAAGTACCGAAATTAAATTATAGTCAGTGGCGTCCACTTTTATGGTAACGTTTTTTTATAGTCCGCACGATTTGTGATGGCATAGTAGGTAATAAAATGCCAGACAGAGTAAAATAGATCATGATTATATTACTTGGGAGTAAGGGAAACAGAATCAGTTGTACTTGGCAATTATTAATTTAACTAATAGGCTCATACTCAAAGATGGACTCATTTATTTTCTATTTAATAATAGATAATGATTAGTCTGTAGATAATGATAGTCTGTCTCAATCTTTATCGTGCTGCCGGCCATCAAACTCGGTAGGTATTAAAGGACTGAACAGCAGGGACGGACTCTCGAGGATTTTTGGTTAGTGGCGTGTGTATGGAATCATGTTTCATCAAGGTAAATCATGGATCTATTGATTTACAAACGACTCTGTGGATGGTGACACGGCTTATATATTTATATTGGTTTCACCCGCTTCTAGCTTCTTTTTCAGGTTATCCAAGGTAGAAACAATTTCGCTTTGATAAGGACAACATATTTCCCTTGTTATTAGGTCCTGATCACTGTTATTTATATGGTGAGTTTGCAAATCACTACGTTTAATAATTTTCTTCAATTCTCCGCTATTAACAATATCACTTATTGACGTTATTATCTTTTTTGTAAGTAAACAGGTTTCTTTTAAAGTTTCTTATTAAGTCCCCTACTGATTAAAGTTCCACACACATTCTTCACAACCTTATATTATATTCTCGTAAAATAACTCTTCCGAAACGGGCAGTAAAAACGATTATCCAACACTGCCAGAAATGGGCAACACTCAAGAAATATATCAGAAAGAAAGAAATATGCCTGGCCCACCCCTGCCTTGTAATTCAACTACCAGAAAATGATGCTTCGTCCACATTACTAACCAGTAGCATTACCGTTATATCCAGTATATTCTCTATTTTCCAATATTCTGTATGTGTTATACAAGTGAATCTTAATTTTTCAAAGAAACTTCCACAGGCTACTGTAATGCATTTTACAAAACTTCTGGATTCCTCCTGCGTCGGTTTTTGCTTAGTCGAAATTGCTGACGTTTCGGCAATCATCCTTTTGGCTTCTTCAGAGCTTCACTGACACTGGTTTCAGTTTCAGTCAAGCTCTGAATTAAATTGAAGATTATGCCTAGAAGAACATAGAAATAAGTTGTCCAAATCCAAATTGAATTGATAAAAATTGAAGCAATATCGAATAATTTAGGATCGAAGGAGTATATCATATAAATATCAGAAATAAAAATTAAGAATAATATAGGTCCAAGGACAGAACCTTGCGGTACACCTGATGAAGCAGGGAGAAATTCAGAACTTACATTGTCAAAATATCTGTAAGCTAAGTAGTTTTCAAAAAATCGATTCGAAACACCATCGTAGTTTATGGTCAAGCCTATCAAAGGCTTTAGAGATTTAGATTCTGATCAATACTTTAGATAAATTTGGAAGAATACTGATTGGATTAAGGTCTGAGAACTGATTGGGATTGTTATTTTTTGCTAATGGTGTGTAAAAGCAAACTTCCAAATATTAGGAAAATAGCTTACTTCCAAACAGCAATTAATAATAATAATAATATGTCTTTCTTTCTGTATATCCATACTTTCTGCAAATAAATAAATATATATATATATATATATATATATATATATATATATATATATATATATATATATATATATATATATATATATATATATATATATACAGAAATGGGAGGAAATCCAGATATGGATAACATCAGTATGTTAACGGATTGAGAAACAACTCTTTTTTTTTGGCGACAGCGATAGCACAATAACAGAAAAAAAAAAGTACTTCTTCTCACACTTATTAATGCATCCTATTTTGCTCACGTTTGTTAAAGATAGATTGTGCTTTTTTTTTAATTTTACTTTTCGAAAAAATACCTGAAAGCATAAAATTTAAATCTACTTGGAGTCAGGGCTTTGAAGTTATTAGGAAGACTATTATACAATTTAGCTGAATTAAAGGAAAAACCACGCTCAAATAGTGTTGTTTTATGTAGAGGAGGAGTTGTGGCACCTCTAAATGGAATATTTACATTATGAACATGAGATCTGAGCACGATCCTTCTGTACAGATATCGAGGACTTTTGTAGTATAGAACTTTGTGATAAAAACAGGCTCTATTAGTTTATGTGATATTCTCTCTCGGCGTCTAATACCGTATATTAGTCGCAAACATGAATCCTGCACTTTCTGTGTTCTTTGCTTTTGCAAAGCTGTTAAACAGTTTCCACATAAAATATCACCGTGATTGAACACAGGAAGCACAACAGACTCGCACAATGTAATTTTTATTTTTCTTGAGAGACAGTGACGACTACCATAGAGCAGTTTAAGCCTTGCATATGCATATATTAATTATATATGTAACGTATGGCGCGGTAATATGGAGGGTCATTTGAAGCATTCCAGCACGTACACAATCATCACCAGCAGAATTTGACTTAAAGTTTGGAATAATGGCACTGAGGCCACACCAATTCTGTGGCATTAAATATACAAAGGAGGCAATGTTGTTTGTTTTGTACTGTTTGCAATTTTTTTTTTGTCGACGCATTTGGTACACTTTCACCCAGTCCGGAATGATATCCATAATTAATCGAGTTTTTGCCATTCTTAGTATACGAGTGGATGCAGGTAAAATGCTCTTGGTTTTGTGATCGCCTATACCATCGCAAACCGTACCGACTATAAACACTCCCTAGAAAACTAAGTATAATTACATTTTTTCAAACAGATTTATGGAACCCACCATCGGCTGACAAAATGAGAAGTGAAGGGTTGCCTTTTCGCTCGAGACTGTTTAGTAAAATGCGTTAAATTGTACAGTCAGGCACATACGTGAAGGATGACATCGCAGAAATGGCGGTTCTTTCGCATCATGTTCAGCGAGGTCAGCATGGTCGCCTGGTGCCCGTCGTCCAGATATTCCAATTGGGGCGTCGCTTCCTCCTGCTGGTCCAGATCGCGATGCATCGCTGCCTCGCTAAGGCTATTGTCGGAATCCTCTACCGAACCTGGAACGTTGACGACAATGAACGGATTTTTTTTTTCGGTTTCAAATAAATACGAGATAACAACGATTAGGTAAGGTCCCCCACGCGTGGGAAAAAAAAAAGTCCAAGCACTCGAGATAAACCAGATCGAAAATTTTTTTTTATCATAAAAAACGGCACCATACGAAACAAAGAGAAATAAAACGTATTTCTTTTCTAGTTTTTGAGATGTATCATTTTTAAAGCAAGGACGCGATGTGTATTATACGAGGTGCGTTCAAAAAGTAAGGCGACTTTTGTAATTTTGGCTACGTACATTCGATCGTCGATCTATTTTTTTGTTATGTTGGTACACATATGCCCAACATATGTTCGCAGTTGCAGCCAGTTTGCACATTTAGTGTTTTTTATTTTTGTTTTTGTGTAAAACATGGATTTCGGTGCTGCAAAACACTTGAAACGTCGACAACGGCATATGGTGAATCTACTTTGAGCAAAATAAATGTTTATAACCGGTACGAGCTGTTCCAAGATGGCCGAGAAGAGACTGATGAAGAACTGGACGCCCCAGCACGTCAATAACTGATGAAAGCGTTGAAGCAGTCAAACAAATGGTGTTGAAAGACCGTCGGCTGGTGTCACGCAAATCTTTGGGCATGAAACATGTTTCAGTAAAGTTTGTTCCAAAAACTCTCAAAAAGGTGACGAATCACGGGAATATGGTTATGACGTCGTCCCAATGGGTGAACCCAGATCGCCAAGACCGAAAGAACCACGTCAAGTTCGATCAAATGTCAAGGTTTTGCTTACTGTTTTCTTTGATTATCGTGGCGTAGAGTTCTTGCCTGAAGGGTATTAGCTTGGGAAAACAATTCATGTATTTTGGATCACGACAATGCACCTGCTCACTCATCGTTGCTTCTATCTAACTTTTTGGCCGAAAACCAAACCACAATCATGCCTCGGACACCATATTCACCGGGTCTGGTCACCCGCGACTTTTTCCTGTTCCCAAAACTCAAGAAACCCACGAAAGGAAGTAGGTTTGGAACGATTGAAGAACTCAAGGCCATACCAGAAATGCTTCGAAGATTGGAAAAAACGTTGGCACAAGGGGACAATATTAATTTTGATGAATAAATACATACTTTTTGATAAAACCTAAAAGGCACCTTACTTTGAACACACCTAGTATATTATACGTTTGAGTCCCGAGTTTATCCCGGAAATGTTCGGATCCGTTTAACAAGAAACTCACGTGGTTAGGTGACACTTCCCGCATACGCTAAATCGGCATATAATTAGGTAAAGTCTGTTCATAGATATAAGAAAGTGACTAACGAATTAAGGAAAGACAAATTATTTTTATTACTTACTTAAATTACTTAAAATTATTCACATAATATATCAGTATCACTATCGCTATCATCGTCTGTTCTAACTATTATTTGTTCTATATTATTTGCCATATGGATATACGATTGTTCTGCTTTTTCTTTGTGGAGGGATGTTAAAAACTTCGGTTTCTATAAGTTTGAGGACGTTGGAGTTAACACGGGGAAAAACATTGTTACGACGAATGGCAGATTTCAGTTGGTACCAAACATGTTCAATGGGATTAAATATACAGAGTACTGTACGCCCTAAATTTTTTGCATAATTATCACACTATTCCTTTTATGGTTTCAAGCTTTGTAGAACCTCAATTAATTGCTTTTGGTAAGAGAAAATAAATGTCGTTATTATACATGTAGTTTTGGGTTGTTGCTTTTGTGTCACATGAGGAAGGGATTTTAGTCAACTGTCTACAGTGATAACTTGCATTGTCCATTACAATGACGCTATTAGGAGGAATGTTTGGAACTAGTTTGTTTTTAAACCAACTTTCCAATAAATCAGCGGTGTTGTCTTCATGGTAATCCAGTGAAGAATCTTTAATATTTTTCGCAGACAGAGAAAGTCCATTTGGAATAAAACCATTTTTAGAGCCAGCATGCAAAATAGTTATTCTTTTACCTCTTTTGGATGGCGTGTTTGTTTTACACTTATCAGTTGAGTCAACCCAACTCAACCCTTTCCTTTTCATAAGCGCCGAACCAGATTTCACCCAAGTAAATAATTGGCCTTTGTTGTTCTCTGTAAATCCTAATTTTTTCTAGATATTCCAGTCGCCGTTTCCGAATTCTAGAAGATTCCATTGAAACTTGCCTTTTGTCAATTTTTTAAAATCTAAAACCCATATGTTGAATACACCTCCATAAGGTAGTTCTGCGACATTTAACACCGGTTTTATCTTTTTCAAGCCTCCTAATTAAGATGTCTAATGTAGGTATGCTTTGTTCCTCGTATAACTGGTAAATTTTACGCCGTATTATATCTTGATCACTTTCATCTACACTCGAGAAAATGTCAGTATCGCTTCTCTTTTTCCTCGCTGAAATGGGATTATTCACAATTTTCCATACAGTTGATGTTGGAATTTTCGTCAATGCGGCCGTTTCTTCTAAAGATGCTGGCACCACGTTCAATGAGAGTCAAATAAATACTGTTTGTAACTTCCTTAGTTTCAATACAATAGTGTTTTCTATACTTGGGCGGGAGCATCTCCTGAGATACACTAGACTCGCACATATTTTGCATAATTCGCACACGCTGCATTACACACATAGGTAGGTGTAAAATTATTTTCTATAAGGAACCACAATTTTACCTGAATTTAAATTCCGAAACTTTAGTTAATAATCTTGTTGCGTTGTATGTTAATGACAACCCTTGGATAATCCCATTCAAAAGCAATTGGTCATTTTCTTATATCTAGACATATTTTATATTTTTATAGGCAATTTCGGTTATTTCAATAGAGAACTGGAATTGTATAAATTAAAAACACTTAACTACAAAATGCAAATTCTGTCCGATAAGTTTTTCCATTTTTAAACATACGTTTCCATATAAAACACAATTTCCCTTTGGGGAAATTTCGAAAAACATTTAGTTGTCAATTGTTTGTTCATTTAGTGGCTTTTATCTGAATGGACTTATTTCAAATACCATTAGTGTGAATAATTTCCGCTCCTTAGTTATAACCGAACATTACTTTGTTACATTTTTGACATTTATACGAAATGCTACGGCACACAACACCCTTATGCGAAATCGTTTTTTAAGACAAAAACATCATCGGCAATGCTAAACACCTGAACGGTTAAGGTTTATTTACCCCGAGGTGTTATCATTGTCGTCGGATGACGTGACGTCAACTATTTTATCAAAAAGTGTAAATATTTCTAATCGCTTTTAGGTTTCAACATTGGGAAAATGTGATTTGTTTTGTTGTCGGGACCTATCGTTAACGGGCTGCGAAACAAATTCGCACACCCCTGTTAGCGATA